CTTGAGGGCATAACGATTACGCTCATAATTGCCTGAATTTACACATGGTTTCGGAGTATGAAATATGTATTTGTAGGTCATGACGCAGCTTACAATTCCATGTCCGATGTTAACCAGGTTACAGTTGATAAACGACGTGCCCAAAACAGTTTTGATTTACGATCATCGTTGGCGGAGATTGGCTCCAAAGTCCGTAGTGATACAGACGGGTAGGGCGTTAACTTAGCAACGCGTTGGGAGCGCGGTCAAGTATACATACTTCCGTGAGGAGGTCATGAGTTTTACTATCGAGGGTGATGTCGGCAAACTAAAGTTTATCGAATGCCAAGCTAGATACTAGAAGAAAGTTTATTATGTGCAGGCCACTTAAGGTCAACGTTATGTTAACGTCAAATAGCTGGAAGACGGTATTAAGCAGTCAATCGTATCTATGGACTTCATATAATCAATACGTTTACCAGTATCTATGGCCGCCGTCATCACAATTGTTACATAACCACTGTGAGATTCGATGTCTGGGATCGCTATTGATCGGTGACGAAGCATCTAGACCATTCAACAAACCTACGACAACTACAGACACTAATTAAAGTCAACCACAGGATAACATCAGTCAATGAGTAGTTTCGCTTAGAATATGATGAACGCAGGAGTTTATTATAGGCATGAAGCTAAAGCCAATTCAAACGTATACGAAAGTCGAGTAAGAGGTAGCTTAGAGATGCGTATACATAAATCTTAATATAAACTTTAATAATCCTATGAGATGCCAACTTGTTTACGTACAGTTTATATGTGTGACTTTAAGCCTAGTTTACTCAGGTAAACTCCTCAACACACCTTGAAAATTGGGATTGAGCGACCTAATCGAGTACATTAAGCTTATTTCCAAATGCCGTTCTCTTTAGAAACTGATACTACCATGTATCTAAGCGACTACATTAACATGTATCTAGCACGTCACTTGCGTTACGGCCAGTCAATATCACCATGGACTTTACTGAAGACCGAGTCATCAGTCTATAGGAAGGTTACGGCCAGTCCATAACGATCCGGCTGAGGGAGATACATCCCAATAACCAGACTTTGTAAACGAACGAGCATTGGTGCCCCGCACCTCGCCATATCTCGCCTCTGAGTCTAGTTGCGTAGAGCACCACACTATCCGCAAATTTCTTTAAGCTTGGCCATCCTGTTCCTGTGCCTGTATGCTTTCGAGGAGTGTCACCAGGGCTGATCTGAACTCTAACCAAGACCCACTCCTATCAGCACCAGAACGAGATACGGTCACAGAAAGGGACAGAAATATTGGCTCTCATATCTTGGTCTTCTATTAATTTGAGCTTGTTGTTGAACGGTTTGCTAACCTCCCACGCCCCAACCCAAGAGCTTGGTAGCATCATTCTGTATATCTGCCATAAATATGCACTGTATACGGTGAATACTGAATCTAGTTGCTTGTATGTCATGCTATACATGCTCTAAATGGATATAACCTGTCACCAGGGGGGAAACGTCCTAAAATGTGGACCAATTAGGACATGTTGCCAATGCCAAAGGACGCCTGTAGAGACTCAATTGCCTTTCGACTACTCTTATCGCAGGGCCATCTCAAACGCTTTTCAACCGGCAGCATACTGGCTCTTCTTCCTCAACGTCGGCCCAAACTTCCATAATAACAACGGCCCAGGCCACCCAATCGCCACGCCCATCAACGCAAGCACCGAATTGCCCCAGCCATAACCCAGCTTTTCGTACATACTTGGCGCGAACAGAGGGAACCCGAAACCCGCCAAGCTCCTCAGCACCGTCGCCGCCGCCACCGCGCTCGCGGCGTACCTGGTGTACGTGTCGACCAGATAGCCCTGAATGCACTGGAACCCGACAATCACCCCGATGCAGAAGATGACCGCACCAATATTGGGCGCGATCCAGTGCGTGTGGCTCTGCGCCGTCCAGCCGTAGATCAGCAGCCCCGCCGGGACCAGCAGGGCACCTGGGATCATCATCGGCACGCGGAACTCGGGGCGTCCGGGGCCGCCGTCGGGGACGTACCGACGCTTCAGGGCAGCGTAAATGCGGTCCTGCATCGGCGCAGCTGTCTGCGCTCCGATGAAGAAGCCAAGACCCAGGGAGATGTAGTTCAGTCCGCCGATGCCGACAGATTGGCCGTACTCGCCAGTCCAGAGTGCGGGAAAGGTCGACAGAACGAGGTACATCAGGCCGTAGAGGTACATCATGTACAGCGCCAGGAACTGCACCAACGGTTGGGTGATGAGGAGGCGGAATGGACGAGTCAAGGCGATGCTGAGCGTGCGGGCCATGGTACGATCGGGGTTGTCGAATTCGGTATGTAACGCGGCGTTGCCCGTCTCCTCGATGAGGCGGTTCTTCCTTCGGGTAAGGAGCACGGGCGCGTAAGTCTCTTGGAGGACGAAGATGCCAATGAATTGGATGACGGCAGTGAGGATCGTAGTGCTATAGAAGATCCAACGCCACGTCGTGTTTTGCGTGACGAAGCCGCCAGCAATTGGACCGACGGCTGGCCCAAGCATTGGCATGAGCGTATAAATCGAAATAGCCTTGCCGCGTTGCTCGGGCTCAAAAAGGTCTGCAAGAACACCACCACCGATGGCGAGAGGCGCGGAGCCGCCGAGGCCGGCGAAAAAACGGAACGCTATGATCTGGCCCTTTGTGCGGGCGAGGCCGCACCCGAGATTGAAGCACATGTATAGGATGTTCGTGAGCTGGAGGACGACAATGCGTCCGTAGATCTCCGAGAGGGGGCCCCACGCCAAAGGGCCGATGGCGTAGGCGAGGACGAAGATGGAGAGGACAAGAGCCTTCTCAAAGGAGCTGGTGATGTTGAACTCACTGCCAATGGCCTCCAGGGCGGGTGCGACCATGGACGAGGAGACTGGTGAGAGGAGGGTGAAGCATGACACTGGTGACGTTTAGTGAGCGAGCGAGTCTTGTCTTACACAACAGGAAATCAGCATACCGCAGAAGACTGCTGCCCATTTTCTCCTCATGGACCATTGTTTCGGGTTTCCAGGGTCGTTTGGGCCATCCCATGCCACCAAGTTAGGATCCCGTGGGGTTTTAAAGGTCGGCGTCTTTTCCGACTCTGGTTGCGGGCCTAGTTCCAGGTCTCGTCTGTTCTCGATGCCATCTCTCACTTCGGATATCGTCCTTGAGAGGGAGCGCGACCGGGCGCTTCTCGTGCTCTGGAGGGCATGCCCACTGTGCCCCGAGCTGCTGTCGCTGCCTTCCGAGGAAGTTGAAAGCCGCGAGTCCGTCTGTTTCTCTTGTACTTCCTTTTCCGCCGCCGCGGCGAGTGTCCCCTCGACCTCTTGTCTCAGCGTCTTGCAATGGGGCTTTATTGACTGGCCGTCATGATTAGGCTCATTGTATTGTGTTGCGGAAGTTGTTTTGTTTGTGTCCGCCATCACCGGATCAGTCTGTGGGTGAAAAAGACAGCTAATGTCTGTCTCTCAGCATGCCAGGTGTGTAACTTGGCGCTGATAGTATTGTAAGAGTATACTAATAATGCGAGAGAAGACAGGCAGGGGCAGCAAGCCTTGGACGAATAGGGCAAAATATTGAAGCTGGAATCCACTCAGCAGCACCAGAAACCTAGCCGGAGACGCCCTTCAATTATAAAGCAAAGCGATGGGACATGCAGGCTCCTTTGAAGGAATGAATCAGTCGGAATTCTCAACGAAATCTCTTAAATCCGGCTGGCCCCAGCCAGCGTTTCCCCAGAGCTGTGGCCCGCCGTGCATGACTACTTCATTGGCCATGTAGCTGCTCCTTCGGCAAGGTGGACGCCTTGCCGATATCTCTGGCCCCGGATACTTACCAGGTAGATCGACTTGCTGTACAATGCCGTCTGCTGACATGGGTAAATGTGAAAAGACGTAGCATACCGAGGCTAGCTGCCTCGGGCAGACACAGGTACGTATGGGGCGGCCTTCCTTGGCCACATGATGCTCTATGACGCGGCGCTAAGCGCAGAGATACCCGATCGCTTGCATCGTTCTCCAGGTGCTTAGACCCTTTCTATTATCACATTACCAAAGGCCATGGCCGGCAACAAGTTGTCACTGAGACAGTGGAAATGTGGGAATGGAGCCTGGGATAAGGCGGACATACCGTACAACAGCACAAATGCCGTGCCTCTTGGAAGCGTGCATGGCGCAGCGAAGGGGAATAAATTGCCGGTGCCGAGTGTCCGTGATTTTGCCTCCGTACTCCGTAATTTCGCCTGCCCGGCCCGGTGCCCGGTGCCGAATCGGCAGCCGAGCCAGGGCTCCTGGCTTTCGGACGACACCTCCCGTTGGTTCGCTCTGCATTTAGATGGAGCTGACCACTGCCGTGGCTTGGTTGTGTAGTGTACCTGTCACAGCGTGCAACCCTTTCGATCTTAGAACTGTGACGCCGAGATCCTTGAACGTGCTGCATCTCTGCGATTTCGGTCGTTGCCCTACATGCGAGGGGGGAGGTACTGAGGCTTAATTGCTCTTTAATCAATGGTTACCAGCCCGCGATTGGAGATGCCTGCATCGCAGCAGCTGATTGATGCTCAATCAAGCAAGTGAGCGATGCGCTTTCCTCGTGCCGCCCTCACGCCAATTCAGTCAAGTCAAGAGCAGAACAATCGTTGCAAATGGTCAGAAATATCTTGATTGATGTGACACAGAGCGCCGTATATCCGCTGATAAGTAGGGACGGATAATTCTCGCAGTTGCAATCTTGCAAGACGGGAGGTACTATCCGAGTAAGGTCACATGCTCATGCTATTCGTAACAACCAGACCTCTAAGCCAGCTATACCTAAAGCCAAGTCCCATCAACGCCGTAGACCGTTTGCCTCGTTTTATCAACGGGCAAGAGAGCCAAAAGAAAAAAAAAATCGAGTCCGACAAAGTTGCTTTTGTAAGTGGTATCTTGTTTCAGAGGAATCCAAGTCACAATGGATAGATGTCCACCCCGTTCGCCTCATGCGGCGACGTCCGTCTTGGTGTCGACCTTCTTCGCCTCGGGCTGGGCGGCGCCATCGTCCTCGCGGGCGCGCTTGCCGTTGTCGTTCTTATCTTCCGCGACAACCTCGCCCTTGTCGTTCGTGGCCTGGATGGTAGGCTTGCCACTGTAGGACTGGTCAGTAAAGGTGCTCGCTCCAGGCGTAGGAAAAGAATTTCGAATACGTACGCGTTGCGGTCGCTCGTGATCTCGCTGGGGTCCTTGCGGTTCTCCTGGTTATCGCGTCCGCCCCGGCGGTCTCCGCCACGGCCACGGCCGCGGCCACCACGTCCACCACGGCCGCCCTTGAAGCCGTTCTTCTGGTCGTGGTCGCGGCGTTGCTTCCAGTCATCCTTGCCGAAGTTGCCACCACGGCCACCACGACCACGGCCGCGTCCGCCACGGTCGTTGCCCTCCTTACCCTCAAAGAATCGGCGCGAGGTGTTGGGCTCGAGCTTGCCGGCGTTGATCAGAGCGCTCTTCTCCTTAACGTAGTCGATCTTGGGCATGATCTTCAGGTCGTGGTCCTTCCACTTGGGCTTGGGGTCGAGGGCGACAAACTTCTGGGCAGCCTCCTCGTCGGGGAACTCGACAAAGACGGAGCCCTTGAAGAGCTTCTCGTTGGTGCGACGGAGGCGGACAGCGTTGATGGGGCCGAACTGGGTGAAGAAGGCCTCGAGATCAAACTGGGTGGAGGGCTCCTCGTCGCCAAAGCCCTTGACGTAGACGCAGCGGGCGTTGTACTTGTCGCTGCCGGGGGCGTAAGCCTGCTTGCGCTGGATGGTCTCCTCGCCTTCCTCACCAGCAATGTTGACCTGGGTGCTCTCCTTCAGGGCAGCGACAATGGCGGAGTAGGGCTGGAAGCGGCGCATGCGCTTGAAGTTGGTGATGGTCTTGAGGGGAATAGGCTTGTTCTCGAACCCGCCAGTAAGCTCCCACAAGTACTTGTCGTGGGGCAGGTTGCTGTCGGAAAGGTAGAACTCGACCTAGATTTAGTAGCCGTTAGCCAAGGCGATCATGCCTGGTTCACGCAGATGCGGCGCCTTACCTGCTTGCGGATCTCGACGGGGTCGTCTGTCTCCTGCAGAAGCGAAGGGTCGAACTTCACGTTGTTGGCGTGCTGCTTGTTGTCAATCCGGGCGGTTGTCTTGATGATGTTGGCGTCCTTCTTCTCGGACTCTGCAGGCTTAACCTCGGACTCCTCCGTCTGGACAGTCTCCTCGGCCTTCACAGGCTCCTCAGCCTGGGCGGGCGCCTCGGCGGCAACAGCCTCGACAGGCTTGGTTTCCTCGGCGGCGCTCATCGTGGATTGTAAGGGATGGATATTCTGTACAACAAGAAGACGATCAATTACGGGTTCTTCTCGAGGATGATTTTTTCTCGTGCGTGTACAGGCGTGAGTGACACGGCGAAGGGGAGAGGCTCAAAGGTAAGGTTGTAGGAATATTGTGTGGCGGGGTAGGCAGCCAGGGGAGTCACAGAGAAAAAGGTGAGTAATTCGGAGAAAGCTTACAGCAAGAAGAACCAGTCAATGCGATTGATGTAGCTCTGGTACCACGAATGACTTTTATTCGGGGGCGTCTTGGTGTTGGAGTTTTTGGATACTACCGGGTGGGAAAATAACAATTGTTCGGTAGTAGTAGTGGCGCGGGAATGGCAGAAAAAAAAAAGAGCGGCGGTTCCCCCAGCAGTGAGGATTTTGCGACGAGAATTCGCATGCACGAGCGAGAGCTCCAGTTTCTGCCGCAGCGGGTTGCGCGCGTTCGATGCTACACCGCCCGCATTTGATCTCCACTTGGCTAGGTGGGGGGGACTGAAAAAATCGACCACACGGGTGACAGTGAGCATAGTTAATACTACGGGAGGCTGGGTACGTACCGGCCTGATCCTAGGGGAACTTTTGCGCGCTGTTCTGAGCCTCCAGCCTCAAGCTCCAGGGACCTTTTCCCCCCTTAGGTAAGCACATTACCTAATCCACCCATCATATGCTGGTGCACGTGACCACGCGAGAGAGCTCCTCAGTCAAGGCCGGCTGAGGTACGTACCGTCTCATCGGGAGATGCCGTGCCATCACCAAAATTTCCGTCTCTGCGTCCCGATGCTCCTGAAGCTGTCGCCATCCTCCAGCACCTAGCACCCGACCATATCATCCCAATTAGCCCAACATGAGAGGTAGAAAGCCCAAGTGGTACAGCTTGACCAAGCCTGTAAGTTCTTCTGCATTCATCGCCCTAGCTCGTGTGTCAATTGCAGCGTTCCCCTGATTCCGCTGTGAACCTGATGCGGCACACGAGCACTTGTCCTCGCGACACGGGACCACGAACAGAAGTTGACCGCCGATACTCCGCCGACAGAAACTCCGCCAGTCATGGAACAAATACAACCTGTTCAACATCGCCAGAGCGAACGTGAGGCAAAATCGTAACAGGACCTTCTTCCAGCAGAAATGGGCGGCAAAGTCCGTGACCCGTGGCTACCACGGCGCCCATATCAAGGAGTCGGACTGGAACCGCGCCTTCTCCCGCCGCCTCTTCTCTGCCGTCGACATGCCGCCCGAGTATCTCGCCTCCTTCGACGGCTCAGAGCAGGCCGCCGGCCGCGGCTCCGGCCTGCACGCCGAACCTGGCTCCAAGGACCGCACGCCCACCGCCGCCAACTTCTCCCAGGTTGAACAGGAACGACAACGCCGGGTCCGCGCGCTTAGCGCCTCAGCTGGCCAGGTCAGCCATCCAGCACAGAGGTTTATCACAAGGGACGCAAGGGGCCAGATGCTGGCCCGGCCCATCCACGAGATGACGCCCTACATGCAGATGGCCTACGCGCCGCTCGAGAGGAGACTAGACGTCGCCATCTTCCGTGCCATGTTCGCCAGCAGCACGCTCCAGGCCAAGCAGTTCTGCACACACGGTGCCGTCAAGGTCAACGGCAAGCCGGTAAGCTCCAAGAAACAAAACGGAAAAGGAAAACAACACCCATACTGACTCCGCCTCTTCCAGATGCGTTATGGTGCCTATAAGCTCAACCCGGGCGACATGTTCCAGGTCGACATCGACTCCGTCCTTTACGCCACAGGTCGTGCCAAGACCCCCGCCCATGCAAAGTTCATCGCCGGTGAGGACTGGGAGTCCAAGAACGCCGTCAGGGACTCGAAGGAGGGTAAGAGCCGCGTCCTCGACCCCGAAGCCTCAGAACAGGCCGCAGCCGACACACCTGTCGAGGCCGAGGCTGAATCCGCTGCCGAGGCCGCCGTTGAGGAGGCTGACGCAGCTGCCGCCGAGGAGGGCGGCGATGATGCCGCTGCCGCCGCGTCAACAGAAGAGAGTGCGGTGTCGGAGGAGGAACGCCGCGCCGCGCACCACAAGCAGCTCAAGGCCCTCGTCCGCTCCGCAAAGTCCCTCATCAGCGACGGCGAGGGCCTCAACCCCCGCAAGAAGCGCCAGCTCCGCGCCTTCATGACGGAAACAAAGCGCGTCCTCTCCTCCTCGGGCCGCGTCGCCGACGCCGAAGCAGCGTCCAACGATCCCAACGCTGTCATGGACCACCTCTCCGCCATGCTCAAGGACTTCAAGCTCGAGGGCACCAAGGTCGAGGCCGTTGAGGCCGTCGCCGCCGAGGGGGGGCAGCAGCCGGAGCAGCAGACCGCGCACAAGGAAAAGGCCGCCACTGAGACCATCAATGAACTCGTCACCTCCAAGGAGGTCCGTCGGCAGATCGACGGGCTGTCGCGGGAGGAGCAGAAGGTGCTGGCAAACCTGCTCCGCCAGGACGCCGAGAACCCAATCGACGAGTCCAAGCCCTACTGGACCCCTTGGGAGCCGCGGCGCTACATGGCGCCGTTCGCCTTCATCCCCCGCTACCTAGAGGTGAACCAGAACATCTGCGCTGCCGTCTACCTCCGCCACCCCGTCGCGCGTCGCGGCATGGCCGAGGTGCCCACCCCCTTCGCTTACGAGGTCAACCAGCTGGCCTTCAACTGGTACCTGAGGAGGCATTAAAGGCGTGACGACGACGATGCTTACAAGTGCGAGAGGGTGGCGCTAAGTGGTGTCGGGGAGGGGGAGAGGGTGGCCGCTCAAGTGGGGAAGAGGGGGGTTGGGGAGCACACGCGGCATTGTACAACAGGATATAGAGGCCAATGTAAAAAGAAAAAGCCTTAGACATGGTCTTTTTTTTTATGTACATCATCAATGGCAGGGGAAAATGATAATCCTCTCTGCCTCGCCAAACATTCCCAAATGATCAACTCCCTTTGATACCTTCAATCGGTTGAGGCTGCCGAGGCACATGTAATTTTCTCTGAAGCCAACCATCAGTTTACCAACAAGATGGAAGCTGTGCGGTTGTTTGACATACGCGAAACTTCTGACCGGCACAATGACCTATCTGTCAAACAGGTTAACAACACACAGTGGGACCAAAAAGAGTTCTAGGGAATCATCCTTTTCAAAGCACACTGAAACTAAAGCTAGCAAAGACGTCAAGGAAAATGAAATGCCAAGTAAGTGAAAACACCTGTAATGCCAGGCCGTCTTCGACCCCTCCTTCTCCATAACCTCATCCGAGTAAAATACAACATCGAGGGGTGGTTTGCTAGACATAAGCGGGCTGCTCCCATCACAACGCAGCGGTACCATCTGTCTACCATGGTCGTGTGTTCACAGCTGGAAGGGTGGCTGATTCAACACCATGAGACAGAAGAGTATCGAGCGTGGCGTCGTAGATTATAAAACCGTATTCCGAGTGGCCAGTCTTTTTCCGAGAAGAAATGAATCCACGAGGATACTGTGCTAACGCAAGTCCCACCGACTAAATCAAGCATCTCCGAGGTCCCCCTCGACCGAGTCTGCCATTCAAAAAGAGACAAGACTACAGCCAGTAGTAGGGCTGCAAAAGTGTTCCGTGAAACGCCTCATCGCCAGAATCAAGCCTCGCGGAAGCAATGACTCGTCGTATTTGTTTCCTTCGCGTGTCCCCTCTTTAGTCTGCATCAAGCCCCCTTGCGTGCCTGCTTCGTAAAGACTTTTGGTGATGTTGGGATTTCGTGTGTGATTAGATGAGGGGGTTTGATTGATTAAAAGAGGTCCAGAGAAAAGTGGTGATAAGAAAAAACAAGAAGAGAATCGACACAAAGAGACGCGTTGTGCTGGTATTGTATGGGCATCATTGGTACTTGGACGTGGGTCGTGGAAAGGAGAAGAATGCGAACACCGTATGGCGTCAAGAGACCGAGGCAGGGAGTGGCATCTTAACGGAGCGAGAAGCCCTTCCGCTTGCCTTCCTTTTCGATGGGCCGACCGCTCTCGACTCTTTGCTTCTTCTCTTCGAGCTCCATTCGTTGGCGCTCCAGCTGCTCCTTCATCTCCCTGTGGCGGGAGTAGAGCTCTTCTTCGCTCTGTTTCAGCTTGCTCTCCTTCTCGGCGACCTTCTGTTGGAAGACCATCTTCATCTCGGCCTCCATCTTGGCGAGCTTCTGCTCGTGCAGGGCGCGCTCCTCCTCCTGCTTGACGGCAGGGTTGACCTCCTTGAAGACGCTGGGGTCTTGCGACACACCCATGCCGATGAGCTTGTCGGTACGGTAGTTCTCGTACAGGCTGTTGTTGGTGTGCTCCTTGAGCTCCTCCATGTGGGTACGGATAAGCATCTGGCGGAGCTTGACGAAGTCGCAGTGCTCCTCGTTATCCACCTCAATTACACCCCAGGGGTAGCTACGTCCGCGGACCTTGCGTCCGTCGGCGTTGGTGATCTCGTTAGTAGCACCGACCACTGCGAAAGGAACCTTGGACATGATCTCGTTGTTCTCGGCGATGGTCTCCTCATCGTCAAGCTCGTAGCGCGGGCCCTCGAAGATCTGAATGTCGTGGTACTTGATGTCGGCAAGAATCTGATCGCAGGTCAGTACGTGCAATTGCAGGGCTATACGAGGTTGGACATACTCTAGACTTGAAGTTGGCAATCTCCTCGTCGGTGAGGGTATCGGCCTTGGCAATGACGGGGATGAGGTTGACCTTTGTGTGAAGACGGCGCATGACCTCGATATCCAGGGGCTTCAGGGAGTGGCCGGTGGGCTGAATGAAGAAGACGCAGGCATGGATACGGTTGTCCACAATGTTCATGCGGTTGACCTTGTTCTCGGCATCGAGGTAGGCGTCGTAACGCTGCTCAATGTTGTCGACAATCGGGCGCCACGACTCGTCGTTGTTGACAAAGTCACCAAAGCCAGGGGTGTCGACGACCGTCAGGCGGAGACGGACGCCGGCCTCCTCGATGTCAGCACTGATGGACTGGATTTGGACAGTCTTGGGGAGGATGTCGAGGCTGGGTCCCTTGCGCTCCTTGGGAGGGTACAGGGAGGTGTTGAAGAGAGTATTGACGAGGGTCGACTTTCCAAGGCCGGATTCACCTGGATGTTGAGTCCGTCAGCTATCGCTCTCGAATTCTGGATAAATGAACCAAAACTCACCAACGACCATGACATTGAAGTTGAAGCCCTTACGGACACTCTTGCGGTGCCATTGGTTGGGCAGGTTGGCAAAGCCGACGTAGCCAGTCAGCTTGCGACGAACAATGTTCCTAAGATCGCTGGATGGAGCCGAGGGGGCAACACCAGCTAGGTAGGAGTCAGAAACGGGCTCTTCGGGAGGCGAAGTAGGCGCCCGCGAGGGGGGCGGGGAGGTAGCAGGAGAACCTTCAGAATCTATGTGTGCAATCATGTCAGCAAATTTGATCGCTCTTGAGAATGTTTCTAAGTATGCAGTAGCAAGGCAGAGAGGCAAGAGGAGCTCCTGACATGGTGACACACTGGTCGACAGAGCTTTGTCCACTTTGGCTGTCTGGCTGGGGTCCTGGGGGTCCTGGGGGTCCCGGGGCTCCTGGTTAGGTTCCGGACAAGGCCGTTTGGCGGGTGGGGTTTTGTGGTGGGTGTTCTGATAAAGATCCTCGTATGATATGGGTTTGTTGGGCCCAATCTTGGGCGCGTCTTCGACGTCAAGCAAGCTCTTGTAGCGGCGAACGGTTGCAGTAGAGTCCGAGGATACTTCCGAGGCAAGCTTGGCATTTGCTTTGGTTTTCCCCTTGAAGATATCCACGGTTGCCGGCAAGCTACTGTATCTCCTGGAGGTGTCGGGGGCGGCGGACTTGTCCAGCTGGACGCTCCTGGTGCGTGCCTTGACGTGCTCAACCAATTTGATGGCCATTTTGGATATCGTGCTGTGTTGAAGTGGGTGGTGCAGAGCAATATCTCTGGCCTATTTCATATAAGACCAAAAAAGGAGAAGCCAAGAAACGGTAGATTGGTAGAACGAATGTGGGCGTAACGAGAGATGCGTCTGATGTCGAGAGGAGATTCCAGGACGAGGGCCGGGACGAGAAGGGCATTGAGAGGGCTCGAGAAGGCCATTGCTCGTTGGAAGACACACGGGTTCTTCTTGCCTTGCCTCGCCTTGCCATGGTCTCATGCAGTGTATCATCGGGAGAGAATGTGCTTACCCATATCGAATATTGTCGGAGGTTGTTAATTTGGAGAAGGAATTGATCTAAAGACAAGATCTATAGACCGCAAAGAAGGAGTTAGCAACGGAGTGACGTAGATGACGATGCTACGGGCGCAGAGTGCCGTCAGGGAGGTGAGGTGCGAAGGGAGAAGAGATGGGACAGGATAGGAGCGACTCGAACGACGGCAAGAGCGAACGAAGATCGGACGGCGGACCAAGTGACAGAAAAGATAAGCTTCGGGTTCTCTCTTGTTTCCTCAACCGGGTCATGTTTGGAACAGAAGCAATGCGTGGGAATCAATGTCAGGCTGGGAAGGGAAAGCCGTACATACCTGGACGTCTAAAGAGCAATCGCGTGTCAAGGAGCGTCGCAGGTGGGTAACGAACGAGAGAGAGAAAGGGAGTCGAAGAGAGCGGGCGAAGAGAAGAAAAGGTCTGGCGACAGACGATTGGGAGACCTGGCGGTTTCCGAAGAAGTGATGCTGGAAATGCTCGAAGCAGTATGGATGATGGGGTCGAAGGGAAGAAGATTCACAACCTCGGGGAAGAGAGAGTGTGCGATGGTTGTGAAGTCGAAGTCGAGGGAGGTAGGTTCTCGATGAACATACGTTTTGGGTGGGAAGGGGAAATTTAGGGTGCGACGGGGTAAGGAAAGATTTGGCTGTGTGACCCCGTTTTCCTTACGACGTGTGCTCCCCTTTCCACGTCCCTTGCCCGGGTACCTGCACAGTACTGAGTATTAGTGGTCAGGCAAGTAGGTAGGAAGACAATGTACCTATCTACCCAAGGCAGGTAGGTAGGTACCTTGGCACCTTGGGTCAGCACATTAGTTGGCAGCTGCACCTGTTGTTTTGCGCCTGCGCCCTGCTGTATGACCAGTGGCCTCTGCACTTGCGCTGGTGGAATGGAAGGGGGTCAGTGTCAGGTCAGGTCACGTACCTGTATCTGCTGGCTGGGTAGTTGCTGCCGCTGGTACCTCTGCTATCCGTACAGGGGACCAGCGTGCGCTGTGATGCCGGGCATAACGCTATTCGGTACGGTACGGTACTGCCGCCGGGGCCACCCTGGTGGGTGCTACAGTGCTGGTCAGCGTAGTGGATGACTGGATGGATAGGGGAAGCACACGTTGCTGTCTGTCCCGTTCCTTCCATCTGCCTCTCCCTTTCTCTGTCTGTCTTCCTCTCTCTCTCTCTCTCTCTCTCTCTCGCTCGCTCATTCGCACACCAAACAAAAGGGGGTTGAGCCACGACTAGACCATATCGGGTTGGCTTGTTTTCTGTGGATTCCCGGTAAGGATTGCAGGTGGAGCGACCGAATTAGAGACCAGGGCCTCAGTCAATAGCGGCGTCTCATTGGCCGGGGAGGTGGTGGTCGTAATGAAGCACGGAGAGAAAAAATCCCCAAAAGGAGCACCTGGAGATTGGAGAATGAACGACAAGCTCTGGTTTTATTTTATTCTATTTTGTTTTATTTTTTCCCCTTGCTTCCTTCCCTCCTTCTCCCCCCCGTTTTCTTTTCGCCTCCTTTTCTGATACGAATGCGCTTGGTGTCCGGTGCAGGTGTTTATCCGGTACTGTCAAAGAGGCATCACCCGAGAACCACGGCTTAAGAGGCATCTTTTCGTCTTCATGCCCGACGGTTGGGTGGCCTGCGATGCTTTTCTTGCTGGCATTCGCTCCACTAAAAAAGCAAAGTAACCCCATGCAAGTGCTTGTGCTTGTACGGAATGCGAGTAAGAAGTAAATAAATAAAAAACTAGAAAAAAAAGGGCGATAGGGGGGGTGAGGAGAGCTAGGAACGGAAGAAATCATCTGGGGCGTTCTGGGAGCCCATCCTGATCAGCGTCTGTAGATAGATAGGTAGCATTCTAACTATCATCCTCAAATCATTAAAAGCCACGATGCCTAAGCATCTCGCCTCGCCTCGCTTTCGTACTTGACAATTGAAGTATCAGAGGCCAAGGAAGCATCGCATCACATATTGCAACAATGACAGGTGTCCATCCTGCAACATATGAAACAAGTTTTTTTTTCTTCCCCTCGGTGTCATACAAGTGATGGTCTGTTTCCCGCATGCATTAAGGTACTGTCAAAAATTGCAGAGTCGGTCAACTTTGAATTCGCTCCTCACAGAAAATCCAGACTTGGGACGAGGATAAGGCCGGCTGCTGTTGCTTACCTAAGGTGGAATGTACTTGTAGTCTACGTACCTATCTTTGCTGGTGCTGCTGCTGCTGGTGCTGCTGCCGCTGCTGCTGCTGCACGACCATACAGGGTCTGTTTGCATTACATACCTAGTAAGGGCCGGAAAGCAGCAGTCCGACCTTCAATTTCCACCCTCACCCATGATCCATGGGGCAAAGGAAGGAAAGGAAGCAAAGAGTGAGAGGGAGAGAGAGAGACGTGGGAAATGGCGGCCGGATGTGATATTCCAACCCCCATGCGTGCCCGACGGGCTACCCTGCACAAATTCTGTCGCGCCTCAGGCAATCAGTCAGCCAATCACTCGAATACGTGGCACCTGTACGGAATCCGTACGGTACGGTACTCCGAACTGTGTACTTGTCCACCCGGTGCTAGTCCGCACCAGAGCTCGGGACCTGTGACACGCACCCCGAAAGGTACGGGTGGAAACACTATCCGACACGAGCCGTTCGCTGGCACCGACTTCGCCCCCCCCTCCTCATCCAGATGCTCCAACATACACACTATCTGTACACTAACAACAAACTAACTACCCATCTGCCTGTCTAGTAACGGCAAGTAGACCATCCCAGTTAGATTGAGTTTACTATGATATATTATGACGGATGTGCTGCAGACCTCACACTCCATTGTCCCTTCCGGCGTCCCTTTTCCGCCACTTTTGCCTGCAGCAGTAGACCCCTTGGACCTGCAGGACAGGAGACTGCACCGGAGTCCCTGGGCCGGCGCCACGCCTGATGCTTGCTGCTCTTGGCTTGGCTGGAAATCGTCCCGCTGCTGTAGAATGTATCCGTACCAAACCAACGAACCAACTGCCGCCGAAGCTCACTAGGTACCTAGGTACCTACCTGGGTACCGAGCCGTCGAGTGACGTGACCGAACCGAGGGTCGTGGGCGCATCGCCGTCGGCCCAAAAGACAGAAAAGAAACTTGATGCAGGTTTGGCAGCCAGCCTTCGCCCGTGTCTCGGGTCTCGCTGTCTTGCCCATATAAGACAGACAGACCCCTTGTCACCGTCCGACGGTTTGCTGACCGGCCGAGTGCAGCCTCTGTAGTGTAGCCACAGACCCGGCATCGACAAACGAGAAAACCACAAACCCGCTGGTGTTGCTTGCTCCGTCACCCAGCAAACACTATCCATGGCGCCAACTCACTCTGCCAGAGCAAAGTTCCCGCCTCTTGCTTTCATTCGGTTAGACCTTCTTGCTCCCCCTCATCCAGTTTACTTCTTCCTTGCCGGGAACATCCTTCCTCTCTCTGGTATCCGTACTCGTAATGGCATACTTTGCTAATGGCTATGCAATTTCCGCTACCATCCTGTAAGAAAAAGCTCGCTCCGCCATCATCACCTACACCCTTCCCATCCGCTGTCCAGTTGTTTGTATAAAGCCTGTGTCTGCCGATTGGTAGACGAACCTCATCCGCCACCGTGGCCGATAGAGGCCGTCCCATCTTGCCAAGAAATCACGGAATCACTCCCCAGGGCGGTTCCTGGCACGTTGCCATGTGCTTCGGCATCTCGATTTCCGGGAGCAGCGGTGGGTTGCCGGCTCAGGCCTGCGCAATGGTCATTGACTGAAGCACTCTGTCAGACTCGGCCTTGTCATTCACCTACAAGCTAGTACGAGCAAGCGCTTCCGGGGACGGTCCACGGCAAGGATATTCTGGTGGGGAGAGGGGGGGAGGGGGAGTATGGAAGAGATGGGACGTTTGCCTTCGTTCCGATATCGACAAGGTCCGGCACCGCGGAGTTCGGCTGGTACCCTGGAAGCCGTTGCAATGACGTCGGCCTCGTCGGTACCCTCGTCCTTCGTGCAAGAGGCTTGCATACAACGATATAAAGCCGCTCATTGCTCGCGCCGACATGTCATATTCTGTCGTCGTCTTTTATCACGACGTCGACGATACCGGTCGATTCTGAGGGACCGCTCTACCCTAAACCCTTAACCCCCATAAAGTTATGTTCACCCAACCTTTCTTTTATACCCACTTGGTTTTTGGACGAAGCCAGAGATATTCAGGAGGTAGGCTACCCATCAAGAAGGCTAGGTGAAATGCCCCATGTGGCTACGTTCCTGCATTTCTGGCTTCTCGGACCGGAACTGTCCATCGTCGGCCAGTTGCAAACTGCTGGTCATCGCCGAACTCGGTTGCTGTGTCATCTTTTTCGTGGTCCGATGAACACACTGCAAAATTACGTCTCGGACGGTAATGCTGAAGAGGGCGAGATGCTTCGAGTATATCTTGTAGTATTTCGACCATTGCCTTTGCTCAATCGTTCACGACGGATTTTGTTGGAACTAAGCAAACCATCCTTCATTGGCGTGGCTCGTATATCTCGCCATCGAAAAAGAGGAATTCCAACATCGATGAATTAGCCTTGCCAACAGCTCTGATGTTTTTTTTTTATAAATCCGGAAACCCTGATGGCTGTCTAGTTCGGACCGCCTGTCGATCGCAGTGACCTTAGATCCGAGTACATATAACCCTCGCGGTGGTATAACGCACCAGTCTGTGTTGAGATGGATTGTGCGCGTTGAGAGGGTGGTTTACCTGCGTCGACGATGGCGACGGCTGCCACACGAGTATCTCCTGGGCGTAAGGCTTTTTCTTAAGGCACACCACCAATATAGAGCGACTTTAAACCGATCAAGAGTTACCGTGCTTGGTCAGCCGCGGTGGCATGCGGCGGCAACTTAGTCAAGGCGCCAGCCTCAAAAGAAGAGGTATGCAATGCTACGTAAGAAACGATCAGCTCGTCATAATGGATCAAAGTTATGACAATTCTCTTGATAGCCTTGTCTTATGAATATCGTATGGAGAAACAAATGAGGCATGCATAGCTTGCTCGGCTTGGACATACCTTCCTATTTCACCTCGCGACCGATGCGATCCAATCGTACAGCTGTGGACACCCGGCATATGTTATCGTACTTCAGCGCCAAGCAACTGGAAGCCGGTGCTGATAAAGTCTTCGACTAGAAACCCGCGATGCCGTCACACCGCCCGTGGCATGTCACCACACATTTGGTAAGAGAAAAAACACATTTGGATGGGCTGAGAATGACTGAACATGCAAGGAGCGATGATACTGATACCACTGCCGTGCACCAAAGACAGAAGTATGCGAGTCCTTGGGCTGGTATGGCCGTCTTGACGTTTGGACGAACTACCCGGGAAAGAACGGACAAACCAAGGAGATAACAAGAGCCTGGCAATACTGATGAATTTCAAACGGACAACAGGACGCCACAGACGGTGGCGAACCAGATACAGAAGATGCCCACATGTTCGTTGGGAAGGGCTGGGCAAGCCGGGTGCAGAAGGCTTCTTTTCTTAGTTGAGGGTAGGTTGTAATACCTACCTATACGATAGGAAAAGTCAAATCTGTCTGTTCCTTGCTACCCCAGATGACCCGCTGATTTGTCCCCTCATGATTGAGTTATGAGGTCGTCTGAAGAGACTTTTTTTTTCTTTGTTTTCGGAGCTTCTAGGCTCGCCCGAACGGTGACCATGACACTAAAACATGTCATTGTCACATGGTAGGCGGCAACGGCCGGGGGGTGGGAAGACTGGAGCGAAGAGAAACATGGCGCCACCGAGTGGCCAGAGCAGCGGCCATCGGGTGCATTTGAATTGGCGAATCAGGGCGCTCGGAGCATTTGTAGCGGACGGTGGAGATTTGGGCTCACAATAGCACGATAGCACGGTACTTACCCATCGTACGTCGACTGAGTGGAAGCTGCTTGTCTCGTCTTATTTCGCCTGACGCAGGTCCGCTGCGCTGCGCTAGTCCGTTCGCCCCTCCCCTAAGCTCTTCCTTGCTTCTGATCCACCAATCCCGATCATGCTTCAATGATGTCAGGAGCGGGCCAGGGTAAGCAGAGAGAGAGTTGTTGAGATACCAACTTGCATGCAAGTATGTATGCTCGGGCTCGATCGATGAGATTGCCTCATGCCGTCTTGTGCCCGTTTAGCATAGCCCACCTTTGTTTGTCTTTTGTCTTGTCTTCCCTTTCCATCCCGCCTCGTCACACCTACCTACCTACTTTGGCTCTTAGACACATCAAGAAACCCTCGACCCAATATGAAGGCAACCACCTCGCCGAATCCGTAACCCCCTGTCCCCGAGGTTCCTTTGATCCTAAGCATTCCATCGTTCGCAACCGCCGCCGTGCTCACCACTACCACACCGTGCCACGTTCGGTTCCTGCTGATCATCACTACCACCACCACCGAATTCGGCTCGACTGGCCGGCCAGTCATGTATGCCCTTTGACTCCAGCCCCCCAACACCGCCAAGATGAGATTGTTCGCGCTATATTCCCGTGACGCCATGCGCCGGGCTGGCACGATAGCCTTTCACCACAGCGTCAATGTCGGGCGCATCAGAACTCATGGTCTCCTCGTTCACAGGCGACCCACGCTGTCGCGTCAGTCGAAGCACAGCTTCTTCACCGCGACTGAGGAGAGCTCGCCGCCCAAGAAGAAGACGTCCCTTCCCGTCGCCCTGCTCTCCGGTGCCTTGTTCTTATGGCTGCTGTACCCGTCGGAAGAGTTTGAGCGGCTGTCGCTTGCCCAGGACGAGAGGAGCAATAGGGTTCGCGATGGCCAAGCCGGGAAAGCGACCGGCGGCTCCAACGACGGCGCCTGGTACAATTTTGCACTCAAGTTCGAGACCCTGTCCGACGCCACCGATATCCAGTGGAGCGCCGACAAGATTGTCGGCTTCATCCTGCCAGAATGGTCCAGGCTGATCCCCGGCTACATCCGGAAACTCCAGAGAGAGGTGAGTCTGCCGGCGCTCTTGCTCCCTTGCTTCAATGTACTGACCAGGCCAGCTATCCATGGCACCTGGGTCTCTAGCCGACGAAATTTGGCGAGAAGCCCACGATCCCTTTGCCAACCCCGAAGTGCAATATGGTGCCAGTGTGAGAGTCTCCAACGACCTCTGCGACGAAGAAAAAGAGTTTCTGGCTAGGAGAAAGAGGGTCACCACTATGGCCTTGGCTAAGTACTTGGATCTCGACGAAAAGGATGTCCACCCAGAAGACGTCCCGACTATCGCCATGTGTGGCTCCGGAGGCGGCCTCAGGGCCCTCGTCGCTGGCACCGGCTCTATGCTCGCTGCCGACGAAGACGGCCTTTTCGACTGCGTCACTTACACCTCCGGCGTGAGCGGTTCCTGTTGGCTACAGGCGCTGTATCACTCGTCTATCTCGGAAGGTAGCATGGACCGCCTCTTGCAGCACCTAAAGGCTCGCGCCGGCATTCATATTGCATACCCCCCCGTAGCTTTCCAAACTCTGCTCTCGGCGCCTACAAACAAATCCATCCTGAGCGGCCTCGTTGAGAAGCTCAAGGGGGACCCAGGAGCCGATTTCGGACTGGTCGACATTTATGGCCTTCTCTTGGCGGCGAGATATCTAGTCCCCAAAGGCGAACTAGAAGTAAACGACCGGGACTTTAAACTCTCTAACCAGCGAGACTACATCAAATACGGACAGAATCCGCTCCCCATCTACACCGCCGTCCGCCATGAGATCCCTGACGTCGACCTCGACGGGAGCGGAGAGGTCCCTTCAACATCCGAGGCAGCGAAGGAAGTTGCTAAACAAGAGGCCTGGTTTCAATGGTTCGAAATCACACCTTACGAGTTCTTCTGCGAAGAGTTTCAAGCAGGCATTCCAACCTGGGCCATGGGAAGACGCTTCGAAAACGGCGTCGACGTACCCCCTGAAGAAGGTTTCCACCTGCCCGAAACCCGCTTGCCCTTCCTCCTGGGCGTTTTCGGCAGCGCCTTTTGCGCGACACTCAGCCACTATTACAACGAGGTCAGGCCCATTGTTCAGAGTATCGCTGGTTTCAGCTCTTTGGACGGCATGATCACCGGTTACAACGAGGACCTCAGCAAAGTACATCCTATCGACCCTGGCACTGTTGCGAACTTCGCCTATGGTATGGAGGACAAGCTCCCCGACACGGTACCAAAGAGCGTGTACAAGTCAGAGCACATCCAACTCATGGACGCTGGCATGTCCAACAACCTTCCCATCTACCCGCTTCTTCGGCCGGGTCGAGACGTTGATGTTGTTGTGGCTTTTGATGCATCCGCAGACATCAAGACCGACAATTGGCTTGCAGTCGCCGATGGTTATGCCCGCCAGCGAGGTATCAAGGGCTGGCCCGTCGGCGTTGGCTGGCCCAAGGCCGGGGAATCATCAAAGCAGGTCCGCGATGAGTTGCTAGAGGCCGAGGCCGCATCCACGCAGGAGGCAGACCAGAAACTGTATGAGGCCAAGGAGTTCCAACACGAGCACCACGCTGGGGAGAACCAGCCAAACGAAGACACGCAGAAGGGACAGGCTTCCAAGTTTAGTCCCGGCGACGAAGAGTCCGGAGAGCTTGGTTATTGCACAGTCTGGGTCGGCACAACTCAGGAGCGCACCTCGGAACCCCCACCTCAATCGAAGGCCATCGACGAGTCCACCTCCTGGCAGCTCATGGAGCCCGACGCCGGCATCGCCATCATCTATCTTCCCTACCTCGCGAACCCCAAGGTGCCCGGCATCAACCCGGGCACGACCGACTTCTTGAGCACCTGGAATTTCGTCTACACACCGGACCAGATCGAGCAGGTCGCCGCGCTCTCGAGGGCTAACTATGCTGAGGGGCGGGAAAAGATCCGCGGCACGGTGCGGGCCGTGTACGAGCGCAAGAAGAAGCTCAGACTCGAAAAGATTGAGAAGTCCCGGATGGATCGGTACAGGCGGTTGGTAAGGCAGGGCATGGCACACAAGCTGGGCGAAGGTGATCAGTTCAGCTGATATCGTCGTGTTATTGGAGTTCATAGATTGAAGATACCCAGGAGAGAGATGGAACGGCGCCCATTTGGCAAAGGTTCTTTGTAGACTAGCTGACAAGCATATTGTATTGTTATATTCTAAAATGGAGGTACCAGCATTCGTCCTTTAACAGGGACTGCGATGCCATGGCTTCAGGACGGTGTCTCCTTGGCGAGGACACGGCGATTTGATTTTGGAGTCCAGCAGATCGTTCCCGTTTCGAGGAGTGTCTTTTTTTTTTATACAAATCTATTCATCTTACAGAAACATGCTTGACCTTTCTACATGTCCTTGTTTCAAAATGTACACTGCCAAAAAGAGGCATATTGGTCATCCGGGATCACCTGTCCCCTGGCGGTTCAACGACATCTCCCCCTTTACCCTCTCCACCTCCTATTTCACCTGCCTGCCGCCTTCTCTCTCCTGTTTTGCCCAGGTGAATGGATTACATTTGATGGATTCTTTTTTTTTTTGGTGCCCCTTTCCCCCTTGTTTCTCTTCCTCTCCTCATTCCCCTGTTTTTGTTGTACAGTTTAGATGATCTCCCCCATGTCGATGTGCAAAGGCTTCCACGGCTTGGCGCCCTCAACGAGCATATCGCTCGGGACGCGGACCTTGGCGCCGGGACTGTAGAGGTACCAGGCCTTGAGGGCGTTCATGGAGGCCTGCAGGCGGGCGAAGTCAAGGCTGGCGCCGGTACCCTCGCCGAGCTTGTCGCGGCCGCTGTAGATGCCGACGACGTAGACGGGGGTCCTGCTCATGCGGCCCGTCTCGCTCTCGAGGCGGGCGACGGGGGCCTCGAAGCCCTCGCGGGCGCAGAGCATGGCCAGCTCGCGGGTGGGCAGCTTGAAGCTGAAGAGCTTCTCGAGGTCGACCTTGCGGCTGAGGACGTGGGCGTCGATGAAGGCGCGGGCGGCGTCGCGGCCGGCGTGGGCGTAGACGGCCCCGGCGACGGCGCGGACGAAGGCGGCGTGCGCGTTGTTGCGGATCTTCATGTACTGCTCCCGCGCGATGGCCGGGTCCTCCGGGTCGGCGGCGGGCTCGAGCGGGTTCGGCTCGGGGGCGTGCAGAGTGTCGCCGAACTCGTCGTCGAGCACGACGCGCGACGACACGGAGCGGCGCCACTTGTACTTGTCGAGGTGGCGGTGCTCCTTGCGGACGTAACCCCAGCGGCCGTGGACGACGCCAGCGGCCGGGTCCTGGGACCACTGCAGCAGGCCCGGGTCGACCTCGCCGCCGGGGGCGGCCGCGCTCTCGACGCCCCACTGGCTCGCGACGCGGTAGAGGGAGTCGGAGCCGGCGTAGGCGCGCATGGCCTCGTAGAGGATAGCCATGGGCAGGCGCGGGTAGTGGGCGATGAGCCACTCGGAGACGTGGTAGCCGATGAGGGTGCCGCCGACGACGGCGAGGTTGGCGTTGTTGAAGTTGGGGCTCGGGTCGGCCGAGGGGTCGACGAGGGCGCGGGCGAGGGTCTGGAGGGGAAGCTTCTCGGGGAGGGAGAGGCGGGCGTGAAGGGCGGCGAGCTTGGCGGAGCTGAGGGCCTTCTTGGGGAGAGGTGACGGGAGGGGTTTCGGGCCGGCGGGTGTCGTCGTTGTCGTCGTCGAGGAGGCGTCGAGGGACTCGGAGGCGAGGTGCGGCGCTGCCGCTGCCGCTGCCGCCGGTTTGGTCGAGCTGAACATGGATCGTGTCCGCACCGGGTTGCTTGGCCGGGAGAGCTGCTGTGGTCTAAAGGAGATGGGCGTCAGGCACGACGAGGCGTGCGTCCCGGCCGGGGCATTGAGCAGTTGCCCGGTGCATCTTGATATCCTTGACCTCTTCATCTGGCTGCTGGACGGAAGGAACCGAACAAATAAGGGAAGGAGGGCGTAGAATAAGAAAGACAAGAGAAGGGCGGTATCAATTGGGTTGTTGTACAGGTTCCAGGTCTTTCGCTGGGTCGGAGTAGCGACGGTCCCTTTTTTTTCTGTCTCTCTCGCTCTCTCTCTATCTCTCAGCGGCCGGTCTCCCGTACACGAAAAAGTTTCTGGCCGAGTCGTGTGAGCTCCAGCAGCAGGATTGCTAGGGGCGGCGGGCCGTGCACGAGCCAGTCAGGCGCCGCGGAATATCCGAACCTCCGTGCCTCCGGCCAAGGTTCGGGCTCCACTCGCTCGCTGGGCAAGAGCGACTGGACCTTCAGATTCACGACGTCCCAAAGGCCGAAAAGCTCCAGTCCGAACCGAGGCGGGACAGCGATTGCCATCACCACACCACCTAGTCCTTCATATCGAAAGTACAGCCAAAATGGTAAGTCGTCCTTCGACTCTGTGTGCTGCGCCAATTGCTAACTCGCTTGCAGGGAGGCGGTCCTAAGGTTCCGTAAGTACTGCGCTTCTCGCAACCCGCCCGCCCCCCGGGTCCCTCGAAAAAAAGCGGCCTCCTCTAACGGCACGTTCTTCTCCGCGATACAGCTACCCCAAGCACGTCTGGTCGCCGGCCGGTGGTTGGTATGCCCAGCCCGCGAACTGGAAGCGCAACACCGCTGTCATCGGCGCCGTCATGGCTGGCGTCGTCGCCGTCATCTGGAAGATCAGCGCCGAGAAGGAGGTGCGCTACGTGATGCCTCAGGAGGGACGTTTCTTCCCCAGCAGATAGTACGTTCACCATGCGCGGTCATCCCGGAAACAAGAGCGTTCGCTAACCATTGGGGGGGTGGGCACAACAGCTGGTCGAAGCAGTTGATCGAGTACGACAGAGAACAGGCCGCGCGGAAGGCCAAGGACACAACGCAGGCGGAGGCGGTTCAGAACTCATAAACGACTCGGACGGTCGATGAAAATTTGTACAATGTATATATGGCACCCGAGGAATTGAGCGCCGCGCGGCAGCGGCAGTTGCGAATAGTGGGTGGAACTGCCATCTATCGACCACTGTGACGACCAAGTCTCGCCTGAACGCGTCTTCCACCACCAGCTTCTGGTGATATTCGAGGCGGCTGTCCTGAACCACCTGACAAGCGCCAGATAAGGCGCACATGACTATTAACTGTGCGGCTGGCAACAAAGCCTGGTAAGATGCAAGTCATCCCTGTCGCGTTTAGTATCAGGAACTGGAAGAAGACAGCGTCTATGAGAGCCACCCCCTCGTCCATCACGGCGAATAATCGAGCTTGCGGCTCCAAACACTTTGTCATCCAGCGACAATGGACCGTTCCAGCAGCTCAGTTTGAGTGACAACATGGGTAATGCTCTTGACCAATCACAAAGGTTGCAAAGGTAAGTCGGTAAGTGGGTCACATTGGATCGTGAGGTTCAAGATGTCTCCCTACCTATCCATAACTTTGGTTATGGCCGTTGCTGTTCCGCGGAAGCCCAAGTCTCCGGCTTGACCCGTGCCAAGGAACGGGTGGTTTGGCCTGGAGACCTGCGGCGAGAGGGCGAGCAGAGGCGCCGAATGTGTTTCCTGCATGGTTTCGGGCAAAGAATCGATAGATATAGCAGGGTGATGTGAACCGGTCGCCTCACCCACGACCCGAGTGTGCCCGCTAACTCGTTCTGGATCTCAGCCGTGAACGGCACTACTGATGTGCGAGTTTAGGCATGTGTTATTCGGACATTGGCCCAAGTCACTTGCCTACGGATGCCTCGCTTTTCCTTTTTGCCTCTGCGGACCTAGGTTTTGCCATTAGTTGTTCAAGAGCAGTAGGGAGGGGGTGAGCGCATGAGTTTCACCACAGCTCAGGCTGCCGCGAACACGAATGCAAGCCCGGGATACGAAGACTATGTGCACGATCACACCCATCTCTCATGAACCACGTCACTTTCACTTCAACGCCGTCTTCTGCTTTCTCTTCTCCGGGAGAGTTGCGGGATTGAGCCTCGCGGTACGGGTAGAGTAGCCGGTTCGGAGCCATGACAGGGTCGCTACTTTGCCCCTGTGAGAATGGCACAGGCGACGCACACATGAATAGTTCAAAGGAGCAGCCGCGCTGCTCTATTTACGGGGTATACGAATTCGCGTCCTCGATGCCGATGCCTGAGCTGAAGTTTGTTGTCCAGGGATTTCGGAATGTGCTCCCCCCCTCCACCTCTTCGCTGAGTTGCGAACACGTTACGTCGGATCATTCGTCTTTTACTCCGCGTTGTTGCTCACTTACAAAGAATCGCAACCAGAGCAGAAAGACTATGGTAAAAGCTCATACGCAACGATGTCAAGATATGGCTATAGGCCACCTAGAGCTTATGTGAGGGACAGATTGCCGGAGAGCGTGATGCTTCATGTAAAGGCAGAGAAGTTGATTGTAATGCAACTGTCTTGTGTGCCGGATTTATTCCACGGTGGGCATGGATGCTCCTTGCTGGCTCTTTACATCTAGGCTCAACTCTTCTGCCTCGGTGCATGATTGTTCTCGTGTGTATGGTAGACCCGCGTCGGGGTGGTTTCTGTCGCGATCCGGATTACGGGGTTATGGTATAGCCCCTACAATTGGAAAGCTTATGCCGCTTCCCTCATCAAGGCAGGTCTGGACACCCAGAGTCGACCATCGACAGAAGAAAAGTCAAAGAGCCATGTCTTTGTTGGGTGTATCAGAACTTGGACACGGAATAGGAGATGTGATCCTGTCCGACACGGATCCTCGGTTTGGACACAGATGTACACAGTCTCCCGCTACTTCTTAACTACCTTGAGAAACCGATTCCGGCTTGCGGCCTGGTGGGAAACCGCCCAGAGCCCGCATCATTCCGCTGTGAGCTACGAGAAAGACATAGAGGGGGGGGGGGGGGGGGGGGCTTGGAACTTTCCCCTCGCCAGACAGCCGCGTCGTGAGGGCGAGACGGCTCGTCAAATGCGTGCGGGGCTCGAGCGTTGTTATATGGACAACAGCATCCTTCCTCCAGGGTTTCGCGTCATGAACGCCGGGCACCGGCAAGCTGGCCAGCAACTGTGCCCGGCGAACGAGTCAATGGCGGTCCGATCATGACGGCAATGGACCTGATAGGGTCGACATACACACGGGGTCCTGCCACCGCGAAGAGCCCCCGGCTGAGATACATGGGCGGACTTACCGGCCTTGGGCAAGTTGGACTTATAGTGACGGGGGCAAGTAGACCGCCTCATCGGGAGGCGTTGCTCTATTCCCCCGGAAAGAGGGATAAAACCAATACGCAGGAACGTCGCGTTGTTTGTCGTGGCACAATGAGACCATCTACGGATTTGCCACCTAGCTCGAACCTCTGCTCGTTGGAAAACATCACAAGACCCCGGTTTATCACGTAGTAAACAAGCAGGAAGGTCGCATCGAGTTATGAGCATCTCACTGTATACCTAGCTTGCTACACACGAGGGAGCAGCTCTAGCGTTCTGTCCTTCCCAGGACACTAACTTCTCTCTCATCTCGCCCTCTTTCGATTTGTCTTGTCCGTCCAAAAGACTTCGTGCCATCCAGCAACTATAGCATCCCCTTCATGAAGACATACGGAAGGGACTCGACGCAACCCGCGCCGTCCCGCCCTAATATGGTCGTCCCAGCATCTCGCGAGGCCGACCAAAACCCAGCCACCAGAGCTGCAAGAACTCATTGAAAAATAAAAAGCAAACAAGAATGGGCAATATACATCAAGCACTAGGCAGTTTCCCTACCCCGCTGTTCTATCGTCGCAACTGCAGAAAGGCAGACTGCCAGTTGATTCGATTGAGTTGGGCCAGGTATATAGAATCGAAATCGCAAAAAGGGGATCTGAATGAGCGTCGAGAAGGATGAAAGGAAGGGGGGAAAATATGCGGGCCTTGACTGGTATCAGGCTGCACAATGGGTGTATTGAAAGGTTTGTCGTGAATGAGTAACTCGAATAGTAAAAACGCGTCGTCGGATTCTCCCTTTGATCGAATTTATTACCGTAAGAGACCTGTTGGAGCGAAACCCCCGATTTCTTTTTGCTAGTTCGCAGAAAACGCCTTGCCTTTGCTGACCAGAATGCATAATAGACCCGGGTCTATCGCAGAACCACGAAATGAAACTCATCCTTTGTGCCAAAAGACGTTATATACGCAGTGATTCGGTGTACGTGGGTACTGTTTTGGCGCAGCTTATACGGCTTGTCCGGGAACGGGTTTCCGGCCAACAGACCCCACAGGCGGGCCTGGACGACCCTGGGCTGGCCCTGGGTTGCTCTGAGGACTGTTGGGAGTGATTCGAGTGGGCTGGGGGATTCTGCTAGGTCCCGGGCTCTGGTTGCGACCTCCCATTTCGTTAGGGCTTTGAGGTCGTTGTCCCGGAGGTCCTTGATAGCGGGGACCAGGAGATTGAGGGCGGCCGCCAGGTCCCATAGGGCCATGCCCGGATGGGGAAGCGGGTCGGCCACCATGAGGACCACCTTGAGGAGTGAAAGGACGCTGACCAGGAGGGGCGTTAGGGCCGGGGCCGCGGGGAGCCCCGGGACCGGTCGGATGACCACGCGGAGGACCTTGAGCCTGGGGGGGCCTGGGCTTGACAGGGCGAGCGGACAGACAGGTGCGAGGGACAACACCCTGCTGCGATCTATCCAAGCGGATGCAAAGCGCCTATTGATGTGTCAGCTTAAGAATCATGACATGTTGACGTTGCATGTAACTTACCCAACCATCGTCGTACTCGTGGAGAAGACGCACAAGCTGACCAGCTCTCAGTTCCATCTCGTCCTCGAGGGTAGGCTTGAATTCGAGCTGTACCCGGTGAACAGTCGTGTTGACAGGGCCACCAGCGGCGGCAATGGCAGCAGAGCCAGTAGAAGGCGTGGACTGGTAACCAGGGCCGGCAGAGTCCCTGCTGTAGGTGGTTCCGGCGGGGGAAGCGGGGATGAGAGACAAGGGGGTAATCGGGCCAGGCAGAGTGAGATCCAGTGCCTTGGGGCCGTCCTTCCGGATCGACGTCTTGCGAGTCAAATTTCCGGCCGAGGGACCAGCGGCAGCAGCACCGACAGCAATACCAATAGCAGCACTGGCAGGGGAGGCGTCCGCAACGCTGGGCAGGGGCTTCTCGTTGAGGTCCAAGGAGCAGACGGACTCCTCGGGAATGGGTCCATTGATTCTCTCGGCTTGAGCGCCAAAGGGGTTTGCGGGGTTCGCGCTCTGGCTCGTCGTCGGTCTTTCCCAGGCGCTTTGGTTCGGGTTGCGGATACCGAGAGCAGCAGCAGCAGGAGCCAAGTTGGCGTTCATGTTGGCAGCCGGGCCTTTGCTGGCATTATCCATGTTCAGGGTGGGAGAAAACTCGGTGACGGGACGGAGGCTGATGCGGGGAGCGTAAGGGTTCTGGCTAGTCACAGCGGCGGCGGTTCCGAAGCCATCGCTCTTCTCGTCCTCGTCGGCTAGGCGCTGCTGCTGCAACTGCTTCTTGCGGCGGTTGAAAAGGAAGAAGACGAGCAGGAAGACAACAAGAACACCAGCTAGGACACCGATGGCGATGCCGGCCTTTGCGGCACCGCTTGTCTCGGCACTGGCCGGTTTCTCAGCGGCGGCCGAGGTCGGGGTCGGCGAGGAGGAATAGATGGCACCGCCACCGATCACAGTCGCGGCAGACGTGGCAGGTCTGACAAGAGTCGGGGTGTCAGTTGCGATGGCGAGGGTAGTGGGAATGCTCCCAGAGAGGGTGAGGGGGTCATCAATGACTGAGGGCAGCAATGTAGCCGTGTCGGCGTCGGCGGCGGTGGGAGTGGTGGAGGAGATGTCGGGCGTCACAACCAGGGGCGCGCCGGCCCTCGCGATAGTGGTCTCGGCGAGGTCAGACGACGGCGATGTCGCCTGGGTGGGAATGGGAGGTTGGGCGAGAATTGGTGGCGAGGACGGGCTGGGGGCGAGGCGAGGATCACCGTCGGTGACGGTCTGGTAAATGGTTTTGACAACGGTCGACCGGGCTTGTCTCGTATTAGCGCGCTGTGTGGTTGGGGCTCCATCGCCATTGTCCTGCCGGATCTCGAAGTTACCTCCATTGCCTCCGTTGTCGTTATCGGGCGCGAAGGGATTAAGATTCGCCAATTTACTTCCAACATCGTCCCAGAAGTCAGGGTTGCGGGGCAGACGCCTGTGACGGTGATAATGATGAGCCATGTCCAATGATGAATGAGTGTCTGATCCGAGGCAATCGAGATGGGGGGACTGCGACTAGTACAGCCAGCAGTGATTGCGATATGTCGAGATAGGTGAGGTAGTTTGTATCGTCAAGGTCGTGGGTAGAAGAAGCTGGGTATCTGGAAATGAGGGAGAATGTTGCATTTGCAAGAGAGGCTGGTGATGGGATCGTTGGCGGAACGTTGGGTCCACTCCTGAGAGAAGGTGATTTTCGTGAGGTTGTCGTCAAAAGAATGAACAGGCTGTAAACGGAACCAGCCAGGGGATCGTCGTGGAGGAAGGAGTGTTAAGGCGGTTGAACACACGAGTTGGTGGTGGTGTCGAGAGGACGTATGGGGGTTTGTGTGTTGTTTGGAACGAACGAATGCAAAGCGGCGCTGGGCTGGAAAAGAGAGTAAAGTGAGAAGGTAGGTGAGGGTGAGAACGTCGAGGTGATGGATCTCAGTACCAGCTCACAAATGGTTGACAGTGGCGAAGACGTGTCAGCGGGTTGTCATGAAGACAAGGTGATGCCGTACGTTGGGCGTGTGTGGGTGGAAAGAACGGATGAATCTGCACAGGGTGACTGACACTTGGGGGCTGCGGGAGAAGACGACCGGATTCTCTCTACCTTGATGCAGCAAGCAGTGCAGTGAGTGGCAGCAACCAGAAGCAGTCGTTCCCAACGAGCGTGTGCAGTTCGGACGTGATAGGGGAGAAGGGGAAAAGGTGGAAGAAGAGACAGACAAAAGTGGGAGGGGGCAGCGAGAAGAAGGGAAACGGGCACGTCGAGGTTGCATGCAGTTCAAGGCATATACGCTGGGATGATTGGGAAAGGGCCCCGAGCAAAGTTGGACGGAAGTTGACAAGGGTCTGAGCGGGTGGACGATGGATTGGATGAAGGTCCTTGTTGCACTTCGGACCCAAGCTGGATGAGTTCTTACGTAGTACTACCTACGTAGGTACCTGACGGCACTCAACCCCCCGGGAAGACAGGCACACGGTAGGAAACAGGGCAAATGCTTAGAAGACCGACTCTCTATCTTTCTCGCTCTCTCTCTCTCTCTCTCTCTCTCTTTCTCTCTCTCGACCCGGGGGGGGGGGGAGGGGGGGGGATGGCCGAAAGTCAGGTAGCGACGGCGAGGCCCGTGAAGAAAGCCAGGATAAGAAGGGAATGGCGCGCTTGCGTGCGCGCGTGGTGCCATGGAAAGAGAGGCCATGGCTCCCCTTGCTGCCCATGCAGTCAGTCACTGCCGTGTGTTAGTCCCTCCGGGGGTGTTGCTTGGTGTCGCTTAGTGCGGAGAGAGCGCATGCGGGCGCTCAGATCACAATTTGCACTTTGAAAGAAACAACAACAATAACACTGCGTAAACCAACAAAAATATCCAACAATGGGGGACCCGACAGACGAACGACCACAAGCACGAGGCACAGGGGATACGGAATAGGCAGTGGCGTGGCGGTCCCGGAAACCAACGGTCCTTGGACAATGCATACATACCGGTAGGGATACATAGGAATTAGTACCGTACCTACTTCCCTATTTCCCTACGTAGTAGTACTTCCTCACCTACAGAGTACTCCGTACATACACCTAGTACTCCGTATACTACTACATACGTAGTCGGCTATAGTTTCCGTACCTCAGATACGTACTCACAGCCACTTCCCGAGTCAGCGTTTCACCCACCCGCCCTGTTTTCTCTCCTTTCTTGTCCTCCCTTGCGCCGTTGAGGGAACACGCCGATGGCAGCAAACAAGACATTTCACGATGGTGGCACCGACGTCTGTTTGTTTGCCCGCTGCGCTGCTCGCACAGCAACCGAACCGTCATCAGTGGTGAGGAAAACATACGGGTATGTTGGGTATAGCCTCGTCTTCTGTCTCCCTGCGCGATAGCGGCCGCAATGCCGTCACATTCACTCTTACAAATCCCTCACTCGATTGCGCGCAAGCCCAGCACCCGGTCGGTCGCATTTCCCATCTATCCATCCACATCCACACCGGCGCCCATCTTCATCAGCGCAACGCGCAATGCACATGCTGCGCTAAAGCAGGGGCTTCCCTCTACCCCTGTCTTCACGTCAGGTCCCAGCACCACCTGGTTGGCCATAAAACTCGCCGGCCTAGACCCACCACACCCCGACTTGGGAATAAACGAGATTGTTTGCTCGGGGTTCCTCCCATCTTTATCCAATCATATTCTTCAAGGTGGGTACATCAACGACATGGGTTGCCCAACTGCCCCAAAATCCAAGTGCAGGCAGGCATCACACCCACAAGCGCCCTTCCCCCTTTCCCTTGCACAACTACTACTACTACCACTACTACCTACCTACACAGCGCAGTTTTTGTACCAATATCTAAACGCTTTTTATTTTCTCTCTACAAACGGCAGCGCTACAGTTCCCTTCGAGAAGCCTAGCACACCTGCCCTCCTCATGCAGGCCACCGCATTAAGAGGAAAAAAGAAGAGAGAAAAAATACGAATGCACCGAAATAGATTTCACCGTCGCTTCTCTCTCTGCCCTGGCTCAAGCCTCTTGTGGTCGGCGTTGGCGTTAGCGTGTATGCAGTTCCCACGCCGCATTGCCTATCATCATCTCAGCTGTTTCGGCCCGGAAACTCTAAAATGAGCCTGCCATGACCAGTGCCTTCCTCACACATGTCGCACCTGACAAGCGACAGTCGACAGCTCATCCCATCAATGTCTCCCCGGAAGGAAGAGAAGAAGCAACTATGGATGGCCTCCTCCACCAACTTATATGCCACATTCTATGCTCCTGTCAGCGACGGATTGCACTCAGAAGTTTCCAACCCCTTTACTCGTCTCCCGAGAGCCTTACCGCGCCTCTTTGAAGAAGAGCCCTACATTGGGGGCGAGAATTCCAAGACATGTGCCTGCCTTGACGTCAGCGACACAATGGGGACTGAGATTGATCATATTTCTGAAACAAACCAGCCTAGGTATCCCCCCTAGGGCCGCCTTTTGCCTTGTCTCTTCTCCCCAGGATCTACAGCCCCAGTCAAGTACCGGGTGCCGCTGGCCCAGGGTCCTGATGCCCGGCAACTTCCACTCGTTTCTGATGCCCATCTCCACACTCAAAATGACCGACTCTCCCTCAGCCCACTGCCAACCTTATCCCGCCGTCACCCATGCGGCAACAGGCGAAGGGTTGATGGAAAATCTGCGAGCAATTTCCAGGGGGGGGGGAATATACCTGTAATAGACCCGAATGTGACTTTAAAGGAAAGCACCACGTGCAACCAACAAATATTCGGACATCACGAATGGAGGAGCCTCTCCAGAAGTCGAAGGATTGGTTCGCTTTCATGACAGAACCCACCGGGTCCAAACTCTGGCCCAGGGACGCGGTCAAACAGGCCTCGGTGCCGTAGGTCTTCACACTCATCTTACTGCTTGCTGTGCAACGTCACTCGACAACCACCCCGACCAGGTGCCGGTGGTGGCGGCCATTGTTTCAAGCACTTCAAGCCCAGTCTGACGGAGTGGCTCGCTCCGGTTATTTGGGAGAAACAAATGCAGGGCCGGTGGTGACCCACTTGCGTCCTTCGGGCCTACCCACGTAATCTAGCTTCGCTACTGGGCGTCTCGTGTCGTCTCCCCATCAGACTCCCCTTGCTCGAAACGCTCAATCTTCCATGCAGGCAGCCGGGTGGCGAATGGCCATCGAAAGCCGTCGAGAATAAACATGTCACACACGCCAGCCCGATTACTCCAGGCGTAAGTAGCTTAAGCCTTGGGGGGCCAGCATTTTCTGCTGTTCCAGCAAACACGCACGGCCTTGAATACATCAACTTTTATCTATTCCCTAGACTAGGCCGTCTCTTCCGTTCTAGGTGCGTTTTAGAGACATCGTCGTCCGTTACTAATCCAACATGGCTGTTTTGGCGATTCGCTATTCGATTTTTATTTTTTTATTTTTATTTTTCAGCTCCGAACCTGGGTGGGCTGGCAAGCCAAGCCACCCAGCACGGTTCGCGCCCCTGGCTTCGAGGCCTCATTTGCGTGGGACGTCCGCGCTCGTCGCGGGCAGAGCACAAGAGTGTCCAGTCCTTTAGAACACTACAGTGCCTGGTCCAACTCGCCTCGTCGTCGGCCGCGTCCGGATACTGAAGAGCGCATCTAAACAGGTCGAGACCTGCCGTTCTACTCCTCGACGGAGGTCCTCTAGCCACTGCACATGTTCTTCCAAACATTTTCCCCCTTCCGCCAGTTCACCGCGGAGGCGGCTGAGCGCCCCATGGATGCGGTGGTTGAGGAGGCTGCTGAGGCTGCTGAGGCGGTTGTTGTCCCTGATTCTGCTGCATCTGACCCAGCAACGCCGCGAAGAAGGCCGGGTTGATATACGCGCCGCTCTGCGGGTTCTGCGCCGTCTGTCCGCCCTGCGCCGGCCAGCCAGGCGGCGGCGGCGGGACGGCGGGAAAGCCCTGCTGTCCCGCCTGCACCGGCAAGCCAGGGAAAGGGAAGTTGAACGCAGGCGCCGCCGGTGCCGGCACGGTCTGCTGCGGGGGGGGAGGGGGGGGGGCTTGGTAGCCGCCGTTGCCACCCCATTGTCCTTGAGGCTGCTGTAGGCCGCCGCCGCCCTCCTGTTGCGACGAATGATGCCTTTGGTGCGGGGGCGCCGAGTATCCGTCCCTGTGGTCCGCCCCTCCCCTCCCTCCGTGACCGCCTCGTCCGCGGCCGCGGCCTCCTCTGCCTCTGTCGCCGCGTCCCCTGAAGTCACCTCGGCCGCCCCTACGGCCGCCGAACCTGCCCGGCTCGGGTTCCGTCGTGAAGGTCTGCTGTGTCGGCGGAACCTGCCCGAAACCGGGGGGCCGCGCGAGCGGCTTGTACGGGCCGTCGTCCTCGTCGTCGTAGTTGAGGCCGCCTTCCACGGGCGGCGCGCTGACCTCGTTGCGCAGCGGGTGCGGCTCCCGACCGCCGCGTCCCCGCCCCTCGGCGCCGCCGCCGCCTTTGCCGAACCTTGCCTCCTTCTTCTTCTGCTTGACCTGCTTCTTGTGCTCCGCCTCCTTCTCGTCGTCCGAGAACTCCATCTCGTCCTCGGCCACCTCCTCGTCATGGATGTTACTCGCGTCGGAGCCCTTGAGGTTCTTGAGCGGCTGCGTGAAGACGAACTTTGCGTGCGCGGGCGGGTAGTACACCTTGGCGCCGACGGCCAGGCCGGCCTCCCTGATCTCGTCGGCGGTCGAGAGCATGACGGTGTACATGGGCTGCAGCACCTTGCCGATCGTCTCCCAGACGACACCGAACACCTTGCGGTCCTCGGTGCAGAGCACGGACCCCGTGTCGAGGACCTGGTACTCGCCCGGCGTGAAGGCCTTGATGACCATGATGTTGTCGACGATCTGGTCGACGAGGCCAAGCGCCTCGACCTTGTCGTCCGCCGCGAGCGTGACGTCGGGCTTGGGGATGGTCTCGACCACCATCTCGTTCTTGGTCCGGAGGTGGCCTGACGTGCCGGCCTTGCCGCCCTCGTTGCCGCCCTCGTCGTCCGAGCCGCCCTCCATCTCCATCAACATGCGCGCCGTCTCCTCCACGCCGAGCAGCTGGTAGCCGCCGGCCTCGGACTCCTCGTCGGACGAGGAGTCGTCGCTGCTCGATTCTGACGAGGACTCGTAGGGCGAGGAGTCGATCTCCCACTCGGGGTGTTCGCCTTCGGCAGCAGGAGGCTGTTCTACGGCGGCGGGTTGTTCTGCGGCGACGGCGACGACGACGGCGGCAGCAGCGGCATTGGCGCCCTCGACCGGCTGGGGCGCCGAAGTGTCTTGGGCCGCCGCTACGGGGGTTTCTTGTGCCGCTGCGGGAGCTTGGACGGGGGGCGTAGGGTCAAGTCCGCCGATCATGGCCTCGAGGGCGTCGGTAAGGGAGGGCTGCTCGGTGGCCTCGTCGACGTTCATAGCCTCGGGATCGCTGGGCTGGGCCTGTTCTGGCGCAGCGGCAGGCTGAGCTTCAGCCGTCGCGGCGGCGGGCTGGGTTTCCATGGTGTTCTCTCCCATTGTTGTGTCCTCGTTCTGTTCCTGCGTCTGCTCTTGCTTCTCCTCTTTCTTCTGGGCCTGGACGCCGGTACCGGTGTCGATGCCCTCGAAGCTGGCCGCTGCTGCGAGCACATCGGGTGGCAGAGGCGGCAGCGTCTCGTTGGGTTTCGCGAACCCCAGGCCGGGGATCTGAAAGCCCGACATGTTCCCGGCGTTTGGCAAGTATTCCGGTGATCGCTTCCACTTTCTGCTGGAAATTATGTTGCTTCTTGTAAGTCTGAATCGAACTGCGAAGAGTTCTCTAACGCGCGTTCACAATTGGGAAACAAACAGACCTTTGGATGGATGGGAGACTCGGGAGCGCAAAAGAAATCGAGGGAACCGGGGGACCGATAAGAAAATTTTAGTGGGGTCAACTCAGCGATAAAAAAATAAAGGTGGAGCAGTCCTGCATTGGCGCCGTTCCCCCCACCTCACCTGCTCCCAAAAAGAGTCACCTTGGACTTACACCCGCATTTCTGGTTTCAACACGTTCCCCATCGTCACCTTTGCCCCGAAACCAGATATTCCAAGCAGGGAAGTGAATAAAAGATAGCAATCACCATAATAATAGTATATCAGGGGGGGGGGGATGGACAAGGTCCGGCCTTTATCCGAAGATATAGACCTATGAAAATCCCGGAGGCTCTTACCAACCCCAGGTGTAACGATCAAGGATTTTATTGTGAGATTCATACTCACGACCTGTGGCCTGGAACGTTCAGTGACCAACTCACGAGACCATGCCTAGCAATCCCATGAGCCACGGGCGTTGGTGAAAGCTATGTCCATCTTTTGGAGGGAGGGGGGTGTTAGAGTATCGAACTGTGAAAGTCCAGATGGAGGAAGCTTGCTTGAGGAGCTTTGCTAATTGCCAGATGCCCTTTCTTGACTTTGTGACTAACCGTAACTGCCGGTCCTTCAGGATGGAATCATTTCTGAATATAACTACATGACTATCTACGCCTGTCCTGCATCCTTTCCAAGATAACGTAGTCTGGATATCTAAGTCCTGGTAACGCGAGCGCAGCAGCGCTTTATCTCACTAGCCGCTCGCCCTTGGACATTCGATATCCTGCTTATAGATTCGACTTTGTACTCGTCGATCCTGCAGTTGTTGGAGACGGATCTTCTTTTCTAAACAAACCCCATTCTTATCCTGGAGAAAAGCCAGAGATGACACCTCGTGTCCTCAATGAAAACAATAACCGTCTCTCGCGGAATTATAAGTCAGCATATGATGTTGTCGCAAAAACGACGCCGTTAATTACGGGCAGTAATTAACGCCTAATATGTCCTGTGACAGATGTCCAATGAATTGGTTCTTGAAACTCCACACCAGGCATATGATGGGGTGCGAGCACTGCAAGGAATACCTGCCCTCTATTGCACATGCATATAACCCGGGCAATAGACATATATCTGATGAAGCCTGCTGAGGCAAAATATATCAGCGCCCCGGATTTCATTGTAGACACAATAGTTTCAAGCTAGACATTCTACCAGGTAGGTGCTTTCGTACAAACTTCTACAAGCGTAGCATTGAGGAAATTTTTCTTGCATTCTTTGGATACGGTGCCATTAGATCTTGTGTTCAGGATACGGCATGTTGTAAGGAGTATTAGTGTCCGCTTAAACCCAGACCCTCCAGACTTTTGTTAGATGGTGCCATCTGAGAGAACCCGGAAGTGGCGGGACTTTCAGATCTACGTAGGTTGGAGATTGATGAGAAGCAAGTCTACCGAGACCTTGGACCGACACCGAAGAGTGTATCGGCTTAAATGAATGAGAATGTCCCAATAACAGCACCTAAGTAATCGACGTTGCCTCTTGAGGTTCTCCATCTATGAGATAATGAGCACTTCCGATCCCGGAGATGTCCAGTCATTCTGATATGGGAATAACGCCTCTAATGCGTGTCGAGTTTAACTTGACACAGATACTGATGTTTATTACAAAGCAAGCGAGGTATGCGGTCAGTGTAAACATCATGGGAGTCTATGGAAAATTCTCCATGAAGAAACCAATCCAGGGTGTCGTCCATTGGGCTGAGTTCTTTCTGCCGAGGGGAAAACGGATGGCATCGACTACTACACGGAGGCCTTTCATAGTACGTGCATTTTTTTAAACATGCTATTGCTTCCTTGGAATGATTGTGTGTGGACTGATAATACTAGCCTGTCAGTCAGATGATACCGACCGCGCGAACCTCACGACGAAAGGCTGCCGTTATGATAGGCTATCGGATAGGAAAACATTGGCCAGTGATGCTCCATCCAAGAGATTGCATACACGGCTTAGAGTCCTAGGGCTAGGCCGGATATGATCATGTCCTGGTAAACCATTCGGACATTGGCGGGATTGCCTTGGTCCTTCGTAGAATGAAGAAGGCCGTTGAAAACCAGACAATATAGTCTTTGTGCCTGATTGTGATAAAAAATAAAATAAAAGCAAGACGTTCTCGCTCTAGTGTAAATCTTGACTCTGCCAACTTGAATTTGGATGAAGTCGCCACCCCCCGGGTAGCTGCCAACCGGACATGAGCGTAGACTTGGCCATCTTCGATAGATGACAACGATTCCTGAGCATGCTCCATCCTCAGATCGGGTGAGGATTGCTCCTCGAAATTCGTAAAAGTGCAGCCTGGTAGATGACTGAGCGCCCGCCTCATAAAGTATGGACGACGGCCCTGGGACAGCTTGAACGACGTCTTGACCCGACGAACCACCCAAGTCGTTCCCGTAAAGGCGTGCTTCTTAGCTAGAGGTGTGCAATGGAGCTTCGCTGCTGCTCCATGTTTGTTCTGGCCTGCCAACAGGCTGTCGAGAGCAAAATCTTTTTTCGGTTCCTATCTACTTACACAAGCGTTGCTGCATCGATCCTGTAATCCAGACATGTGTACATATACGGTGCGGGTGGGCGAGCTGCCCCGCAAAGCAAAGATGTTTTCTCTTTTCCGTCCCGAAAAAACATGCCAGTTTTCCCATGGGGTATCTACCGTCAACGCCAGACCCAACTCAGACAAAATTCCCTCCTTTCCAGATCCTTTGCAGACGTATCGTAAAGGGTACCAGCAAAAGTGATAGACTAGAAAGGGGTACAAACGGGGGGAGCGATGGTAGCCCAGTGCGTGCGAATCAGTAGTAGCCACGGCCCTTACCACGATTGCGCCGGTGGTGGTTCGGGCCGCCCCAGCCGCCGCCGCCGCCGCCGCCGTCGTGCCGCTTGTCACGGTGGTTGTTATGGTTGTTGTGATTGTTATGGTTCGGGCGCTCCGGCTCGATGGGAACCTCAACCTCGACCTCGTACTCCTCGTACTCGTCGCGATAATACGCCTCGACCTCCTTGCGCTCCTGGCGGGCCTGTTCCGGATCAAAGACGAAGCGCATCGTGCCGTCCTGGTTGCGTCCGTTGCGCTTAGCGCTGTTGCTACCAAAGAATGAGATGTTCTTGAGGACCGAGACGCCATTGGATAGGTTCTCGTCCTCGCCGCCGTCGCAGTTGTTGCACCAGTGGGCATACCGCGCGAGGTTCGGAGTGTTGTCGACCTCGTTATTAATGATGATCTTGACCTCGATGAACTTGTTCAGGTCGAACTTGTTGCCAAGCTTGGTGGACTTGCCATGCTGCGTGTACAGGTCGAGCAGGTCGAGCACGGTTTCGACCACGTTCTGGCGAGTCGTGTGGAAGTCGGCGTAGTTGATCTGTTCGATCTTGTCCACCCCCTCGCCGAGGATTCGAGCGGTTAGCTCGAGCAAGCCCAAAGCCATGGCAAAACTCGTCTGCTTGATCGGGGCGAAGGTCTTGTATAAATCCACGCTCATGTCCATCGCGACAGAGAAGATCTTCTTTGAGTCGGGGCCCATGATCTTCTTCGTGGCCTTGAGCAAAGCGGATTGGGGGTAACGGCAACGAAAGTCGAAGCCGACGGTCTCGAGGACCAAGCGCTCCAAGCCTATGATGATCTTGGAGGGTTGCTCAAACATCTGCAGGTGGGTTAGTCATAATCCCAACAGGCAGAGGGAGTTCTCTTCACGCACCTTGTCGTCCTGGGTCGTGGTATGGTCAGGGTTCTTAATGTTGTACGCAGCACATAGGAGCTCCTTGGACTTCTTGATGGTATCCTCAACCTTGCAGGCAAGGAAGAGCGCAGCCACGGCGGCATCCTGGTAGTTGTACTCGGCGTCGCGAAACGACAGTCTGAACCAGTGGTAGTAGACGCAGGCGGTGTCGAAAGTCTTGACGGGGCTAGAGAGAATAAAGTCAGTGTTAGTGTCCGAGAAAAATTGCAGCAGGACAGGGCCCGGCGTACACATGTAGCAAGGTTCGGATATTATCGATGAGCTGTACTCCTTGAAGACGGTAGTTATCCTCCCTGGCTGGATCACTCTTATTGTCTCGCAGCATGCGTCTCAATCTCTGTTCGCTGGTATACTGGCACGCCACTTGAATGTGACCGGGGTGCGGGCCCTTCGAGGCCGCAGGCTCGGGGGCAGGCGTCGGGGTAGGGTTCGCAGCGCCAGCATTCTGCTGCGCCTTGGGGCCGGAAGGCGCCATTGTGATGTCGCCGTCGCGTTCGACAGGACAGCCAGCTATGATCTTGTCGCTGTCCTCGTTGGCCTCGTCGTTCCAGAGCGGACCTGTAGAGTAGCTGGTACCCAGGCCGTCCTGATTGTCGTTACCGTCGTCGTCGTCGTCGTCGTCGGTCTTGGTACTCGTGTTGGTCTTGTCCTCGACGTCGTCCAAGTTCTTGTTCGTATGCGGAGCTGGACGGATGGGAGGTGTGATCCAGCTATAGTCCTCGAAGAAAACGTCGTCGCCGTCGAGAGGCAGGTCGAGGATGTGGTTGGGCGCAAGGAGTTCAATCTGTCTGCGCGTAGCCTCTGAGACCTTGCGTCCCCAGTGCTTTAGAACGCCCAAGTAGATTTCCGTCAAAGTCGTGGTGGGGTGCGTGAAAGGTGCAGGAGCTGCATCGGAGGCGTGCCAGTCAACTCGTCCAGCAATGTGCACGGACCACGGTTGCCATCCAGGGTGGGTCACCACCAGGAGCCGGAGCCGAGGCGGCACGACCGAAGAGTCCTGCCGGTACAAAACCCGGATCAGCTTGGGGTGGCCACCCGCGCAGATGTCCAACACCTCGGTGCCCAAACCCCCGGGCGCCAAGATGTCACTTGGCACTGGATAACCATTGAGGGTGTCCATGTCGTGCGGGACAGGCCCTGTTGCCATCTGTAATTGACCATGGCGTATCAGCAAGTGATTAAGGGAAAGCGCATAACCACAAGCATCGGCTGAAAATGAGGCAGGGCGGAGAACCCCCGGCGGGGGAAAAAAAAGAGGAAGAAAAAAAGGCATCATGAGTTTGTCTTGACAATGGAGGGTGGTGATTTCGAAAGCAAAATGTTGACAAGCAACTCACCGCGTCGAAGCCAAGGGGAAAATATGTCGTGGAGTTGGTCGGCAGACAGCAGCAGATCGTCTTTACACCTCCAACTTCTGGTAGCCAGAGAGAGTATCGCGGCGCGGCGGCGAGCTACTGTTCTTCTGGATGAGTCGCAAGGGGTACAAAACTTCGAGCAGGGGAATGAGTGATATCGAAATGCTGGAGACGGCGGGATGGGCGTAGATGGGCTCTAAAGCATATATCGAAAGAAGCAACGGTGCTGCGAAAGCCTCAGCGAGGACGAGGCTGACAATACACCAGGGATGAGGAAAAGAAGATGTCAAGGTAGCAAAAGCGATTCTGTGTCTATTTTCCTGGGCAGGCTTTGGTAAGGCTGCCTCCAAAAGGTAGGTACAATAATAACGGTCTTTCCCAAATGCGTTTCCGTTTCGCCGACAACCTCAAAGAACCTGAATCTTTGTCCACCAGGAAGGAGTTGAGTGAAGAATGTGCGGCTGGCGAGCTCTGGGTCCCGAGTGGTATCTTCCGTGAGCACCGGAAAACTCTCCCGGGGCAGTCGGCGGGCTAGACCAGATGTGCACATATGTGAAAGGGGGTATCTGTCAATGGGGTTAGTGCTGTGCTAAGCTGTATGTCCTGACGATGACCAGGGGTAGTAAGAACATCAGTGTTGCTTGGTACTAATATGTAAACTCATTCTCGTCTCGAAACGTTTGAGGGAATGCGAATGATCAGGCGAGAGGTGAGGTAGATGGAAGAGAGTGTAACTGTCAAGTGTATATATACACCACGTACCATTTTCTCCATCTCACAAGCCAAAACAACAACACCGAGTAGCAATCCAAAGCTGATTTACGTCCATGCTCCGTCAACAGGCGGTCCGGTTGGGTAGACGTTGAGTGACTTGACTGCCCCGCTCACTCGGTGCCACTCCATCACAACCTCCTTACTCGTCGCACGTGTCCGCCTGAGGGGCCCTTCGGTCGATGGCCGGGACCTCGGGCGCAACGGTGTTGGGGTCCAATGTCGGGATCTTAAAGGTCTGGAACGGTGCTGCCAGAACGGCAACCGGGAGGAGAACGTAGAGAACCTTGGAGAACTGCATCTTGATGTTTGGTGGTTTCTCAAAGGGGGAAAAAAGAACGTCTGGTAATCTGTGCGGGGAGACGGAAACAGAAACGAATGCGGATAATAAACGTCTGAAGGGAGGAACGGACGAAGAGGGCGGATGTTCAAATTAGAGGAAACTGGACGACTTTGTCTTTAGTAATCCGTTCTTGATGGTAACTTGCTGCGTTTCATGTTTGGTCCAGCAGGAAGCGATGCTCATCGATACTTAAAGGACGGGCCGGCCCAACTTGCAATATCCCTGGCCTATCAATTAAGAGCGGTTAAACGAACATGACGTCTAAGCCTCAGACCCCCCCCCCCCCCCCCCCCCCCCCGAAATATTGGCGGATCGACGCTCCTCAGCCACGAGGCCATTCATGCACCCTTCGGTCCTCAGCGTCGTCAGCCATCGAAGTACCGGGTGATGCTTGGTATACCCAGAGGGGCAGGGCTTGGGCGGGAGGCTTGGGAGTGGTTGCTTGAAACAAGGCCTTCCAAATCGCGTTTCAGAGGTTATGGAATACCACCAGCCTGGGACCTACCTACCTGCCAACCACACGCCTGCTCGCGTGTGGTGGTCGGACGGACCGCCGCCATCACATTAACGTGGAACCCTCCAGTCATCGAAGTCGTCGTTCCAACGGGGTTACCCTACCGTCTGAGAGCCCGACTAGCTCTGCAGAGGTCGACCGACACTAGAAGGCCCAGCGAGCATTGCCACCGCTCTAGGTGCTGGAAACAGAGAGCACGAGCAGAGTCGGGCCTCTCCAAAGACTTTGACGGATGTTGACAGTAATGCCAAGGAGTCCGGTCATAGAGAGAACGAGCTCAAAGCTAGACGAGATATAGAGGCTGGGGGCTCCGTAACGCTTCTAAGCCACTGCACCTCGTGACTTTGGTGGCACGGACCATGACTGTCCTTTGCCGGGTTGCTCTGTCCGTGGCCAATGGGAAGCTTGAGTGATAGGAAGGTAGAGAGCTGAGAGCCCCCGAGAGCTCACCCAACCGCCGCCCACCTGTAGCGTCTGTCTGTGCCTTTGTGTCGTTAGCTTTCCCTCGTCACAGTTGCTTCCCCCTCTGGCATCAAGCTCAGCGGACCTTCCGGACCAAGCTTCGCATTCACCAAGCTTGCTGATTTTTTTTATTTTATTTTTAGTCCCAGAGTTGATAGTTTAGGCACGCAGCAGCAGAGATCGCAATACGAACGCAATGAAATCTCTCTCCATTTCTAGGCTCCTCGCAGCCGGTTCCTTGGCCGCCGTCGCGTGCTCGGCCGCAACCCCCCAGAGGCCCCTCTCCGACGACGCCTCCGACGACCACCCCATCCCTCTCGTCATCTGGCACGGCCTTGGCGACTCGTACGATGGCGAAGGCATCAAGCAGGTGGGCGAGCTGGCCGAGGAGATCAACCCAGGCACCTATGTCTACACAGTCAAGATCGGCACCGACCCCAACAGCGACCGGTCCGCCACCTTCTTCGGCAACGTGACGACGCAGCTCGAGCAGGTCTGCGAGGCCCTCGCCGCGCACCCCATCCTGTCCACCGCCCCCGCCATCGACGCCATCGGCTTCTCTCAGGGCGGCCAGTTCCTCCGCGGCTACGTCGAGCGCTGCAACAACCCCCCCGTGCGCTCCCTCGTCACCTACGGCAGTCAGCACAACGGCATCGTCGAGTTCAAGGCCTGCGGCGACTCCGACCTGCTCTGCAAGGGCGCCATGGCCCTGCTCCGCTTCAACACCTGGTCCGGCTTCGTCCAGAACCGCCTCGTGCCCGCCCAGTACTACCGCGACCCCGACCCCGCCCAGTACGAGAAGTACCTCGAGTCGTCCAACTTCCTGGCCGACATCAACAATGAGCGCGAGCTCAAGAACGCCCGGTACAAGAAGAACCTCGCCAGCCTGGCCAACTTCGTCATGGTCATGTTCGAGGACGACACCACCGTCATCCCCAAGGAGACGTCCTGGTTCGAGGAGGTCAACGGCACCGAGAGCCTGCCGCTGCGCGCCAGGGCCATCTACAAGGAGGACTGGATCGGCCTCCGGGAGCTGGACCGCAAGGGTGGCCTGCGCTTCCGCCAGGTCCCCGGCGAGCACATGCGGCTGTCCCAGAAGAGCCTCAACAAGACCATCCAGGAGTTCTTTGGCCCCTACAAGAAGCACTTCGAGGCCGAGGCGAAGCCCGCTTTCCTCAGCGAGGAGCTGTAAGTTCGGCATCACGAGTTTAGCTGAGAGGGGGGGTATGGTGGGGGACAAAACTGGTACGATAATGTTAAGTTGAGACGAACAGGACACGCTGGGAGCAAAACGGGCAAATTTGTACAGCACTAGTTTCTTTCTATCGATCAATCCTTGGCCACTTGAGTGAAAATGGTTATTTTGTTTGAACCAACGCCGTACGCCATAAAGCCATGCATGGTATAATCCCGCACGTAAAACCGTCCGTCTCTTTTTCTCTTTCCGGTAAAAGGAGGAGTCTTTTTTTTTTTTCAAAGCATGGCGCAAAAGCTTTTTCTTTAGTTGTCCAGGGCAGCCTTGGCCTTGGCCTTCTGCTTCCTCAGCTTTTCCTTGCGCTCCGAGATCTGCTTGTCGAGGACGTCGTCGTTGCTCTCGGGCAGCGCCTTCTGGGCGGCCTCCTTGGCGGCCTTCTTGGCCTTCTTGGGCTTGGGCTTGCCGCCGGCCTCCTCGTCGTCTCCTTCGGCGGCGGAGCCGAGAGACTTGCGCTTCTTGCCGACGTTGGCCTTCTCCTTGATGGCCTTGGCCTGCTCGCTGTCGTCGGCGACGATGTCCTTCTGCTCGAGCCAGAGCTCGTCCGTCAGCCAGACGGGCAGGGCGGCCGTCTCCTGGCCCTTGATGTAGATGCTCTTGACGTTCTGCCACTTCTGCGGCACCCACTTCTCGACGAGGGCATTGACGACGGCCGTGGCGTTCTCGGCGACCTGGTCGGCGGAGAAGCCGGCGTAGCCTATCCGGATGGCGGTGTTGGTGGAGGGCGTCAGGCTGACGAGGGCGGCGCCGATAGTCTTCTCGATCTCGGCGGCGATCTCCTGCGGCGTGCCGGCGTTGACGGTGCCAGGGGTCTTCTTCTCCTGGGGCTTGGCGCGCTTGCCGTCGGCGTCGCGGGGGGCCCTGGCCGAGAGGACGACAGGGACGGGCCTCTTGGCGGTGGTCTTGTAGAAGGTCTTGCCGAGGGCCTTGGGCAGGCGGCTGACGATGCGGTCGTCGGCGAGGAAGATGTCGTGCTCGGCGAAGAGCTTGCGCTGGGCCTCGTACTGCTTGAATTTGGACTTGAGGTGGGCGAGGTCGACGACGCGGGTCACGCGCTTGCGCAGGGCCTCGGGGAACTCGTCCGAGGCGACGATGTTCTTGTAGGCTCGCTGGGGATCGGCGGTGATGAGGCATATCGTCGACTCCTCGTCCGTGTTGAGCGGGTGCGGCAGGGCGATCTTGCCGGGCTTGAGGCGGGCGCTGTCGGCGATGTGACGCTTCGTCGTGAGGGTCAGCCAGATGGGCTGCCGGGCGACGTTGGCCTCCTCATCGTCGAGGTCGGCGAGCAGGTTCTTCTTGCCGGGTTCTGCAGACTTCTCCTTGGCGGCCTTCTTGATATGAGCCAGAAGAGCCTTGGACGCCTTCAGGGTCTTTTGGTTTTTGTTTTCCGCACGTTAGCTGCGCGCGGTCTTGGGGGAGGCGGGTTTGGGCGGCTTGCGCAAAGCGGCAAACGGCGACGGAAGCGGGGTTGGGAATTTACCTGTTCGGGATCAATTGAGGGAGCGACATCCTTGGATGCGACGGCGACAGTCTTTGAGCGGGCCATTACTACGGTTGACGGGTGTGAGGCTCGTCTGGTGTTCTGGCTGTAAATGTCGGGATGTACAATCTCTGCCGATACAGAGAGATGTATGTGGTGGGGGCAACCAGAATCTTTAGACGGTCGTCCAGAATTTTTTTGGTGCAGGGATCAGGTCTAATCGGCGGATCCAGAGCGCCGGTGCCGATGGGTCCGTGCACGACACCGACCGAGGTGAGGGTCTCGGTGAAGGCCGGTGTTTAACCGCAGCCATCACGCCGGTGGGCTTAACGTGGATTTCGGTAAACCGTCAGGGCTACCCAATACAGTATCAAGGGACTGTTTTCGAGCAAGGGGGCTTTTCAGAATCTCACGGTTTGGATGACATTAGATTGGTGTCCAATTGCATGCGCGGATATTCACTAGTCTCGACGCGTTCAGTGGTTTTGATACCGCGTTATGGAGTGCAGAGGCGGCACGCCAATCACCCAACTCTGACACTCTCAACGCCGAGATGCGCGCGCTCAGACTGCGTCTTGCTGACTTTTTCTCCCCTAATGCAAAATGCAAAATCGTCTGGAAGAGCCTTTGCGTACCAATCAAGGCTGGTTATACAGACGTACATTACATCAGTTGGTGCTGACACGGGTCGTGGTGTAGTATGCAGCCGTGTCTCAGTCTGAAAACGGGGCCTCAGCACATGTGCAAGACTCTGAAAGTGCGGGCAAGTATCCGTAGGCTGTGGGCCGGACTCCCCTCCCTCTGCGTCCATGCACTTTCAGTCCAATTGGGAGTGCCGGGATGGTCTTTTTTTTTTCAAAAGCCTCAGCGGGGGTCTTGTTTGTGCGTGTATGAGAGAGGGAGACGAGAGCGCGACTTGGGTTAGCGATGTGGGGTGGACGCGGTGATGGATGGATGGATGGATCGGGAGACGGGGGCTCAGCACGGGTCGGGTGGTGTCTGGACGACTCATTTCCCCCACGGCTAGTCAGCTTCACACAGGACGCGTTGGAACACGACTTGACAAAAAAAGGCAAGCAAGTGCATTGAGTGAGCAAGGGATGGGGGACCACTGTGACAAAGACGTGATGGGGGAGAGCACACAGGGTAGGAACCGTATGCAGGCGAGTAATATATCACCAGCCAAGGGTTCCCGGGTGGCAGCACTCTACGCGGGGAAACACGGTTCTTGATGGCTCGTTTCAACCCCTTTGGCGCGCATTAGATATCATGTCGGCATGGCACGAGGATAGCCTTTCTGTTTTTGTTTTATCTACTTGGAGCTTTGGCTCGGCTCTCGCATCCCAGTCGATGGGGGTCGGGCTCGGTCTCACAGGGCGGTGGAAACAGGTTGGAAATTAGACATGGCCGTGGCAGGGAAAGGGAAGGCAGATATACCAGAGAAGGGAGAAGGCGGCGTTGGGGGACCAATGAGTTTTGGAAGTTGGACGAGAACAGAAGCAACATGGTGATTTGGGGTGTGAGCCACAGGGATGGGATGGGTGGAATATCAGGGAACAGGACTGTTGTGGAATGCATGGCTCTGCCTGATAGAGTGGTAGATACTCAGCCAACCAAGCAACGCGCGAGCAATAGTAACATATAATGTTTTTTCTTACCTTGGGCCAGGCCTTTGACTTGCCGGGGTTGACGGTTAGGGCGAGCGGGCTGGCTTTCTTCGTGCGCGTCTGGTTTGCTTTGTCTGCGGCGGCTAATTGGGTTCTTCAGCGTTGTCCGTCGTTGGATAGGTGCAGATTGGCCCCCCCCGTATCCGTACTCCGTACGTATACTAGGTATGTAGGGACAAGGAAGGATAACGAATGCTGACCATCAGCTCATCGGGCAAAAAGCCTGTGCGTGCGTGCGTGCGGGCATGTGGTGTATGTGAGAGAGACGCGCAGTGGAAGTGGAACTGCGACTTGCGAGTCTTGGGTTTTCCTCTCCTATCTCTCGCCCTGTGTATCCGTGGTTGGTGGAGACCGAGACGTGATTTCGGGGAGGCTGGATCGGCCAGACTCGACGTTGAAAGAGGGGCATAATGACGGTTGTATCCAGCCAGAGGATTGCAGGTTTTGCACGGGATGGCTGGAGGTCAGAATAGCGGTCTACATGAATGACATGACTTGTGGGAGAAGAAAGAGTTGCAAGTGACGGAAGAGAGACTCTACACTATGTCTACCCATTCCCACACACTTCCGATACTAGCTAGCTAAGTAGGAGACAAGACTGACTTGACAGACTGACAGATGGGCAATTAAAATTAAAACATGCATGTCAGCGATCCAAGTCAAGTGTCCGCCAAAGGCTCAGACAATGACCGGCGTTCAGCGACCATGTCCTGGAAACAAGGTCGGCTTTAGCGTGGCTACCCGCTGTAGTCCGCTACAAGCCCGCTGTAAATCAGTCTAGTCCCGGCGGGTACGCGACCGCCAACCCCACACCAAGCACAAAAGTCAGCACAGCGCTGCACAATTCCTCGACACCAACCGGCGCGCGCGCCACAACTACGCGGAGGGGGACGGACGTGGACGCGCGAGAGACACGCTTCGCTTTTTGGGCAGGGCCCCCTCAAAAAGGTCCAGGGCCGCACCTCTGGGTCACCTTCCACCAGACCTGCAACCACTTCGACTCTTTTTTTTCTTCTTCTTCTTCTTCTCACTCCCTTCCTTTTGCTAATTAGGTAAGGTATTGAGTGTGGCCTTGGATCCTGCAGACCCTTCTTCAGCAGATTGATTCTTTGTTGAACCTTCTCTCTCTATATCCTATCCTCCTCTCTACCTACTCGCCTACCTATCTACCTACCTTACTGTATATCCTTCCGCCCATCACCACTCGTGGCCCCCCCTGCCAGGAAGAGAGCCACTTACACGCTTACCCGCACGCACGACGCCAGCGACTCACGTCCGAGCTGACAAGCGACACCCGCGCCGAGAAAAACGCGCCCAGTTTACAACGCGGTGGAAGAGAACAAGATATATATAAAAAAAAACCAGAGGAACAAAAAGAAGGATTGAAGACGGATACCTCCAGGAAGAAACCTTTCTGTACAAGGACTGGTCTTCGTTTTGGGGACTTTTTTATTCTTCTTCCAATACTCTGCTGTTGCCTGGGCATGTCGTTGTTGCCGCCGCAATGATGGACTCGTCACCCCAATCAACTAAGCTCCAGGAGCCTATGCTCCCTCTGGCCGGCACCAAGCGTTCCGCCCCGAGCCTTCTGCCGGCATTCGAACCTCTCTCCTCCTCGCCGGGCTTCCCTCGACCTTCCAAAAGACAAGCCAGAACCTGTTCTGTGGGAGGAGCCAACGCCTATCTCAAGTACCCCACGCCCATCCCGACCTCGAGCACTGGCATCCTCTCATCTTCACCACCCCGCGTCCACCAGAGACCAGGTGGCTCCTCACGAGCTCTCTCCGCCGGCTCCGAACGCACTCCCCTCGGCGCTGTCGCCTCCATTGAATTGAACGCCAATGGCGAGACTCTGCTCATGGGCCGCTCTAGCAACTCGTCTCACTACCAGCTGTCCGCCAACCGTCTCGTGTCCCGCGTCCACGTCAAGGCACGATACGTGCCCGCCCCTTCCGCATTGGAGCCCAACAAGATTGAAATCATTTGCAACGGCTGGAACGGAGTGAAGCTGCACTGCCAGGGCCGGACATGGGAGCTCCTCAAGGGTGATTCCTTCACCTCCGAGACCGAAGGCACCGAAATCATGCTCGACGTCCAGGATTCCCGCGTCATGATCCAATGGCCGAAGCGAGACCGCCGTCATCGTCTCGCAAGCCCCGACGACTCCGCCTGGGGTGACTCGCCGCCCCGCTCCGCCGCCCGTGCCGCTGCCGACCTTCTCCAGTCGAGCCCTCTGCGCCGCCCCTCGCGTATCGAGTCCCCCGAATCCCCCACCCCCGCCCACCTGTCAAGCTCTCAAAGGCTTCAGGCCCTTCTTCCCACCGATGACGGCGAGGTTCACATCTACGAGGACTCCAATGCCGAGGAGCCTGAGCTGCCCAAGCTAGTTGAATCGGCCACTATCGTCGGCGAGAGCTTCGCAACCGAGGCCACCAACTCCTTCTCCTCCGAGCTTAGTGAGCCCGAGCATGTTAACGATCCGGATGAGGAGAACGACCCCATTGTCCACTCTTTCGGCCCCTTCGGCGCAGACATCTCCAACCGCCTGGCCTCCATTACCACCGCATCTCCCAAGTTCCCGCCCTTTAAGCGGTCAGGTCTTTCCACGACCCACGACGAGGCCAATGCCCCCAACCCCTCTAGCCCCATCTCGGCACCGCCAAAGTCAATCAAGAAGGAGGAGGAGGAGGAGGAAGAAGAGGAGGACAATGGGGAACCAAGGAAGGCGCAGCCCCCTTACGAGAACCCCGTTGTGCGCAACCACGTTGTCAACCAGCTCGCCTTCTCCCGTCTGTCGTCCAATCCGCTGTCGACCATCATGAATAACCTGCCATCCGAGGAGAAGAAGGGCCTCACCAAGGATCAGCTGCGAAGCCTGATCGAGGCCACGGCGTGCATCGGCATCATCCAACGCCAGGGCAAGGATGCCGCCGGTCAGCCCCTCGAGAGCGAGTACTACTACGTCCCCGAGTTCGACGATGACGACCAGCGCCGTCTCGCCGTGACCGACGGACTACGCAAGCCCAGTTTGAGAGCATGTCGAAAGCAGCACAAGGTGAGCCAGAGTGGGTCGAGGGCACGTTTCGAACAAGTTGGAACTAACACTCGCTGCTTAGCAATACTACTGGAAGCGCCCACGCACACCCTGAGCCGCGCGCCTGTCCCGGCTTTTATGCCATATCTTCTGCTCCTACGCCCTTGCATTGCTTCAAGTGAGCCGAGCCGTGCCGATGCCAAGCACAGCATGGCCTCTAGACTCTACTGACTACCCGAACCCTCCCTCCCACTGTCTATACCTCGGCTCCTAGAACAACCCTTGGGCAAATAAAAGAACACTCGTGTGTTACTGATTGCATAGCGCAAGGCGTTCTTCTTTTATTCTTTTCGTCTTGCTGTTTTTGTTTTGTCTTGTTACTCCCGTAGCACTATTGTACGATCACACCACTTTATACCTCTGGGAGGGCACTCTTATTTTTATCCCAAAGATTCCCACAAACACACCCTTGCCTACAACCCCACCATTAGATGAGAGACGCGTCATGCCCCGAGCAATCCAGGTAACGATTTGGAGTGAGGGGTGTGTCTGGTTTTTTTATTGTTGATTTTCGTCGTTTTGTTCGTCTTTTTCTGCTGGACTTTTGCTTTGATGCGTTCGTTGGAAGGGGGAATGAAAGATGGGACATGAATCGGATGGGGCGGGAAGCGGTCGGTCAAACGCAGGAATGAAAATGATGGTTGGATGGCACGTACGGAGGGCGAGGGTTTGAAAAGCGGACGAACCACGCCTGTACCAGAGAGGACCGATGAATAAAACAAATGTTCTTCCATGTGATATGGACCGATTCGCATGGTGGCACCATGCTAAGTCTGTGTGTGTTTGTTTGTGTAGAAGTTGCATGTGTTAACAGCCGATCCCGTTGCAAGTCCGCCACGCTGCCGGGTCTGGAGATGTTCTGGGACGAGGTTCATGCGCGTCTAGCTCGCGTCGGCTAATCCCCGACCAAAGCTCCTGTTCATGCCTCGAGTGTCTGGCCTTTTTATTTTTATTTTTATTTTTCCCGCCGTGCTGTCTCTCCCCCCACTCGAATCCTCGGGGAGCAATCACCCGTGTTAGCATACCAGCTGTGAGCCAGAGCCATCCATCCAAAGTGAAGTCTGCCTGCCTACTTACTTGACTAGGCAAGCGGGCGAGGTCGTCCGTCCCGCATCCTCCGGAGCTCCTGTGGGGCCTAGAAACCCCACGGCACGCATGCATGGACCACTCGAAGCCGATAACGCCCGATAAGGTTAAAAAAAAGGGCAAAAGGAAAATATCCCGTGGTCGGCGGCGGGCCCTCCGGGGGGGGGGGAAGGGTCTCGACCACGTCTTACCCCGCAATGACGGCAGCGTGCCGCCAGGCAGTCTGCGGAGAGCCTCAGCTCGTCCTGCGTAGCATGTCTCTCTCGCCTTACATTCGCTCCTCCTCCTCTCTCCCCGCTCCAATACAAGCGGACGAGTAGCATACAATGCAATACGGGGAGGGTAGTGAAAGACTTAGAATTCCATCGTGACCCACTCTTTCCCGAGGGTTAAGTTGGTCAAGGCCGGGGTTCTAAGTTGGTCAACAATGAGAAGGGACCCGCCTCTTTGCGCGCACATCTTGCTACATACATTATAGAGCCTGAAAGCATCACATCGGGAAGAACATGGGCTTGAAACTCCCCATCTCCGTGGTCGACAGATGGAGGTGTTACGTCTGGCGTGCAAGTGTACCTAGTGTAAGTAGCAACGGACCCGGCGCTCACCCAATGGGAGGTGGCGAACCCCCCCCTCCCCTCCGCGCCCCCCCGTTCCATCCATCGCGCGGTGGAGGCAAGCGAGCTATGATGCTATACCCGTGATCGTCGTCCGATGCGTTTGTGCGGCCACCGTCGTCGCTACGTCAACAGTGCCCTCCCCCTCCCCCCGAGAGGGGAGAGTCTAGTCGAATCTTTACCCAAAGCAGATGGCTCGGCATCCCGGGGATATGCATCATGTCGCAAGGATCCTATAAAGCAAGGGCACCGAAGACTACTATATAGAAAAGCATGGTGGTATGAGGGGGGTAGGGTTGTCGTTAGTGTGCTGACGCTGGGTGCTACTGCACAGGGAGGGGGAAAAAAAGAAGAAAAACAAAAGACGAGACCGATCGTCGTAGGACAGAGGTGTTTGGCACCGAAAGAAGAAGATAAGGAGAAGGTAGTGGTGGTGTGAGTGAACCAGTGGTCTGGCTAAGACCTCGAAGGCGTACTGGACCCTGAAGAAAGCCAACCACGACGACCCCCGAGGAATGAGCTCCCTTCATCTCGCGTCTTTCCTGGGGAACTTAAATAGGTGGAAAGGTCCGCCCCTTCCTCCTCGTACGTTCCCTCACCTGACCCTTCTACCCCAAATCACCCGTTCATCGTGTGGTAATAAAACCTACATTCCAAAAACCTCCTGGATATAAATAAACACACCGACCGCTCCCGCACCCATTCTCCAAAGGCCATCCTTAGCCAGCTGTTTGAACAAAAAACTATAAAGAAACCAACAAAAAACACCCCAAAGCACAAAACATCTTTCCCGCTCAACAACAACCCAGGCAAACAAAACAAGTCCTCTCCAAACATGGCATCTGAGCAGACGCCCCGCACCACCGCCACCGCCGCCGCCTCTTCCGCAAACACCAACGACACCACCACCCCCGACACCTCACACTACACCACGGCCCCGCACGCCACCTCGGCGCCGCCCCAGGTCGTCGAGCACACCAACAGCTGGAAGCCCTCGTTCGGCCGCCGCCAGAGCTGGAACCAGGAGGACCAGAAGCGCGAGCTGCAGATGAGCCACATCGACGACGTCAAGACCGGACCCGGCTTCACCGAACGCGCCTAGAGATTGGGCGGGGGGTCTCCGTGTTCTTTTTAGGAAGCCATGTTGCCGTCTGTCGTATGCTCGACCGGATCTCGCGCGCGCGCCAGGCCGTGAGCCACATGTGGTAATTTGAAAGTTAAGGAAAACACGAGGAAGTGTGCACCGGTTGGAACGGCATCGTGTATTAAGAGACTGCCTGTCCATTGGTCGGAGAACCGGACGGCGGATTTGGTAGTTTGATGGAGGAAAGGCACGGCGCTGAAAATACTTATCAACGAGTAGCATACCTGTACTGTTTGGGTCAATAGCATCAATTCACATTAACTGCGTTCCTATGCCATTGGTTCCCAATCCTCTAGCGGCTCATCATGTCTTTATAAGGTGTAGTGATATCACGCTTGGGTAGCTGGACTGAGAAGAAAACCAATGCATCATTTAGGGCACTATTGATACAAGTAAATAAAATCCGCCTCGCTCGTATCGTTACCGATCCCTATACCTGATGTTTGTATGGGCCCCATACTAGCCGAACGAGCCCATAAGCAACCGCTGAAAGATTGTCGTAGAATCCCCTCAAAATCCCTTAGGGCCCCTACCGTCGCTGCCCCCGGTCGTGAAGTACTCTCCAACGACACCAATCGCATAAGAAATCCCGCCGACCCAGGCAGCGCCAAGGACAATCTTCTTGGCCCTGCTGCGTTTCGGACGTCGAGGCGGCTCGAAATCCTGGCTGTCGCAGGAAATCGTGTTCCGTCTCCTTACCGGGCTGAACGGGGGTGGGGGCTTTTCTGTCGTTTCCGCTCCGGGGTAATCATAGTTGAGGTAGCCTGTAGGACTGGAAGAGTAAGCGCTTGGTACTACGGGGTCGCTCCCCATCATGTCGATGGGGTTCACCTTTGGCGCCTTGTATGTCGTCGGCTTTTCGATCACAGGGGCGAAGGAAGCAGTCGTCTGCCCTTTCAGAGCCGTCTCTGCCTCGCGGACTTTGCGGAAGACCAGGACATCTCCGCTTCCGGATACAATCTCGTACCCTTCTCTCTGTAGAGTGCTAAAGTAAGGGAAGAACTTGGTCGGGTTCGACAAGCGGAGGAGAACCTCGGCCGGAGTCAACGGTGTGGCGCTGTCTGGAACAACAGACGTAGTCTCAGCCGTGCTAATGGCTTGCATGGTGGGGTCGTACGCGAGAATCTTGTAGATGGTTGGCTCACGAACACTGTCGGCGGCAGTCGAAGACACCACACCCTCGCCCTTGGCAGCGCAGAGCCACCTACGGCAGAAACGGGGTATTGGCCGAAGCATCGGCCACCGTGCCGTAAGATCGCACGTAGGCGGGCCAAGTTTGCTTGCTGCCAGTCTCCTCAGAGTAGCTCAGCTCGAGGCCCTGCGGCTCTTTCGAGTACGAGTCAGACTGACTCTTCTTGCCTGAAAACCGGGTCGATGTCGAAGCAGATGATCGGTCCAGAGCTGGCTCCAACCTGGGAAAACTCTCATCGAAAGAGGCTGCCTCAGCCTCGTCCGGCCCGACGCTCCGGCCCTTGCTGTTCTCTGCCTGGCTCTCCGCAGCTGCCACAATGTTGTTCCAGGACCCCGAAAAGTCCTCGGGGAAATCTCTCACATAGTTTCCGGTGAGCTCTGCCTTGTCTTCCCTGGCCGGAATGTGATCCCAGACTTTGCTTTTGGAGTTCCGTAAAGCAACACGAGCAGCTCTGCTCGACATATCCCAGTTCACTTCATATCGGGGAAGGTCAGCCTCCAGCACCTGTCTGTTCGTCGTGCTATATTCCCTTCGGGACTGGCCAGAAGACGTCGGGATCTTGGCTCGGACGTCGCTAGCGCGAAGTAGATCCAAATCGTCGGCCCTCTCCTGCTCTGTCGCCCGACTGTATGCGATGCGTCTGTTCGCCTTGGCGGCGATCTCCTCGTCAAAGTCACTCAGACCTTTGGACACAGGGTCAACCGCCTCGGCGGGCTGGCCGTCAGGCTCGTTGTAACGGTAGGATTGGTACTTCTTGGACTCATCAAAGGTATTCTGATCCCAGTCAGGCCTTGGACGTTGGCTCTCAGGCTCGTCGTATTGAATGGGTTGGTGCTTAGCCGCATCTACAGGCTCAACCTCAGCAATCACTCCCTCTGGGGGTGGTGCAGTACCTCTGTCGAACTTCTGAGAGTATGTGTCCAGGTCCTTGTACTGCTTCGAGGCCTCCTCTGGGTGCATCGGCGGCTGTCCATGCGGCTCATTCCAACCGTTTGGGTTGTATTGATCAAGGTCTGTATACGCCTTGGATGCCAACTCAGGGTGAATGGGAGCCTGTCCATGAGGCTCGTTCCACGTCATGGGGCCGTATTTGTCCAAGTCCGTGTATGCCTTGGAAGCTTCTTCAGGATGCATCGGGCGCAGCCCGGAAGGCTCGTTGAAAGCTTGTGGGCCATACTTGTGGAGGTCGTCGTAATCCTTCGACTTCTCCTCAGCACTACGAGGGCGCAGGCCTTCAGGTTCATTGAAACCGCTTGGTCCGTACTTATGTAGGTCGTCATAGGGCTGCGCCTCTTCCAGGACATCCTTCTCGTTGTGCATGATTGGACCATATTTATCCAGGTCTGAATACCGTTCGAGTGCCTCCGGGACTTGTGCATTTTCGTTGTGCATAACCGGGCGGTACTTGTGTAGGTCGTCATAGGGTTGCGTCTCTTCAACCACTTTCTTCTCGTTGTGCATGATTGGGCCATATTTATCCAGGTCTGAATACTTGCCAAGATCCTCATATTTGGGAACGGAGACCGACTCTTCCACAATCTCATCGAGGCCTACTGGCTTGTACTTTGCCAGGTCGTCGTATGGCGGTTTTCCGGAAAGCTCTAGAGCGTCAAGCTTCTCATCCATGACTGGCTTGTACTTGTCGAGATCCGCATATTGCGGGGTCCCCGCAACTCCACCGGTGGAGCCGGCGTCGGCCCAGGGGGCACTGTCAACTGTGACATTGCCATAGTGCTTGAGCTCGTCAGCGGGTGGAACCCCATCTGGGAAGAAGGGTTCTTGAGCGTCCTTCTTTGAAGAGTTGTCAAAGACAGATTGGGGTATATGTGACGAGTGAATCTTTCTGTTTGTGATGGGGTCAATTTCAGAGTGGACATCTCTGCTGATGGAGGCCGTTGACTTGTTTCTGATCTGGCTCCCGAGATAGTTGCGAATGTTCTGCAGAGGGCTCTGCCACAAGTCATACTCGTACGGTCCAGCGCGCTTGCCGGTAAAGAGAGAATTGATGGCGCTTCGCTCAACATCCTCTATGTTCTGGCCAGGCCGGGCGCCCGCAGTATTGTTCGATCCACTCTTCTTTATATCATCCTCTCTCACGCATCTTCCGTTCGAGCGGGTGTGGCCGTTCCTGATCCAGCACTGTGCCATCATCTTCTTCATCACGATTCTTGAATCTTGAGCACGCGAATTTGGGTCCCAAGACAGCTTTCGATTGATCGACTCCATGTACTTGTATTTGATAGTGTGCTGACGGCGTCGCAACTGACGTTGGAGCTCGGGGCCCAAGTATGACCACGCGCCGAAGCGGAAGCTTCGAGTTTGTCCATAGTGGCTCGCTTTCATGGGTGCTGGGTTCGAAGGGACCAGAGCTCTGACTGCGGAGGCCCTTCCAGCATGGAGGCCGCCCGCGCAAGGCGAGGCGCGAGAAGCGGTCGTGAGCATGACAGTGGCGTTGGGCTTTATTTCTTTACCATGCTTCTGTGCCTATGGTCCCGGAGGTCAGCAAAACGAAGGCCGAAGGATTCGAGCAGAAGCTACGCCATGGGCGTAGCACAGTTCCCCAAAAGCAAGGGTGGCTGACCGACTGCGGCAGCCGGCATTTGCGTCCAAGTGTACGTGGGTTAATCGGAATGACTTACACGAGGGAGAAGTGAGGGGGTTGATGGAGTGTCCGCATGTAAACCGTAGGTTGACGAGTTGTAAAGGAGGGGAAGTTGAAAACGCGAAGTTGGAACAAATCCGCCACCTCGGCAGAGTGTAAGAGAAGACGTTTGGCGAGGAGGAGCAGCCAGAGTTCATAGGCCCGTCGGTTAGAATGGCTCGATGGAATAAGACGGTGCAGCCAGCAGCAATCAGCTGCGACCGGCCGGGTTAGGGACCTACCCAGGTAGCTCGAGGTACCTAGAAATGGGTGCGTGCAATGGAGGAAGCCGGACCACTCCCTAGCGGCACCTGGGCAATGTGGACACCCATGGGTTGAGTGCGTCCTGAAAGCCCCTGTTACTGGCCTGCTCCCCGTTCCGGTGGATATTGATGGGGGGCCGTCAGCGGTGCACTTTGCGGGGTAGCCTCTGCGGACAGTGGCTCACGCGCTTGAAACCCCCGAGTCGCTGCTCTCTGTTCTGCCCAGAGGCTGGAAGTGGGTCATAGTGGAGAATTGATATATGACTGCCAATCGAGAACGATGGATTAGACCAGGCAAAGAAAAGGCGAGCGCTAGAGTGCACGGACTATCCGGCGACCAGAGCGCAAAGTATCACGTGATTGAGATTATGTAATAGATGTGGTAAGATGCGATGACAGCATCATCGCCAGGGGGGGCGGGAAAGGCGGGAGCTTCGGTCGGCGGGGCAGCTTGGCCCTTTCCATTCGCCGTCTTGCACATCGGCCAAAATTATCGGCCTGAGTCAACATACCTCCAAGTTGATTACGGATATTTGCGGCGCAACAAGGCCCTATTCATAGACCCGACTTGCCCATCATTCTTCTCTTTACCTTCCCAAGAGGGCCGACCGAGTCTACACACAATCTCATTCATCCTCTCTTATCCCGTACATTCATTGTCTCTGCGTTTCATCCATCTTCCATCGTTTTCTCCCAGGAAGGAACAGAAAAAGGGTGCCCGCTCCATTTGTGCACTGTACCCCGCCAACGTCATCTTGGACTTTTGGTTCCCTGCGACGCGCTAGGTCCTGCATCGAGCTACACCAACGCCTGGACGTTGAATACCTCACACAGGACATAGCCAGGACTGACTACTAGAACATGTCGCGTGCCTTTGGAAAAGGCGGCCGATCGTCTGGCGCAAGAGGCTTCGCCAGCCCTGCTAGCGGCTTCGGCGGCTTCTCATCAGCCGGCAGCGGCCTCTCCTACCTTGCCGAGCCCCCCGACCTTACCTCCATCTCCGATGCGAACGTTGTCGTCTCCTTCAAGAATACCCTCAAGAAAGATGCTACAACAAAGGCAAAGGCGCTGGAGGAACTCCTGGCTTACGTACAGGCTCACCCATTCGAGAAGGACGGAGGCGTAGAGGAGGCAGTCTTGGAAGCATGGGTGCGTTGTTCCCGGGAGATGCCTTTTGATGATCATGTGGTAATGTATGTAACAGGTACAAATATATCCTCGTATTTCCATAGATAATTCCCGTCGTGTGCGCGAACTCTCCCATACGCTACAATTCGAGCTGATGAAGTCGGCCCGGAAGCGCATGGAAAAGAATGTCCCCAAGGTCGTAGGCACCTGGCTTGCCGGCCTGTACGACAAGGACAGAGTTGTTTCTAGGGCTGCAAATGACAGTCTCTCCTCATTTCTCAACAGCCCAGAGAAGGCTGTGTTGTTTTGGAAAAAGTGCCAATCGCAGATTCTTACCTATGCAAAGGACGCCATCCAAGAAACAAAGGACACCCTCAGCGACGAGAGATCGACGACACCCGATGATGCTGACGCCAAATACCTCCGGGTCGTGGGAGCTAGTATTTCACTCGTTCTCAGCCTTCTGCAGAAGCTCGAACCTGCCGACATTCAGAAAGAAGAAGAGGTATACGATGCTTTCCTCGCGGAGGAAAAGGTCTGGAAGAGCGTGGTCATGGGCGATGCCTCGGTCAGACGCGTAGCCTGCCAGTTGCTGTGGGCGTGTCTTGACAAGAGGCCGGAGTCGGTCTCTTCTCAGATCTCTCGCCTTAAAAAAAGCTTCATCGCAGAGGGACTCAAGAGCAGCCAAACCGGATCCGCTGTCGAATATGTCAGAGTCCTCACAAAATTGACAAGCAAGTTTCCTGAGGTCTGGACGAGCTCCAGTGAGAAAAAGACTCCTATAACCAGGTTGAATGGCTTTCTGGTAAAAGGGTCTCACAGCAGCCCTGCCAAGTACTGGGAACACCTCGAAGACCTCATCAAGGCTATTCCGGCTGACCATTTCACTACCGAAGCCTCCGCGGATGCTCTTAAGTCGATGAGGACCGGCATTACAAGTAGAGAGGAGCCTAGAATGAACGCCACTCTGGCTTGGACGTGCTACGTTCACACAACCAAGCACTTCCTGCAAAACTTCCCTTCGGGCGGCCCGCGAGCTACCTTGGTTCAGGAGCATCTATTCCCCATACTCGACCACTTTCTTTTCCCCACCCCCGAAACCTCTGCATGGGAAATCGGTGGTGCTGGACAACTTATTGTGCTTGGAGAAGTCTACAAAGTTGCTGCTGACTTGTCGTCTCCCGACTTGCTTCAGGCAGCATCCGAGAAGCTGGAAGCCCTTGCGTCTGCATTCTGCACGAGGATATCCAATTCGCTACCCGAAGTTTCCAAGGACTATGAAAAGTCCCAAGAGGCTGTTTCTGCCGAAGGCAAGCGCTGGTTCACTTTGGTCAGCCAAGTCCAGAAGACTGGCCAATCGCCCACAAGTCTTCTTATGGGCCCTTCAAAGTCCATCATCACGAGCAGCTTGAATCTGCTTGCTAACAGGAAACTCAAGCCTTACGGAGCTGCCGGGGTAATTTATAGCGTCGGGGAAAATGCCCCACAAGTATGGGATGATGTAGACGCTGCCCAGGCTCTGGAACAGTTCCTCGCAACACAGGGCCGAGATCACATGGCAGTCTTGGTTGATTCTCGGTCTGCTGCTGACCTTCTGAACTGCGTAAACGTTATGGGCACGTTAAAGGGACATGAGACAGCTTATGCGACCATATGGAAGACCTGGATAGATGCTTTGCTAGATCTCTCCGAGGAGAAGTTGGCAGCCAGAGGTATTGAGCGTCTGATTGCGAATCAGCAAGCATCGAAGCTTTCCAAGTCACACGAGAAACTCCAAATTTTCCTTGAGGCAAAGTGTTCCGGCACAGCCCGCGGAGAGTCCGACTCTTGGAGCCTCTTTGAGGCGGCCCTTGGCAACGATGCCTTGACCGAATCTACGGCCAAACAACTGTTGGTCAATAGCATATCCGCACTGTCACAAGACAAGCAACACTCGCTTCAAGCTCTTCGCGCGTTGGAGATACTTGCAAACAACAAGCCTGGGCTCTTATCACAGGACGAGTCGACGCACATGGCAGTTGTCACCGAGTTGCTGGGACTCGCCGAACTAAACGACAGAGCAGTTTCGTCTCGTGCCATCTCGTTGAGAGCTCTACTGGAACAGCCCACCGATGGCACCTCGCCGGTAGTCGCCATCATCCAGAGGAACCTGGAGGAAGCCGGCCCCCAGTCACTTGGGTAAGTAACTTGGCATTTTCGTACGTTTCATCGCTAACTTTTCCAGTATTGAAACTTTGGTTCAGCAGGCCCTTCAAGCTGTTAAGGAAGGGTCTATCAGCACGGAAGATCTCTTCCCGAGCACAAATGTCTGGATGCAGCAGCTATCCAACTTTCTCCAAGGCTCTCTCAACCCGTCACTCTCAATTACCAGCGGACTGGGAGGCGCACACTTCTTGGTCCAGCCTACTGAGCAAGAACAACGTATTCGCGTGCGCAGAGATCGTGACGGTTACTCCGTCCCTGCCAGAATGGCTTCGTACACAGCCAAACTCTTGTCCTCGGACATATCTGTCTCGGCCCTGCCAGAGAGCTTCCAGGCTGAGCTCCTCTATCTTCTTTGTGTCTCTGTTCAGATGGTGTCGGACCAGATCACCCTAATGGACGAGAACAAGCTATTCCTTGATCTCAACCTGGGAGACACCCTTGCGACGGCCGAGTCGTTTGTTTCGTCGACCCGCGTGACGATTAACGCTATAGCTGACGACGCCAAGGGATGGAGAGATGGCTCCGAAACCGGCTCAACGAAGCTTATCAATAGCCTCATCGCCATCATGACACAGGAGACCAAGGAGCTCACCGTGCTCGGGGTCTACAGCTCTAGGGCTTTGAGTGAGCTCATACAGGCTTTGACCGAGAAGCATGGCTTCCCCGCTGCTGGCGACGAAAAGGTGAATCAGTTGGCCACATTCAAGGCTACGCCGCCTACGGTTCTCGCAGCAACGGCAGTGCTCGCCGGCTTTGGTGAGAGCTTGGAGTCGTCCAAGGCTGTCAACATGCTTTGCAATCGTCTTATCAGTGATATAGCAGGAGCCTCTGTGGAACCTGGGAAAGCCGATAAGACGCTGCAGGTTCTGGTTCTTCTTAACGCATGTCTGCAAGTCTACGAGGTCGGTGAGACTCCCGTGGCTAATAACCGTATTGTCTTTGCTGTTCGACAGATTACATCATGGATGGATGATACCCTCAACCTCACCCCCGCTCTGTCGGCAGAGATCTGCCGGGTGCTGCAGAGGCTGCTCCCGAGCATGAAAGACGTGTACGGCTCGTACTGGGAGAAGACGATCGAGTTTTCAACTGCACTATGGGCGAAGGCGTCAGATGACCGCCTCGACGACTCGCTTCCTTACATTCACGCGTCGTTGAAGCTCATGACCACCTTGGAGACCTTGTCAGAGCCGAATGATGACCTGGTGGAGTCTCTAAAGGAGTTCGCCGAGACCAAGTCTCTGTCGCTCATTGAGCTCCTCAAGCTAGACCGAGAGAAGAGCACACAGCCTTTGGAGATCGTCGACGCCATCATCTGCAGGCAGGTCAATAAGATTTCCCTAAAGCACATCGGCGATCTCTCGGATCTCTACGGCCTCATCGCTACCGACTCTCGGTCCATCCAGACTGCCGCCTTCAACCTCCTCCACTACGCCCTGCCGGCGCGACAAGAGGAGCTCTCGGTCAGCGTCCTTCTCGACAAGACCGATGCCCGTCTCCCCGACGAGCTTCTGTCCCTCCTCCTCGACGCGCCCACCCTTGAGCGCTACCCGGACGAGGTCCTCGCCCAGTTTCCTCTTGCAATTCGTTCCTACCTTCTCTCGTGGCACCTTATCTTCGATGCCTTCAGCACCGCCTCGCTCAAGGTTCGCAACGACTACACCGAGCACCTCAAAACGGAGAACTATCTCGCGCAGCTCCTCGACTTCACCTTCGACGTCCTGGGCCACTCGGCCGCGCACCCGCTCAATCTCGAACGCGAGAACCTGAAGACGCAGCACATCACCTCCTACGACGTCTCCCTCGCCGATGCTGAATCCGACGAGCGCAACCTCCATTGGCTGCTCGTGCACCTATACTACCTTACGCTCAAGTACACACCCGGCATCTTTAAGACGTGGTACCTCAACTGCCGCTCCAAACAGACGCGTATCGCCGTGGAGGGGTGGATGACGCGCTACTTCTCGCCCATCATCATTTCGGACGCGCTCGACGAGGTCTCGGTGTGGGCCGCGACCCAGGAGCCGCCCGTTGACGACGAGAAAGAGCTTGTCGTCAAGGTCAGCAAGACGGGCAAGGAGATCACAGCGGGCTACGAGGTGGACGAGAGCATGGCATCCATCGCCATCAAGGTCCCCGCGAGCTACCCGATCGAGGGTGTCAGCGTCGTAGGCATTAACCGTGTCGCGGTGAATGAACGCAAGTGGCAGAGCTGGCTTCTCACGACGCAGGGCGTCATCACATTCTCGGTAAGATCCGGTCCATGGAAACAGCCCCCCCTCCCCCCTCCCCATCCTGGCTGCCGGAACATCGCATTTGCTAACACGGACCGCAGAACGGAAGCATCGTCGACGGACTCTCGGCCTTCCGACGCAACATCGTTGGCGCCCTCAAGGGCCAGTCCGAGTGCGCCATCTGCTACTCCATCATCTCGACCGACAAGAAGATGCCCGACAAGCGATGCCAAACGTGCAAGAATCTCTTCCACCGTACCTGCCTGTACAAATGGTTCCAGAGCAGCAACCAGAACACGTGCCCGCTTTGCCGGAATCCTATCGATTATCTGGGTTCGGACACCAAGGCGCGCAGGGGTGCCTGAGAGGTTGTTTGACCCACCACCTTACGGATGAATTGGAAGGGAAACTGATCCCGGGAGCGATGTACGGGACTTGTGCCTCTGATCTTTTTTTTCCTCTGGCGGGACAGCACAAAGCACGAAGAAAGAGAATGTGATGAGACAAAGCGTGGGTTCCATCATGTAGACCAGGCTATAAGTTATGAGGAAAGGGGGCAAAAAAGCAGCAGGATGGGTGGTGGATAGATAAACACTGAGACAGATTCAATATCAGATCTTGAAAACAGCACCAACAGGAGACGCGTTATACGTTGTCCCAACAAACCCCCCTAGGACAGCAGGTTGAGGAGGGACTCGCGAATCTTGCGCTGCAAAGTGGCCTCCTCCTCCAAAAGTTGCAGGTGGTGAGCCTCTTTCGCTGTAGTTTCGTTGTCTTCCTGGCGATCGACGTCCTCCTGGACACCCTCCCATTCGCTCTCATCCTCGTCCATCTCGTCATAGTCAACCGACTCCTCGCCAGACAGCTGAGACCTTGAGAAACGACCGTAATCTTGCGAACGCGAACGCCGGAAGGAGCGGCCGAGTGTACGCATGCCCACGCGACCGGTTCGCTTGCGGATGCCCGAGGGATAGGACGCGAGGAAGAACTTGACCTGCGGCGACTTGCCCTTCTTGGCGTGCTTCGCGTCCGTCTTGCGCTGGGCCTCCCGGGCCTCCTTCTCCTCCCTCAGCCTGGCCGTCTCCCTCGCGGCGCAGGCGCGGCACTTCGCCCCGTTGTATCGCGAGATACAGATCCCGCAGCCGGTGCACTTGATCATGCAGCCCTTCTTCAGGCAGAGAAGGTCGCTCGTATGTTGTCCGCGCTGGGGGCAGTGGTGGCGAGTCCCTCCGCCAGGGGTCTTGCCTGCCACGTCGCGCGGGACGCCGTGCTTGTTTTCGTCCGCCCGTTCTCTCTCTGGCGAGGCTCTGCCGCCGCGGAGGATGGACGTGTCGATGTAAGGCTGCCCTGTCACCCGGGGGCCCCTGCGCGTCTCGGATCTGTCCTTCGGCATTTGTCGGAGTTTCGCGGCAATGACCTTTGGATTTGGCAGGTGAGGCTGAATCAGGCGTTCAACAAAAGAGAGAGTGTGTGAGCTGCTGATGTCGAAAGTGGTCCTGTAGAAAGATCTGAAGTGTGATGCCACATTTTAACACAGACGCGAGGAGACTTAGACATTTTGTCTCTGAGCGTTGGGGTAGTTTCTTGGCCATACAATCAAACCTGGCCATCTTGACGGATGCGAGATTTCATTTCAAACCAAATATATAGACTTGGAAACAAAGCACCGGCTTGGCCGCCCCCTACCTGACAATGCGTCCGCTGCCTCATGCCCGTCTCGAATCAATCGTACAAAGAACTGTTGTTTGTTTTTCGTACACTGCGAGAGGTTTATGCCTCGGGCTGACCATGTTGAAAGAAGATGTGTTGCAGTGCCTGTCAAGACGTTAGAACAATGGTATACAATCGACATGTTCGCTCTCAATTCACCTGTGCAGCAGTCGCCCTCTTTGAGTCGAAACGAACCAAGCTTGATACCAGGCCTCGAACTTGAACATCGACATCTGGCAGAATCTCTTCCCATGAATTGCCATCAATCATGCGATACATGTCGAAGGGCGGCGTCTTGAAACTCGCGGCTTCGGGCCACGTCTCCCGCGTCGGAGTGCCCAAAGTTTTGAAGATGCTCAAGATGAGGCCCAATTGGTTGCCGTCCTCGTGCGCCGGCCTCGACTCAAACAATGGTTTTGGAGGGCTGCGGCAACATTCGGCCAGCATACAACCGACGGCCCACATATCAACAGCAGGGCCGTAGGCTTTGTCACCGAACAGGGCCTCCGGAGCGCGATAGGGGCCGGTCCCGATGTCAAGAATCTTGCCGTCGGGCGGCTCGGAAACAACTGACATGGCTGGGTGCCAGGCGGTTCCGAAGTCGGAAAGATAGGCTGGTCCATCTAGGCCGTCGAGGAGGATGGCTTCTGGTTTCACGTCCCTGTGAATGATGCCTTCGCTGTGAATGTCCTTAAGGGCGGTGAGTATGTCCTTGAATATATGCTTGACGCGGGCTAGCGGGGGAGTGCCTTTGTCAATTAAATCAGCGAGGGTAAGAGGCTTGTAAGGGAACACCAGGACGAGTCTTTGCTCCTGGTCTCTGAATGTTTCCAACAGGTTGATGCATGGCCGCTTCAGAGTTGCTAGGATCTTGGCCTCCCGGTGAGGGTTGTGAGGCTCAATGTTGTGCGTCTCCACGATCACTTTCAAGGCCCGGTCTTTGCATCTGTAAACCTCCGAGGTGAGGCCAGTGGCGAATGGGACGCAGCTCGTATACGGGCCAATGGTGACACCAACATCGTCGCCGTGGTCGCCGCCAGGAGCTGGTGCATCTTGAGGAGTCAGGTTTGCGGAAGCAACCAACTGACAGATTTCGTCATATTGGGCCTAAAATAAATTAGCCTCGGACCTGCAGATAGATATGGGCGATGGAGGTGTTCACCCTGGATTTTGAATCTTTGTAGGCCTGGTCCTCGACCGAGAATGCATGGGACTGTGAAGTGGCTTTGGCTTCTGAGCCGGCGGCTTCTAGCACCGCTTTTCTAAAGAAATCAAGAATTGGCCAGGGATCGAGGTTTAGGCGGCAAATTTACAACTCACATCTTCTGTATGTTCTCGTACCGGTCTAAGGCTGATAATTGCAACCTCCAGTCATTGTCAGCCATGGCGGATAATAGGATAGTAGAAATGCAAGATCGAATCGACGTGGATGGTCAGGGATGTCCGAGAGTTGTTGCGAATTTGCTTGTGTGGCTTCACGATACTTGGATTGTCATTAGTGTGAAGACCAGACAGGAACATGGGACGAAGATGGATGTAGTAAGCACCTGGCGTTGTTGCACCTTTCCGTTGGCGATCCCTGATGCAGCCACGGGCAGGAAGGTTGGGCAGGGTGGCAGGTAGGTATCCGTACCGTGTGATAATATCCGCTTCGCGACTGTCCGGGCCGGGCCCGCGGCCATAGAATCCCGCAGAAGGATCCAAATCTCTACAGTGCGGACAGTGTGGGACAACTTTCGACTACTACCGGTAGGTTTACATAATGCGGCATTAGGCATCGCAATTACGGGTACCTGACGACGGCGTTGCCGCCGCGTGGATCTGTGCCTCCAAGGTGCTTCATCAATCCAACTCTAGGCTCTCTTTAGCGTTATGAGGCTTAAGATATCCACGGCGAAATTGCGCTGACATGCATCAATCTCGGGTTTTACTTTGGGCATTTGTTGGCGCGGGAAGTTGGGCAAGCCACGCCAGCACTCATCATCGGCGATGCTTTGGCTCCTACATCCTTGATTGCAATGGAGAATGAGGATCAAAGTAAGAGTTTATGCGTCCATGGCAAGGTACAAGGGTGGTGCGGCTCCGTCACTTGGACTGCCTCATAAAATATTGAATTTCGGCCAGAGACTTCACACAGCACACACGGCGTGACAGGTCAGGGCCCTTCCCCGTCGTCTCAAACAGGTACACTGCACTGTTCCTCCGAACATTGACGAACGCTTACCGGCACTTGCGTTTGAGCAAGCCAAGTGACTAATTAAAGTGAAGAAGCCAGGCCTCCCAAAGTCGGGGGAACGCGGTCATGTTTCCAGCGCCAAGGACTCGAGCGGTGCGTTCCGTCTACTCTCTATACGGCGCCGTGGTGTAGCAATTGTGGACGCAACAGAGCCGAATCGAGTTCGTTGTCGGCGCTCTGAGATGAGACAGAAAGGTGCTGCTAACCTGGTTCGTAAGAAGCCCAACGTGACGTAGGTATTCATTCGTATGGAGAACCACTTCCTCAAGCCTAGCCCGTTTCGAGTACACTACGACAACCCCCCCTCTGCCAGTGACGAAGCTGAAAGCAAGAGTGATGGTAGACAGTGATTGGCCAGTGCAGAAATCGGGTTGGTGAGGGTGTGATTGATGGATGACGGCGAGGCCGTGTCCGCTGCTCCCGGGCCAGTGTTCCCATCCGAATATCTGAATGCAATGAATTCAATCCCGTTCGTCAGTGACTAATACCCTCCGAACCTCATATTTGGCCCCGGGAGACTGCTCTCGGACCAATTTACAGAAGCGTCGGCAGGGACGGAGAAAGACATGCATGGATGAGGTGCATATGGATTGCATGTTGACTCGAGAGTCGCCGCGGCCACTCGTTGAAATACCTAGACAGACACTTGTGGATAACGAAGTAAAAAGCAAAATCTGCATTCAATGGAGGCATAACTTGAAAGAGTGCGAGCGCAGGACGGCATTATGTTAGGGGGCGGGCGCCATAGAATTAACGGATGGGTTAACCGTATGCGTACAACTAGTACGGATACTGGTGATCCATCACCGATGGAGGTGAAGGTGCACTGTAGTCTGTAGGTCCCTCCTGGTCGGGTTTACTCCACACCCCATCATCAGCCCCCAATTCCAACCCTGGAAAAGTCACTGTTCTGCGTACCTCCTGACCTGACCTTGTTCAGTAGCAACTGCGGTATAAGTGGAGGCACCTTCCTTGCTGCTTATAGATACGTACCTGGGACGTAGTGTACACTAGGTACGTGTGTGCCGTCCAACCATCCACTCAGATCAATCTCCCTCCATCTCGCCTCGCTGCCAGCCTGACAACCAACCCACCCACCTTCTCATCCTTACGATTTTCCCACGATGCGAATGCTCCTCACCTTAGCGACTCCTTCAGCATTATAGACAGCATCGCTATGCGCGCCGTTTCTCCCCTTGCTTGCATTCATCGTATATGATTTTGCGCGCTTGTTAATTAGACAAAATGGACGATCTCGCGAGGGCCGAATACCCTGCCATGCTGGTACTGTTCCCGTCCTTCCTCTGTATCGTCAATCGTCACTGTTTCCTCCCCCCCTCCGAGAAACAGAGAGAGAAAGAGAGAGAAATGCCCAGCCACAATGCTGAGGAAAAGTTGGGAGACGGACTTTTACAACCACTCCGACTCCTGTGCCCCCCTCCCTCTGCCGCTCCAGGGGCGCATTGTTTGCGACTTGATTGCTGACTGCCCATGTTTTCTTTGTCCAGGCGCACCTCCATCCCATGCAGGCTGTGAACGTCCTCAACGACCGTGTGAAGAGAATAAACAAGATCAACACCGAGGTCGCAGACTGGCTGCAGGTAAAGCAACACCCGAACCCACCGGAAAACCGCACACCCGACGGGAAGAAAGACGAGCCCCAAGCTGAACACATCCCATCCAGGAACGCCGCCGAGTCGAGGACCAGTACGTCCAGAGCCTGAAGAAGCTGCTCACCTTCAAAGTCCCCAACAGCCAATCCGAGCTTGGGTAGGTCTTCCATGACACCCCTGACGCGCATCCCATGGACGAACCGTATACTGATAAACTACGCAGCGTCTTTTCCGGCCCCTGGGACAAGATTCTCCAATCCGTCGATTCGACCGCCCACTCCCACTACATTTTCGCGAGCCAACTCGAAAAAGATGTCGAGGGACCCCTCCGTAACTTCCACTCTCGAAAGGAGATGCAGAACATGCAGACTATCTCCGCCAACCTGACCGCAATGGCCCGAGACCTCGAGGATGCCCAGAAGAAGGCGGATGCCCTCGCCCGCAAAGGCCCCAAGACGAACGCCCAGAAAATGGCGGACGCTGCCACGCGACTCGAGTCCGCCACACAGCAGTGGGATTCTCAAGCCCCTTTCATCTTCGAAACCCTGCAAGCCCTCGACGAGCAGCGCGTTAACCAGCTTCGCGACCTGCTGACCCAATACGAGACCCACGAGAGCGACCAGGCGCAACGGAACCAGGCGCGCGCCGCCGACACCCTGGCCTCGATGCTGGAGATCAGCACCGAACAGGAGATCGTAAGTTTCAAGGAGAGGGTTCTTTCGGGAAAGCCGCGGTTGGAGAAGAGAGCTACGGCATCCAGGCAATCTTCCAATGCCCCAACCAGCCAGACATTAGCCCCGCCTCCGCCTCCGCCCGGCAGCATCGGACAACGCGACGACGACGCAAGTGACCACTCTGGTCTTGCCGATGGGAAGGGTGGTATGATGACCTCCTACAAAGCACTCCAACGCTCTTTGTGCTGATACTAACGACCGATGCAGAATCCAAGCTGCGAAGCCGCATTGGCACGATGCTCGGCCGGCGCCGACAGAGCATTCACGGCGGGTTTGGCCAGATATCCCCTGGAAAGGGCGGCTCTCCGTCTTTCAGCCGAGGTCTCAGCAGCAGCCATAGCAGCACTCATGCGCGCTCTGCTCTGTCACCCAGAGCCTCGTCGAATAACCTGACCGAGGCGCACAACCGATTGTCTGCTCTCGCAGAGACGCCCGATTCCCCGAGACCACCCCTGTCCTCCGGCACCGACAAACCTCACCACGAAGGCACCAACGGTTTTGGTGAAAGCCTCTCGGATGCGAATCGCCTGGGCTCCTCGGCTGGCCCTGTAAACGGAACCCACGACACTGATGCGTTGGATGTTGCCCCTCCCTCAGGCCCGCCCCCCACCCAGGCTCAGGATTCCGAAAGTAAGGATGCCGAGGGCTTCACGATCCGGCAACCCGACAACGACCCAATCTCCCAGGCCCAGCGTGAGGCCGCCGAGGAGAGCGAGCAGATGTTCAGACTCAACATTGCAAGCTCGCCCATCGCCGAGGAAGATGCCGACGCGAAGCAGGCTGCGATGTCGAATGTCGCCAATACTCTGACGCAGATGGCAGCTCCATCGCGAAAGCTTGGAACTGTGCGAGGACGTAGAGACGTACGGAACACCATCTATGTGCCGCCTCCCAGCATGCCTGAGCCTGAGCTCACCTCTGAAAACCCTTTCCCGACTTCTCCATCACTGCCCAGCCAATCATCCAAACCCACCACTGTGGCTGCCCTTGCTTCGGAGGCAAGCATCGCTGCGACGTCAGATACTCAGTCTATCCGTTCAGCCAACTCGCTTGTGAGCTTGGCCCATTTGAAGCATCCTGAGATGCACGAGCCTGGTCTCAATGCGTCCGTCATCGAGACTGTGTCCGCAACCTTTGAGAATGGAACAGTCACAAGTGCCAAGATCCATGGTGAAATCGCCTTTGCCTACCAAGCGGCTGGTGATTCTCGGCCCGGTGAGTTCTGTCATCAGCCCCCGAACAGCGGGAAAAAGTAAACAAAAAGAAGTTATGACTAACAGAAAAGCAGATAGTGAGACCATCCGGATCAACAACTTTCCTAGCCTGGAAGTCATTGGTCCAAACCGTATCTTTGTCCAGAACACTGGCAGATCCGACGAGTTCAACTTGGACCTGTCGCATCTGAACAAGACAGCTACGGCATTCACATATAGATTACATTCTGGCGACGCAGACGGCACAGGTCTAGCGGCACAGGTCCCGCTTCTACTCCGTCCAGCTTGGAAGCCCCAAGCTGACAAGCTCGGGCTGCTCCTGCAGTACTCTCTCAACCCCGCAAGCAACCTGACGGCCCCGGTAACGCTGCACAATGTTGTCTTTGTTGCCACATACGAAGGTGCCAAGGCTTCTGGTGCGCAGACAAAACCCACAGGAACGCATCTCAAGGATAAGCATTTGGTGTACTGGCGCCTGGGTGATTTGACCCTTACCACCGAGACACAAAAGATTGTCTGTCGCATCATCGGCGCCGAGAACGCCGAGCCCAAACCGGGACATATCGAGGCTCGGTGGGAGATGACGCCTGAGAATCTCAGCAGCGGCATCTCTATCTCAAGACTGGAGGAAACCAAGGGCAAGGGCAAGGACGAAGAGGCAGACCCCTTTGCGGACGAGAACCCTACCTCGCCTGCACTGCCAGCAGATCAGCAGTGGGTGGATGTGCAACTGGTGAAAAAGGTTACGAGCGGCAAGTATGAAGCCAAGTAATGGACACCTAGGTGCTGTAAGGTCTGTACATACCCCATCGAAGTGGCAGATTTTGTCACTGGCGGAAAAGCAAGACCGTTTTTTACATAGCAAGCGCATGGCAGGAGAGGTTGAGACAACCCCGGATATTTCATGTCTAGCGGATCGAGGTTTTTTTTTCCCCTTCTTTTGATTTTTCTTGTCATATGTTGTATCTTCCGAGGACCACGATCTCCCCGGGAGTGATCATCAACGACGATGGAGACGGATTTTCTCGGCGTGTTGCAGGTAGCTTTTGTACCGATATGATGAAGAAAAAAGAGAGATTCCCATATGTGCGTCTCATCACCTGCATGCTTGAAGAGAAACAAAGTTGAACGGTGGGACATGGCGGGGGAGGGGGGGGCAGCCATCGCGAAGATCAGCGAAGCGACTTGGGCTGTTTGCAACACGTAAAAGTCGTGTTATTGAAGCTATTCGCCCAATCCAGCATCTGAACCTCGTACCAATCCTTTCCGGCCTTGAGGCAAGGTATCATCGTAATACAAAAGAAAACCACACCATTTGTACAATTAGCCTGCCTCCCTCCAATCCAGGTAGTTTCATCTGACAGCCATTTCTTTTCTCTTCTCTCTGTTTTCTCCTCTCCGCACATATCGAATGGGCAGACGGCCTTCCCAGTCATCTTCGTTTGCGTACCAACAGAAACGCACAAAATCCCGCTCACCATGATGGTAGACTCTCTTTTTGTTCTATATTTACTCGGTCTGCATCTGATTCCGCGAATACTCTTCGTAAAACTCGAGCGTCAGCGCAGCGAGGAAGCCGGGGATGCACCCCTTCTCGCGCACCCAGAAGCCGATCTGGTCGGAGATGCGCCGGGCAAAGGCGCTTTTGGGCCCGCCGCCGACCTTCATCGTGCCCTTTTCGCCGTCGAAGACAATCGAGTTCTCATACTCGTCCGTCTGGGACGGGTAAAATGTCGACTCTACGCGCATCTTGCCGTTGGGCATGAACATAACGGTCCATCCAAGAGTACTAAAAATGGCTTCCTTGAATTCGAGCGACTTTTTGGACCATACCTCCTTGAGTCGCTTGGCCGACTTCTGGGCGGATGCCGTCTCGGCGCGGGCCTCCTCCACCAGGCGGTTTGCGGCGTCGAGCTGCGTGCGCGGGACAAGGTCCACCGAGGGGTTACCCTCGATCTGTGCGAGGAGGTCGGCGTTCTCCTGCTCGAGGGCTTTGAGCTTGGAGACCTTGATGGCTTCAAAGTCGGATGTCGGGTTGGAGCGTAGGGACAGGATGCGCGTCTTAGATTGCGCCTTCAGCGCCTTGAGCTGCTCCTGTACGACGGAAAGCTCCTTCTGGGTGACAGCGTGCTGCGTCTGAACCGCCGAGAGCTGGTCCTGGAGTTTCCGGTTCTTGCGGTTGAGGAGGCCGAGCTGTTCCTGCAGGGCCTCGTCATTCTCGTCGCGCGGGCGTTTGGTGCCGGCGACGGCCGGTGCGGGCTCGGCGGTTTTGCCGGATTCGATGGAGGACATTTCGGCGTGCATGGCCTGCACTTCTGATCTGTATTTGTCGACCAGGTCCTCGAGCTCCTGGATGCGGCGGGCTCGAGTCTCATCGACGGCCTCCGGCTGGAAGGCTTCATCTTCCGCGTCAAACGTCTTGAGTTGGGCGCGGAGGTATTCGACCTCTTTCACCGCAAGCACGCGCTGGCGCTCAGTCCGGAGTCGAGTCTTGTCGACGTTCTGGCTAGTCGCGACGGACCGCGCCTCAGTGAGCTGCGACTTGAGCTTGGCGTTCTCCTCCTGCACCGACTTCAGAGCGGACTCTTGTGCGGCCAGCTCGGCCTGCAGCGAGCCAACCCTGTCAAGTTGGGAAGCGGTCTCGTAACGCTGCTCGATAAGAGCACGGGCGACGGCTTCAGGTGAGTCAAACTCAAGCTTGGTGCCCGTGCTAGCAAGATAGCCCGTCCAGGCGAGGCGCTCGTCTTCAAGACGTTGGCGCTGGATGTGCGCTTCCGCCAGCTCGGCCTCAAGCGACTGGGCGGCTTCGAGCTTACGCTGAAGGGATCGCTTCTCCTCTTCGACGACCTCGACGGCCCGGTGAATCTGGCGCAGGTGCTTCAGCTCCGAGAGCTGCTCGCGGTTGGTCGCTTCCAGGTTGCGGATATGTGCCACCTGCTCCGACAACTCGTGCTTGATGATAGCCATGGTATCGGCATCTCCGGTCTGGGCCTTAAGACGCAGTACTTCCGCCTCGAGGTTGCCCACCTGGTTGTCTTTCTCCGCTAACTGAGACTGTACCTGTTGAAGGGCGGCTTCGCGGGCCTGCGACTCTTGCTCGAGCTCCTGCGTCGAATTTTGCGCAGCCTGCAACTGCATCTCCAGGTCAATCGTCTTTTTCTCGTTGATGCGCGCCGCCTCGTCCTTGGCGCTCGACAAGTCTTCCAATTGTTCCTGTAGCAAACGGGCTTCCTCTTCGGCGTCACGCGCGCGCTTCTCGAGTGCCGTCTTGTCTTGCGCAATATTCTCCCGCAGGTCAGCCAGCTCCTTTTGCGTATTTTCCAATTGTCGCATGGCTTGCGACTTTTCGCTCTCGGCTGTTTGTTTCGCAGTGAAATCGGCTTGGGCGCGGCGACGTTGATCCTCGAGCTCGGCATTGTGTCGGGCGTCGGCCATCTGCTTTTCTTGATCGAATGTGCTAATTGTGTACCGGAGGGTGCCCAGCTCGGCTTTAAGCTCCTCGATCACCTGCCGCTGGGATTCGTACTCAGCGGCGTCTGGGGGCGCCATGTTCTCTTTCGAGCTCTCGTGGGAGGTAGCGCGGACGGATTCGGGGGCCAAGCTTGCACGAGACCCGGGTCTGCTATTTGCATCGCCGCCAGTAAAGAGATTATAAGTGGGTTGTGTTGCGCGGAAAGTCTATGGTAAGAGTTCTGGTCAGCGACAACTGTATTTTGCCTAGCGTTGTTGCTTTGTTTGTTTACAACATACCCTAGACTCTCTGAGGGAAGTGTGCGGTCTGGGAAGTGCACTCGCGCCAACGCTGGCGCGCAGTCGGTTGGATACAGAGCTGCGCCTGCCAGGAGGATCGCCAGATGGGGTGTGCGACCTCATGGCGGCAGTACTGTGACGATGATGCTTCTGGATGCGTCCTCCTGATGATCGGCCAGTGTTGTTTTGGCGGTTGTTGGACGCTGGAGTTGCTGGGGACGGTGTCACGTGATGGTCCAGGGGGGGGCCTGCCGGATTCGGTTTTGGCATCATCTGATGGCCCTCCAGCTCCCTCAGCTCTCTTCCCTGCGGTGAGGCTTTCTTGGCGGCGGCGCCTAGAGCTCGAGCTGGAGGTTGCTGCATAGTCATAAGAAGACACCCGATTTCCGCCGTTCGTCTTGAATCTTCATCTTCGTCCATTGGGGATTGGATAATCGAGGAAAGTGGTAAGCTGTCACTATTCAAGATAGGTTTGCTCGGTTGAACAGCAAATTTGCTCGAACAGCAGAAGTTGGAGCTCAATTGTTGGTTGCCGGAAAAAGACGACGGTCGTTTGCTCCTGCCTCTGCCTGCTCTGCTCGAGAAGGAACGGTTGAAGGTACAATGCGGTCGGCCGCTCTTTCCTTTGCTGCGACGTTTCAACTGGAAGTTCCCGAGGGGCGGGGACTCTTCTTCCCTATTTGCAACCGTCTCTGAGTGAGTCTTCCTCCAGCAACCACCTAACCCACACATTTTCGTCCTGAGTGTAATCACATCGGCTTTGCAAATATCGCCATTCTTCAGCCGTTTTCTTTTCTCCAAGACGGCGCCATAGAACGTTGCGAGTTTCTTCCGACTGTTGATCATGAAAAGCACCAATAGTTTGTTTGCTCTCGCTGATTGCGATATTCTCCTCCAAGGGAGGCAATCCTGATATTTCTCTCAGGATGAACGCAAGAACTAGAGACCTCCACAAGCAAATATCCCCTCCTCTCAAAGAAACAGCCACTCTCCACATGCATCATCGCCAATACCAACGTTAAAGGTGTGAGACAGGTGACAATGGCCCTACGCCCTGTAACTCTGTTGACCAGGGACCAGCTGCACCATGACGTGATCCCCACATCCCACATGCGTGGAAGCTTGTCCCTGACTTGGGTAACTGCAGTGCTCGAATGATGGTCCGTGCACTAATTGCTCTAGCGTTTCTGTGCTCACCTACCTAACTTGGGAGCTCCTGTCCTTGGGGCAGCAGATTTCATCGATAGCTCCAACCCTCCGCAACTACCCCCTCCCCTCTACAGCCGACCCCTCGACAACCTCACCGACTCCCCCTCTCCTCGAGCCATATATTTAACGACATAATACTTCGATAGGATTCGCTTGGAAAGGAGAAGCTTGGGCAACCTTGGGGCATACGAATGAGGCGCCCCCTCGGAATCAGCTACACCTCAACATAGTCCGGGACAACGGCCTGCAGTCCCACGGGGAGCGAACTTCTTTGACACAATCAATTGCTTCTGGAGCCTTCTTCTCTCGATCAAAACACACTTCTGCGCTGTACAAACATTGGATACAATAGCTCCGTCGCTAGGCCGGCCAAGAGAGAGAGAACAGAGGCTGAGCCCAACTGCAACGACTAAGCTTGTCCGGCCCAGTGCTCTTTACTTTGAGGACAATATCGCGCTTACCATATTTATCGTGAACCGTCTGCCTGCAATAATTGTACTAGTTCAAAAAATACCCCACAAGCAACTGCTTCTCAATTTTTGAACACTTTGTTCCTTTAACTGTACTCCGACATCCAACTACCAATTCCATCATGGCCCTCTCACGCCTCCTGGCAAGTACCCTCTCTTATATGTTTTGTGCGTTCAAGATCACTACGAAGGAACGGTGGCTAACTTCCAGACGATAGATCCGAGCCACTCCTAGCCACGCGCTTCGCTCTGCATCTAACAGCGCTCTGGGTTTCTCATATGCGCCTCGATACTACTCAGTGGATGCCGAAAAGAAGGAGGAGGACAAGACTAAGGAGGACAGGCCTCCTCCATACACTCACAGAGGCTCGGCAATCAACTTCAACTGGGCCCGCGAAGCCGAAAAGAAGGAGAGAAGCGGACCGACCTTGTCAGCGGATAATTGGGAGGAGCATCCCGATGCCAGGATTGAGGACTTCGAAGAGCTTCCTTACAAGGAGTTTGGCATCAACCAGCACATGGAGGTCAATGCCGAGTTCAGAAAGGTCCTCAATGAAGTCGTCCGGGAGTTCCGTGCCCCCATCATGTATGCCATGGCTTACGGTTCCGGTGTTTTCCCCCAGTCCAAGGCCACTAGGACTGTCACGGATGAGGAGTTCCGCGCTGTCCACCCCAAACCCTCGCCCTCCTTGATGGAGGTTCAGAAGGGTGGCCCCAAGATGATCGATTTCATTTTCGGAGTCACTCACACCCAACACTGGCATTCGCTGAACATCCGTCAGCACCGTGACCACTACTCTGGTCTGGCCAGCTTTGGCTCCGGTCTCGTCTCGACCTTCCAGGACCGCTGGGGTGCCGGTGTCTATTTCAACCCTTACGTCACAAAGAAGGGCATGCTCATCAAGTACGGCGTGACGTCGATCGACAACCTCTGCACCGATCTCTCCACCTGGAACAACCTGTACCTCGCTGGAAGACTTCACAAGCCTGTTAAGATCCTACGTGATCATCCTCGAGTTCGCCTTGCGAACCAGGTCAACCTCATTTCGGCTGTCCGCACTGCTCTCCTGCTCCTGCCCCCAAAGTTCACCGAAAAGGAGCTCTTCTCGACTATTGCTGGTATCTCGTATCTCGGTGACCCGCGCATGTCTTTACCAACTGAGAATAAGAGCAAGATCAACAACATCGTGGACAACAACATGATCTCTTTCCGCAAACTTTACGGTCCGCTTCTTAACACGATGCCTAACGTCGACTTCGCCGACGGAGCCGACCAGCAGAGCAAACACGCTTCCGATGCCGAGTACGATGGCGCCATGTACCAGGATATGGATCCGATCAAGCGTGGCAACATGGTTCGTCGCCTGCCCAAAGCCTTCCGCTCGCGCCTGTATTTCCAGTATCAGAAGAAGTCGATGGTTCCGGCCTCGGAATTCAAGGCCATGATGGACGCCTCCAAGGAAGAGGAGGACGTGAGCTTCAAGCGCCGCGAGGGTGGTGGCTTCGAACAACGCATTGTCCAGGACGACCCGGATGAGCTGCGGAAGTCGATTCGCAAGGTCATCAGGCAAACTGTCAACTGGCCCGCAACCGCGCAGTCGGTCAAGGGCTTGTTCACTGCTGGTGTCGGCCGCTCCATCCGTTACCTCTCCGAGAAGTTGACCAAGTACAACGAAGGCAAAGCAAAGGCCAAGGTCAAGGCTGAAGAGCTCAAGAAACAGGAGAGCGAGGCCGCAGACAAGGCCAAGAAGGAGGAATGAATACCTTCTATAAGTTATTGACCAAATCAGAGCTCCTGGCAACCTGATTGCTGGGGTTTCTGGACCTGAGCGTCACTTAACTACGCCTTACGAAATCCGATTTCCAACGTTTCGATGTCTCGTACATACGGATCATTCTGTCTTCGGTGTCTTCATGGCATCGAACTGTACATTTTCGACCAGGGACCGGCACAACCATCCTCGCCTTTTTTTCTTCTTTTCTGACTGCCGCGCTAAGGCAGATAGATAGTACGCGGCGGGAACGATACGGCCGAGGACAAACCGGCAAGAATCCGTTTCAGACAGGAACATATCCCACTGCCTACACATGCGCGATTACATGTTGACAGCAAGTCGCCCATGCGGTTCCTTTTGCTCTTCTGACCCGACTCCTGCTTTTACCTTTTCTTTTGTCGATCTCGTTTCTGAAAATTTTGCATCAGCATTGGGGGGGGGGGGGGGTCGGTTACTACTAGAACTGGGAGGAGAAAAGGTGGGCTTAGTTCGATGGTATGGCCAATGGTTTTCGTTACTTTGTCTTGCTTCCGCATGCCTTACGTGAGTGAGACCCGGGAATGGCTACTTGTAAACCATGGGGCTTCCACACCATCTTGAGGGTACCGGTAGAGCTTTGGGTTAGGTTCTGGGGCGAAAGGATATTCTGGGAAGAGCGTGGGAGATGAACTTGAGCTGAAGATGAGGCGTTTTACGGCATGTAAAAAGAGTATTATCGGGGACACCATGTTCCTGAGGGCCATTTTCGGCAGACATCAATGATAGGCGACGAGGTCGCCGATTTGCACAATAACCTTCCAAGGCCGGCCAACCCATGCCAAGGGCTATGTAGCCCACCGTAGCGTCCCCGATATGATTGCCAGATGGCAAACGTAAATCCAGAGGACCAGAGAATGCTTGTTGGACGATCTGATGACATCATGGAGCCAGCATGCTGTAATGTTCCCGACCACGTTTGGTAGCGCCGATACAGATGACAGGTGGCAGCAAAACAAAATACGAAACAAGAAGGAGATGATGCCTAGAAATGTGGTGTGGGAAATATGTAATTATTCATTCACACGGAGTTCGGCCGTGACATGACTTAGGTAGCTAATAGTACAGAGGGGTGGGGTATTCATTACGTCGTCCAACAGTCGCTGCCCGTTTTGTTGGTTGGTTGTTTGGTTCAGAACTTCTTCTTGGCCATCGAAGCGGCGCCATCGATGAGCTTGTCGGTGAAGCTATTGCTGCCGCCGTGCTTCTCCTCCTTCTTGTCTTTGCCGCCGCCCATAAGGCCGCCGAGGAGACCGCCGCCGCTGCTGCCGCTGTTACTGTTGTGGTTGCCGCCGCTGGAATGGCTGCCGTGGCCGTAGTCGTCGCGGCCTCCGCCGTAACCGCCTCCCATGCCGCCGCCGCCGCCAGAGTAGTTATCACGGCCACCTCCGTAGCCGCCGCCCATGCCGCCGCTGCCGCCAGAGTAGTTATCACGGCCACCTCCGTAGTTGCCATTCATACCGCCGCCCATGCCTCCTGAGGGGCCGTAGTTCTCATGTCTTCCGCCGTGCATGATGGATGTGTGTTTTGTGAGTTGGAAGAGATGGTTGTTCAAGTTGCAAGTCGTGGCGTGTATAGCGAATTCTTGGTAAGACTGTTATTCTGATGGAAGATGTTGTGGCTGATGATGAGGAAGACATGCTTTCCAAGGTCTTAGCATTCAACACCATTTATACTCAAGTAGCCTACCAGACGTCAGGCCGTCATTGTGGACAAGGACGCGACGACTTTCCCACTCGCATCATTCCCATCTCCGTGTTGGCACCTACCGACGTCAGATGCCGCCTACGGTCCCCCATCGATAGTCGTCGTCTAACGTCAATACGAACCCCCGGAACAAGGAAAGGAGCAAGAAGAAGGCAACATGGGGGAAGACTACGTCAGAAGCGCCGTGAACAGGCCCAATTTTCCCTGCCGTAGGGCAGTTGGATTCAACCAATCTGGAGCAGCGTGTCACAGGTGTGGGAATGGACTGGGCCAAGTGCGGCGCGGGTGCCGTCCAAGCCGACTTGGTATTTGCTTGATGCAACTATATGACATTCAGGCGCGAAACCTCGCAGTAGGCACTCGCATGTCTCGAGATGTGGGCATGCGGGATAGAGAGAGAAGAGGGGGGGGGGTTAGGTGCCGTGAGCCGCACCGTAAGCTTACCCCATCTACTGATCTCATAAGGCGACGGTCATTTCCCGAAAGGAAACGAGGGACTAGGGGCCCGCTTCGCTCTCTTGTAAAGAGGCGGCGCAAGCTCTGGATCTTGGTGCTTTCGTTACAGGTACCATGTGTAAAGTTGGTCGCGGTGGCGACGTGGGGAGGGAGAAACGCGTTGGAAACTGGAAACCCGGATTGGATAAAGGGGGGGGGGGGGGTGGACTACATCGTACCCTGTAGCTAACAACATGCAGGTACGTACTGTCGATTCTTGGTGGCTTGGGTTTATTTATGGAAGGACCCTGCTTTCGATGCTGACTAAATCAGCGTACCCTAGAAAACCTCGGATTGATGCACAAGTACACGACTAGGTACTTGCAAGTATCTACCTAGTTTACTGCGTTTCGGTTGTTTCCTTAACACGGGGTGCAATAAGACGTGTAGTCGGTTCAAGGTGAGCACGGTAAGGTAAGGAAACTCGCCTACTGGATCTGCAGAGCCTGTTTCCGTAGGCGGTTTAGTGCAACGCTGGCATACGGAATGACGTAATGGCCATCCCTTCCCCGAACCGTTTAGGTACCTTTGCCAATACAGATGATACCTAGACCACACCACAAATAGCATCATCTTCCTCGTACGATGGTATCCGGCCGAAGTAAAAGCTCCCTGTCAGGTAACTGATACGCACCCCCCTACTACAAAACTTCTCTGTTGGTGAATATTCCCCTCTTATAATGATGTCAGCTATGGGGGGTAACATGGCTGGGAGCTTTTAGTTACCCCTACCACCCTGTACGTTGCCCACAGCAGAGCAGCACAGCAGGTAGGTAACGCAAGGTAAGGTACCTACCTTGAACTAGGTAACTTTGATAGAATAAGCACTTAGCTAAGCAGCTCGTTTTCTTTGTGAGCCCAATTGATAAAGTTCCGAGAGCACGAAGCACCGGGCCAATTGCGACTTTCCAGCCATCAATGCCCTTCTGGCGCACGAGTGTCCGCTGGGGAGAAGGTCGACAGTGACGAGATACAATGCTCATTGCACACGCGCGAGGCTCGAGCGGAGGCCGCAGAAGGACGGTGTCAGGTATTCCTTAGGCATGCACGTACGATTACCCTAGGGGGGGTACATGGATCTCCCCACGTCCAGATAGCTTAACACAAGGTGCACACCTCACAGTTGGTAGCACAATTAGTTATCGACCAGGTGAAGTTTTTGACTGAAAATTTTCGGAATCAGCTGTATCAGCTACCGGAATCCCAAAGAATTCAGTCATAAAGTTTACACATAAGAAAAAGGTGGAATCTAAGGGTACATACATCTACTTCCAAGCCCTCTATCTAGCTGTTTAAATTAACCTATCTACTATTTCCTACCCTGATTACCTTTTTTAAGAAGGAGCTACATCTGGAGCACCAATGTCTGTATATAATCTACGTGTACATTTAGTTCAACTGCTACGCTTTATAGAAGCAAGCTAGTTAACACATGTTACATCAGACGGCATTACTCAAGGTGTCTAGCTACAAGGATACTTGACGATATCCCATAAAAAGACAACCCAACGTACTTTGACGCACTATTTCCGGCGGAGTAGAATCAACCGAGATCCATCAAAGCCTTTCTCCAAAGCTAGCGTCACCAAGCCACTAACTTCTACAAATCTAATTCAGCATCAACTCCACAGCCACCAAAGGCGCCAGTCAAGTCTTAACCCATCCTATCCGACATTGAAAGTGTGACGTCCAGGTTGTCAAGTCTAGACCTACATTAATCGCCAGCGCTACGGCAACTACAAGATCTGACTACGTTAGATAGCACATTACGCATAGGGCTATTAAACCTTGGACAAGCAACCCAATCCCCTCTTCTCACCTCATTACTGAGCATACAGCACGGGCAACACTCCAACCAAATCCATCTACAGCACAATTTCAGATCTGGATATAGCTCACCTTTACCGGAGGAACCACACCGTTCACCATCTACACGGTCATCGCATCAGCAGCGAGATCCACTCCAACAAGACGATATGTCTGCACCTGTGACACCAGAGGGCGCTGTAGCCTTGAATTGCCAATGTTGGCCAGGAGGAGGACTGGGCTGCCGTCGAGAAGAAAGCTCTCCAGGTGGGCGCCAAGAAGATAATTATCGACGACCTCGAGCGCGAAATGGTTTAGGACCTTCGCTTCAAGGCCGTCAAGGCCAACGCACAATACGAGGATACTTACTTGCTGGGCACCAGCTTCGCGTTTCCAGGGCCGGAACGATCTTCTTGAAACGCAGCTCTAGGGGTTGCTGCGACTCTCCTGCCATGACGATCCTTCGTGCGGCTTACATCGCGATCAAAGGCCTTACTCTTGATGGCTGCCTCAGGGCTGCCTGCGATACGTTGAGCAAGCAATGGTCTCAGCTCCTCTACAATGGTCTTTACTACAGCCCCGAGAGAGAACTCCTTTAGCCAAGCCTCGACTTCGCCCAAGAACGGGTTAACGGTGAAGTCCGCCTTCAGCTGTACAAGGGCCAAGCCCACGTTCTTGGCCGCAGGTCCCCGGAGAAGTTGTACTCCGAGGAGGATGCCTCTATGGACTCCCTCACTACTTTTGATCTCGCTGATGGGACCGGCTTCATTGCGATCGAGTCCATCCGCCTTAAGAAGTATGGCCAACAGCTGGCGGAAGCTGGTTACAAGTTTTGAGTAATCAGATGGACGATTAGGGTTTGCTTTGAAGGAAGGAAAAAAGGGAGAGCTCGGAGGAGCGGAGGATCTCAAGAAGACGGGGACGTCTTTTGGTCGAAAACCGGCCGGGGAACTGTCAGGTATGCCTTAGACATGCACGTACCCCTAGGGTACATAGATCTCCCCACTTGCCCCCTGGGTGCACACCTCATAGACGGCGTTCCAGACGGTTTGAATCTCACTCTTTTTTTGGTGTCCTTGACAAGGACTGGTTTGACATGAAGGAGAAACTTATTAAATATACTACGTAATACTTTACAAGTATGGTTTGCTTTTTTTGATGAGATGATGCACTTTCAGATGTCGCCAGTTCCTTTTTTTCTCTTCCTTATTGAAGGCCAACTTCGAACAGTGTTTGAACCATTCGTTCGAGTCAGTCAGTCGTCCGGTCTTCTCCATGGTCCTTCCCGGACCACGCCGCCGCATGCATACGGTGTGTAAGTAAATGTGTGTGTGTGTGTGTGTGTGTGTGTGTGTGTGAGGCCAACGCCTCTGTTTGCTTCTTGCCGCCTCATGCAGCGCCGCGCCGCACAGACTTGGTGACGGACCGGGCGCAGGAGGCAGAAGGCAGGATGGACGTAGGACACAAGGGATCTGGACGAAAGGCCGAGACACGTGCGTCCTACGGTCTTCGGGACGAGGCATAGTACGGATATATGAGGATGAAAATACAGTACAGGCGCCGCATGCCGGTGGCCAACTACTACTGCTACTACCAACCAAGCACGCTACCTAATGGCATCTACTTACGGTAGGGTACCTAGCAGTGTAGGTATGCACACGAGGATATGGGAATTCAAAAGTGCCTTGGTCAAAGAGGCAAACAGGGAGGAGGACCGAGACAGCGTTACCGATACCGAGCTCGGCTTACACTGGGAACGGTAAACTAGTTACCTACGTGACGGTAACTAAATACCCACACCTCTTTCTTGTTGCAGATGGCGCTGCACCCGCCTCTCTCTCGACCGGGCATGCATGTTTACACTTGGCATTAGCGATACGCATGTCCTCTTTTTTTTTTTTTTTTTTTTTTAGCCTTTTTCTTTTTTTGTTTCGACCAAATAATCGAGAGAACCCTTTGGTCTTTCGTTCTGTGTCGTGATCCTCTCTCTTTCCTCCCCCACACACATACATACCCCTAGCCCGTCAACAAGCCGCCATTGGATCACTCAATCTGTTGCATTATTGAATTGTTGGACCCATCCGCCCGTTTCTTCCGTTCTCCAGTCTTCTTTCCGAGTTGCTGCAGACTGCAGACCGCAGACCGTAGACCGCAGCTAGTCCTGTTGGTCTGGTTCCACTGGCAGGGATTCCGTAAAACTGGTTGGTCGAGTCTTCCCGGCAAAGACTCCAACAAGATCCCTTGGCTTGGACAGTTCGACGGGGAAGCATACCGGCACAACCTTCCATAACCTTCTCCAACCTCCTCATCCTCCTCTTCCTTCTCCTCCACTTCCACCGCCCAGCGTTGTCCATCAACCCATCCATCCATCTTTTTGCATCTTACACATCGCCTCTTCCCACCAAGCCAGGCCGTCTTGACTGACCGTAGCCGGAAAGCCTGCACAACTCACCATCAGCAAGGCAGCTTCAAGACACTGCACCATCGAGCAAAGAGCCCGACACGCTCCCTGGTTGCTGGCGTCGTCGGTCGTCACACTCCCTCCCCCACTAGTATAACTTGGTTACATGAGCAATCAATACCTGCCAACCACCAACCCGACCGACAGCTAGTCACTGCTGCTATTATTGTTACCACCACCACCACCAACACCACCACCAACACCACACCACACCATACCATCGCCAGCCACACTAGACAAACCCCAACACATATACCTGGGTAATCCAACACATAAAATACGCCATCACTATTTCTCTCTCCGCTGGCGGATGGTCTCACGATAGCATCCGCGACCCACTGTGCGACCGAGGCGACTCCCGCCGTCCCAGCATGGCGCGCCCGCGCATCCCCGCCCTCTATGGCATCCTCCAGTTCTGCCTCCGCCTGACTCTCGTCGTCTTCGAGGTGTGCGCTCTCGCCGCCCTCGTCATGCTGTCGAAATTAAGCTTCCATTTTCCCCTGGGCTACCTTACAGTGAGTGACTCTTATCTCTCTTGCTTTTTTCACGGCACAAAAAAAACAGTGCTGACTCGACACTTCCCAGTCCGTGTCAGGCATCATCTTTTGCATGGCCGAGATGGTGAGCCTCGCCAACTCGACGGGCCAGATCCCGCGCATGCGCACCGGCGCCATCGTCGTCGTCGACTTCGTTCTCTTTGTCCTCGGACTCGTCGCCTTCTTCTACTTCATTATCCTCAACGGTTGGCGCAGCGGCAGCCCCAACCACGAGTACCGCGCCTGGCGCAACGACCCCCTGCGCATCGAGAAGACCACTTGGGCCCCTTGGTACATGTGGCTCCAGCTCATCGCTGCTGTCATGCACTTCCTGTACATGATCATGCACTGCGTTGACGCCTGCAAAGAGAACGCCCCCGACCAGCAGCGCCACCGCCGCCAGAGGAGGATGATGAGGGATGCCGAGAGGCGGGAACGGCGGGCCGACCGGGACGCCGCCTCGGCGGGGCACCAAGACCCCGAAACGGCCCAGGTTTCGACGAGGTGAACGGCCGGTCGAAGAAACCCCGTCACCTCGCCTAGGAGGGATTGAATTCTTGATTATGCGGCGCTTTGCAATTTCATTCGGGTTTGGGGACATCTCAGGATTGGTGTTCTTGGCGTTCGGCGAGAGGACCAACGGGGGCTGCCACTCTTCTTACATGACTGGGGACGAAGCGGCCTTGAGCAAGTGCTGGTCTTGGCTGGGACATGAGGTATTTTGCGTCTGTGACGATGGTTGTTTTGGGAAAGGGCCGAGATGAAGTCGTTCCACCCCTCTTGGTTTCGAAAACCTTCTTTTTTTTTTTTGGATGGGCGGAACGGCGTGGCCAGAACAACACAGAAAGACACCCGCTTCGAGCGGCTGTGACTAAATCACAAGATGAGCATCCAACTGCTTCGTGTGAAGCGATGCGCAAGGCGTACATGGACGTCCAAGCACGTATCTATATTATCATCTATCAAACGGACAAAAGATACCCTTGAAAGCGAGAATTGCTACTCTATTCAACCTGCCTTTTCCGTCACGCTCGCCTTCTCTCTACTTTCCTTTCAGTCTCTCGCCAAAACCTACCTGCATCAGGCAACCAGAGCCGACGCCCGACGGAGACTTTCTTAGAGTTCGTGGGGGCTGACACGAGGGCTTGCAGCCGTGCGAAACATTGGCCGAATCCTGGTGGCAGCGTTGCCATCTGATGCATGTCAACGACTTGAGGTCCAGATAAAGAAGGGCCCTATATGTTTCTAGAATATAACCCCTCAGAGTATCCTTGGTCCATGTAGAGAAAGACGTTGAGTCGCCGTTTTGGGACCCAAGAATCATCCAACGTGTTATCGCTGGGGCCGCCTTTCGAGTCATAAAGACTGCATCGGCTTTCTTCGCCACCCATACCGCTCTCTAGCAAACGATCCGGAGGGTTCACTCAGGCTCAGCCCGCTTGGGCTGCTTGGCGGCCGGCATCCAGGCTGAACGGGCTCTTAACGTGCCACACAGACGCCTGCCCAGAGACCCAACAGTGGTTCCCTGCTGGCTAGTCAAGCAGGTTTCGGCATATGAGGGAGGAACATAACTCCCCGGAGTCCCGGATCTTTTCAACGGCAGGAAGAGCGAATGATAATGAGAAGTCATCCCCCGACCCCGATCCCCCCCCCCCCCCCCCCAAGAGATGGAGTCGAACAAACTCGAAGTAGACTAAAGGATGTTCAACATACTTATAAATTGTGCAGATGTGGCTTAGATTGCTCGGAGCTTTGTGTAGGAGAATCCTTATGTCTCCAAGCCCCCTTGGTACTAATCGGGGCCAAGTGCTTCACTAAACGGATTCAGGTAGGATTCTTCCGTTTTACCCGGCTACTGCATCGCTTGAACCAGGTCGTCTGCGTCTTGGATCGTGTATCACAGGTCTCCTTACCCTGACCCTCGCCCCCCCCCTTGCCGCCGTCCACCCACCTCCCCTCCTCGCTGCCGAGTCCCAACCACCCCCTCGTGTCCGTGGGCACATCCCATTTCACCACCGCGAAGTCCCCCTCGACCGCCCACCTGGCGCTGAACCGCCCCAGAGCCGTCGTGAACCCGGCCTGCGCCTCCGACACCTCACCGAACGCGGGCTTCAGGCTCCACTCCGCGCCGGCCGGCCGCGTCACCCGCAGCCCGACGAGGTACTCGGTCAGCGTGCTCGTCGGTCCACTGCTCCACCCGTGCGCGTGGCTCACGTAGCTTGGGTCGTCCGTGTACCCGCGCGCGCTGCGATACCCGAACGTGCCGTCCGTGAGGTACCCCTCAATGACGGTTGACCCTGTGCCGTTGGGATGGTTGAGGTACCACCCCCAGCTATCGCGCACCAGCCGCAGCGCCCTGTCGGCGCGGCCGACGGCGAAGTGTGCCTCGAGCTCGACGCTAGAGATGAAGGGCGAAACGTTACCGGGCAGCTCTGGTGAGGCCGGGCCGATGGGCGTCCAGTTCTCCGCCAACGCGCGGGAGATAGAGGCTGCCTCGGGGCCCGCCGGGTCCACCACACCGAAGGCGACGGCGTAGCTGTTGCTATCCTGCGGAAAGAGCGTGCGGTTCCTGTGGCCGTCGATGAAGGCGCCCTTGGACGCGTCCCAGAAGTGGGTTCGGATGGCGACCCTCAGGGTCTCCGCACGCGCGAGCCAGGATTCTGTGAGGTTCGCCCCCGCAGTCGCACCGGAGGAGGCGTCATCGCCGCCGTCCGCTGGGGCGAGATCCGCGAGGAACGCACCCGTGATGAGGGTGCGGTAGAGGAGCATGTTGGGGGCGCTGCCATTGGGCGCGTTGACGTACCGCGCCCAGTCGCCGGTGGCCGTGGCGTTGAGGACGGATCTGGGACGCGCGGTGCGGGAGTCTGGCGCGTAGATGTTCTCGTCCCAGGGGCCGGGGAACGACGCTTCTGTCGGGTGGGTGCAGGTCGCGTTGCGCCAACAAGCTTGTGCTAGGGCGCTGGCGATGAGACCAAAGGTCACGAGAATGGGCCGGAAGGGGGCCATGTTTCTGGAGTAAGGTCTGTCCACGGGGCAGCGAAACCTGGATGGAAAGACATCTTACGATGCCTTGTGTGGATTGAGGCGGAGGAGACTTTCTATAACGGCGAAGGCTTCGCGGCGTTCTAAGCCGAACCAGCCCCGGAGACTGGGATCCGGTTGACGGAATTCGATGGCCTGGCCCAAGTACGGAACCACCTGCAGGTTCCTTGATCTTGGGGTCGTCATCAGCTTTGGCGCAGTAAGATCTTGGGGGGCAGGGGAGCAATGACACGCGATAAAGTAGTCTCTCTCGGCAAGGGGGGACATCCGCTCGGTCAATTCGGGTCAAAGATGAGTGGTGAGTTCGTACTGCTTCTGCAGCTCTGCAACACAACGTGCCCCGGTCATAATCTACGATCCTTCGATTAGTACGGTTGGCTCCCGATGCCCTAGGACCTCATCGAATCATTAATGGATCAGTTGGACGCGGCTTTGCCAGACTAGAGAGGACGTCAGCAAAGCTAATTGCAAGGGAACGCCCAGGTGAAACGAAGTCGAAGAGGCTCGTCGTCATATCAGAGACATTCGCAGAGATGGGTGAGACGAGGACCAAAGAAAATAAGAATGCGGGGTAAAAGATCATGGTCTCTTGGATTTGCGGAGTAAACCTGGAGAAGTGGAACAAGACCGACCTCTCAACCCCCTGCTTATGATCATCCAAGCTCATTTCATCATTGTCTATAACATCTCATATAGCGAAGCGGGAAGGGGGTTGAGGGGTTCTTGCTACATTTCATGCGCGCAACATGGCTTGGACTCAGGAGTCAGCCTTTGCCTTTGCCTTTGCCTTCTCCTCCTCCGTCGGAAACGTGGCGAACAAGTCGCGAAGTTTGTCCAGCGGCGCCTCCATCAGCCCGACGACCGTCTCGAACGGCGGCTTGTTCGGCGCGGACGGGTGGCTCCGCGTCGGCGTGAACATCTTTGTGCGCTCGAAGCTCCACGCCAGGTCCTCGGCCGCACCAGGTCCTCCTCCTCCTCCGTCCTGATGTGCCGCCTCAGGTCTTCCATCAGGGAACTGAGCGCGGGCTCGAAGTCCAAGTCCTCGGGCCTGCGTTCCTGGAACCAGTAGAGCTTCTCCTTGACCTGTGGACGGGTTGTTAGCCTCTGAAATTACAAGAATAAAAATAGAACATGAGCATGCAGCTGCACGTACGGCTTGGTGCTCCGCGCGGTCCCTGTCGGCGAGGATCTTGCCGTTGGCGACATGCTTCTCCAGGACCGGGTAGACGACGAGCTCCTCGCTGATGGCGTGCCGGGCGAGCTACCAGATGAAGAGGTTCTGGAAGCGCGCTTGCTCGTTCATATCGGTGGCCTCGAGGATGTGCTTACAGTACGCCCCAAGATCGCGGTGGTCTTCTCTGATGACGTCCGTCAGGCGGCCCAGCAGAGGCGGCGTGGAGTAGAACTGCTGGCGGATGCATGGCCTGCAAGTCGCCGGCTTGGTGGGGGGACGCAGGAACCCCTTGCTGAGAGCTGGGAACACCAAAGATGAGCGGAACATGGTAGCCATCTCGAACCCCCTTGGCTGGTGCTCCTCAATTAGAGTTGAGTTATACGGAAGAAGCTAGGGGGCCTGACGCTCCTGATGCTCAAAAGGGGGTGACGCGCGCTTTGTAGTAGGCCGGGGCTGAGTTTAAGAATGCCGGAACCAGACGCATCTCTCAAAATCGAATAGGCTGAGGTCATCACCTCGTAATGACGGTTCCGTGCTTCTAATCGAACAGCAAGTTGTTGTTTCAACTCGAGCCCTTCATCTCCGTATCGTGAAATCATGGCGTGCTAATATTGCCTTTCCGAGACAGACAGCTGAGTTGAACGTCCAATCACAAGGACGGATAGAACGTCATGGACCAATCACCGTGCTGTCATCAGAGAAGCAACGCGTCCCGAAAGGAAACAACATGGGCTATATACTTCGGTAAACTGATTGTAAAACAATGCTGCTTACACGGTTAGTTACCACACAGGCGGGTGACAAAATAAGCCGCACTCACAAATTACAGAGGTCAATTTGAGTCCCCATGCGCTAAAATATAGGGTGTATAGGTATTCTTTCGTCATGTAGCTCCCTAACATACTGGAGATCCCCGAGGCACAGGTCACCTTAAGTTAACTTTCCTGAGTGCGGGTTTTTTTGGCACCCGCTTGCCACACTATTTCACTTCTGCTTTGTTGCCTACATAAGAATACCCAGCACGCTTCCCCCCTCCCCCCCTCTCCCGTATCCTTCCGGTGGCTGTAGCAAACACAATTTACTGTCTTCGGCTATCTACCCCTTAGTTTGTTTCTCCTTGGGTTCCGCGTCTTTCTGTGTCATGCTACACGTCTCGGCATCTTTTGGCTCCATAAAGCCGTCGACAACGTCCTTGGCTGGACCACTGTCTTGAAGATCTTGGTTAGACGGCCAGGTCATCGTTGTAGGGGGTCCTGGCCCGAAGGATGATCCTAAGCTGGTTCGCGCCTAGTGCTAACACTGGATTAGTATTCTTATGAGCGGACCAGTTGCATGTGTTAGTTGAATATGGCTCAGATCTTAACAACACTTTGGGCACAACATCAGGGCAAGGCTGAGGAGTATTCGAAAATTTTCGAAGCCCAGGAAAGTCTTTGTAACACCAAGAGGGGCAGGGATTTTGTCCTAGTAGAACTTACTAGAGCTACCTGAGAAAAGGTTGGCTTTCTCTTAGTACATAGAGCTACGGAGACCTTGAAATCACAACGTCTGCTTGTACAGCGGACAGATCTACCAGATATCCACCCCTAGACGCAGCTGCCCCTTGTACCACGAACTTTGCTTCCCCCGAAGTTGTCTGTGTAAGCCAGACTATGCTCGAGGTAGCCTGCAGCGCCCCTGCCGCAGCAGAAGGACTCACTGCGAGCCTCAGCGTCTGCCCTTCGCGGTCATATGTGACCGTATGAATAGCCCCGGCGCTAAGGGAGACTTTGAGCCCCCAGTCAGCAACAAACACCCGGCGGCGAACAGCATCTCGTGGCTCAGCAACGACTGCAGTGTCGTTGGACGCGACAACGTTGCCGCCAAAGACCACTTCACCGTAACTCTCGTGGTTGACGATATACATCGCCTGGCCGAGGCCGAGGCCCAAGAATCCGAGACCGTAGTCACCCGTGTACGGGTCCCATTCCAGCTTCTCCGGAAAGGAGTGGAACGCTGCCGAGGGACAGCCTTCGGCGTCGATGTTGGTCAGAGGCGCCGTGTTACCGGCGAACGCGACGCGGATGGCGTTGAAATCGGCAGGGTTCCGCTCAAAGTAGTGCAGCATGGGGAGAGAATTGAGACCGGAGCCGTAATGGTGGATCTGCCGCTCGGTGGCCTCGTACTTGGCGCCGTAGTTGAAGTCCCAGTATCGCCGGGCGTTTCCATTCCACCCCCAGTGCGCAACAGTCGGCATGTATCCTGCGATGCTGTTGATGGCCTTGGCTGCTGTGCTGTTGAGGCCGAAGTAGCTAGGTCCATGTCAGCAAACGAGGGGCTACGGGTATAATTCCGAGTGCTGGGAAATGCTTACTTGGTCCAGTAGTAGACCCCTTCTTGCCCCGTGCTATCCCAGGCCATCTCACTTCCAAAGGGAACAGCAAGAGTCTCCCAGAACTCGGCGCGAATACGCATCGAGTCTTCAAAAGCAGCCGCCTCTTGTGTCATATTCTCTCTCTTGAGATCCTCGAGAAGCTCGGCGAACACGGTTTCACCCATCAAGCCGGTCAAACCGTAGTCGCACTCAGGGGCACCATCAGCCAGGCAGTACTGGACCGTGCTGTACGCCTGGTTCAGGTACCAACTCCACTCAGACCGAGTCTTGACTTGGGGGTAATCTCTCGCCACACGATAGAGGGACCAATACGCTACTACGGGATGGACGTAGTTGTAGGCACGCACGGTGGTGTAGGCCCTTTCCTTGCTCCAAGAGGCCCAAGTTGTCCAGTCGAACTCGGGGTTGTAAGTGTAGTTGACTGCGCCAGGCTCGTAGTAAAAGACGCTTGCTCGCACGGCGAAAGACTCGGGGGGCTGGATGGTTCCGAGAACGGTCTCGTGAACAAATTCGTCCAGAATTTCCACCTCTCTTTCTACGGGTTGAACAAAAGTCTTCGTGGCCGCAGCAACGTATGCCCCAGTGCCTCCCTCATCGCTGAGCCCCGCAATCCAGACGCGCGCATCTTGCGTGACAATGGCGTTGACCTCTCGGTCATAGCCCATGATAGACGGCGCTCTTCCAAAGGGGTCTGTCTCATCGGTGTAGTGGGCGGTTGTAGTGAGGAAGTGTCCCAGATCAGAAACTGTCTCTGGCGCTGGCTTGGTGATGAAGTAATGGATAGCCTGAGTCTTGCCATCCTCGTATATGATGGTGATCTTGGCTCGTCCCCAGGTACCTGCGGTTGGAGTCAAAAGGTATGGCGTCCCCTTTGCGCCGGTATCTTGTTCGACGGCAAAAGAGCCATGGTCGTCAATGGACTTGACCGGGGAAGAATGCGTCAGATATAGCCGCACGGTGAGATCAGCGGGCACGATATATCCTGGGATTCCCACAGCAAGTGGGAGCTCAGATCTGACCACGGCGTCCTCGATGGTCTGCACGCTATCCGCGATGCTGAACTTGAGTCCGACGGAGTAAGTCTCGCCCACCTGGATTTCCTTTGCTGTGGGTGCATTCCAAGGCTCGGCACTCTTCCATTCGTTCTCGGCCCACGCCTGCGAGTGAACCATCCATTCGTAGTTTCCTTCATACGTCTGAGTCTGGTATCCGTAGTCTCCCTGCGGCTCGTCGAGGAATCTCCAAGCTTCGAATGGGCTTTTACCAAGAGGCGCTACTACGAGCGCGTTGCCAAGTCCATTGACGGGTGACACGCGGACATATCCAGCATCAAGTCCTATATACGGATCTGCTAATGAGCACTTTGCCTGTGTATCTTCGGCTGAGCGGGATGTGAAGATGTTGTTGATGACGACAGGAAGGCCTAGGGATCCGAGTTCAATGGTCGTATTGGCGTTGTTCGTCAGGTTTATGCGGACGGCAAGACCTTCGCCCTCGGCGAGCCACTCGCGAGTGACCGTCAACGGCACACCATTCGGTAATGTCGGGGCCAAGTCTGCACCGGCAATGACACCGGGGGCAAGATCGTCCAAAGCCACAACAGCACTCCTGTTTGCGGCGGAGTCGATGTCAGTCCATTCGCTGGTGCCGGTGGCCCTGAAGCGGAATGTGACATCGCCCAAGTGATGGGCACCATTGATTGTCAGGTTTGAGAGGAAGTCGGAAGGAAGGAAATCGAAGCCAGAACTGGGTCTGAGGGAAGCCAGTGTCTGAGAATCACGGACGATTTGGCCACTGATTTGGCCAGCTTCATAGTCGATAAAGCCAATTCCGCCAACTGATTCGTTTTTACTCTGACCATTCACCAGTGAGTTGATGAAGGCCAGCATGAGCGCAGGCATAAGGGCCGTTGCCTGAAACATCATGGGTACGGCAGGTTGTGGTGAGAGGAGCCTTTGATTGAACAACAACGAACGAAATCAATTTTATGGGAACCTCGGACGAGAGCGCTTTCTTTAACATTGAATAGTGATCATCTTTAGTCTCAGGCAATCTTTCTGACCAGCGTCATAGGCCACTAATTTCCCTGTGGTTTCATTCGTACTGGAGCCATCACCTATACTAGAAGCTCGGTAACCATTGATAAGAGACCGACACCCGCCATGCAGGGTACCATCCGTTCTTTCGGCTATTATTTAACGATCGACACATCCTCTCCCCGCCCTCTCTTTTGAGGGGGGGATAAACGATTACCTATGTACGTGAGTGGGACGCTAGTTCCTCTGCGGATGTCAGTTCAAGGATTCCAAGAATCTGTTGCCGGGGTGGTAACGTGAGATCGGAGCAAAGCCGAGTCGTACCCTTGTTGATTACCCTACCACGGCTGCGCTTTTTGTATGTAACGTAACCATCACAACAACTGTCCCGAGACAGAAAATTGATGTCAGGTATGTCAACTTAAGTAAACTCTAAACATTGAAAAGTCGGAATGACCAGATCAAAGCCGCATGTTATTGGGACTAGGTGACTATTGGAAAAGAAAACAGTGACCGACTGTTCCGAGCATTGATCATTATAATGGTTTTGGCCTTCTACATTGAACTGAAACTCGAAACATAACCTCCCAGATTTGGACAATTTCAGGTCTCCTCTTCAATCATGGTGAGAGACATCCACTCATTGTCTTCCCACTCTAACGAATTGACAACATCGATAATCTGTTGCGTAGTCAGGTCCTCCGCCTGGCCGCTGTTGTCTTTGGGGAGTACCCTATAGCCCGGCAAAGAATCTTTATCCACCTGCACCGATCTTGGGGGGCCTGTGTTTGTGTGTTGCCAAGATGATCCCGCAGGCGCAGTGACGAAGCCGCTCAATGCGCGAGGCCGAGTGGCTTCGAACTCGACTAGCATCTCCCCCAGTTGTTGCATCTCATTCTTCCGGAACTCGGCAATGAGATTGCCGCTGGCAATCATTTCCTCAAGAATGTTGTTTGACTTTTCGAGCCATGGTGACTGGCTTTCTATCAACCGCGAATCAACTCCGCGTGCGACGAGAAGAGCAACCGTTGATACAAACAGAGAATCAAGATCTAGAGGGAGAAACGTTTCTTTTTGATGGTCATTAGTGCCTGGTTTCTCATAAAAAGCCATTTGGGACAAGTTTTACCGAGTAAGCCCTGACTTCTCAGTTTGTCAAGAATATTGAGGATCTGGATCGCAGATTCCGCGCACATTTGTAGCGGATTTCGGACTTTTGGCGATGCCATCAGCGAATCCGCCTCGAGCGGCGAATCAAATCTTTTGATCAAACAGCAGAGTAGTAAAGGCCTTGTTGCAAGGATGATGCACTTTCTAGACGTAAGCAACAGCCTGGAACAGCATATGTGGAGGAAGCCTGCTCACCTGGTAATATAAAAGATGCAGATGAGCAGAAAGCCTTGAAATACCGTCGAAACGCTCGTCGGCATGCAGTGGAAATGAGTTGCGCAACTCATCGGCCACCGCAACGATGCTCTGTAGGACTGTCTTTGTACTGAGAACGAATTTCTTGTTCAGCCGACCATTTGCGCCGTAGACAGCTGGGAGAGGAAGAGAGATGATTAGAAACATGTCGTTTCATGACAGCGGGGCTCAAACTCACTACTGCTGATCTCGGCAATGATTCGAGCGAATTTGATTTGCATACTCAACGCAGCGGTACGGTGAGCTGAGCCTGGGTACGAAGGCAGTTGGCAGTATACTCCTTCATCTAGTGTGGACTGGGGAAGACCCATCAGAGAAGTCATTTGCCGGTCCAAGACGTAAACGGTCCACCAGATTTTACGACATCTTTGGACAAGGCCCGGTCCCAAGTCCATTATTGGCATATCCGTATGCATGCCATAGTTCATTGCTATGCTTTTTGCCTGTCCTATCTATCCAAAATCGTTAGTTAAAGCCAAGCCGAAGTGCGAGTTTAAAGACATACAAAATTGTGAGCCGCGTGTCGGAAATCCAAAGCTTGATAGTACCAAGCGATGCAGCAGAGAATTTCTGTCGACATAATGGGCTGTTTACAAAGAGCAGTCACATCGGGAATGAGTTGAAGCGCCCTGACGAAGAACTCGGCCCCTGAGGGTCTTTTCCCTTGGTTCTTTCGTTGGATGAGACTCTTCCCGAAGGACAAGACTACAAGGAAGTGTATAAACCAAAGAGTATCCTCTTCTGCTCTGTCGGTAGACGATTTCGAGTAAAAGGTTTGCATGTTGTCCATGAACTCATCCTCTTCGAAGAGATGGAACATTTGGCCACAATGGAATTTGACCGCGTTGATGAGGAAAATGGCGTAGTCATAGCTCGGTATCGGACGACTGTCCAAGGTTTGTGCGGTTCGAGAGCCATTCCATCCGAGGTCATATGCACAGCCGTCGAACAGAAGACTGTTGGTCGGAAGTGGAGATTGGCAAACATGTTCATGTGTCACACTCAGAACTTGCCGAGAGAATGACCAATTCGAAGAAGAGCCAAGGAAATCTGGGGAAAGTTAGATTCCGACTGTGTTGCAGATGTTGGCTCAGAGAAGTTGCACTCACATGGTTGGCCGTTCGAAGCAGACGTGCAAAAGCGAGATGGCATTGTTGTGAGGGGGTTTGTTAGGTCTGGCCCGTCTGTATCTTTGAGCAGCGAGGCGCGAGATGTCTCTACTTGTCCATGATAGCTGGCCATTCGAGTCTCGTCAGAGCGAGAAGAGTTCTCGTATTCTTCAGGCTATGAATCAGCCAGTGTTTAAAAAGATTAGACAATGAGGACTCGAACCTTCGCCATTAAAGACATTGTCAGCACCATCAGCATCCATATGTTTCAAGCTCTGTTCAGCAAAGGCTTTTGCTTGGGCTCGCTCCAACCGTGCAACCTTTTGCTGGAGTTCAGATAGGTACCTAGACGGGTTGAGTGAGTCGTTAATCTCATGAAACGCATGTATAGTCAGGGTCGAACTACCTACCCTTGTGTCACCATAATCTTGTTATCCCGCTCGTCAAATATGCATGCCAGCCGCCGCTGAGTGCAGTTATTGCACGGGTGAAGCCCCGAGCACTTGATCTTCTGTCTCCGACATCGCGAGCAGCTTGTTTCGATTGTAAGTAAGTTTCGAGAACTTGAAAAAGGATGCCATCACGCACGCGTACGAGGATCGTTTCTTTACTCGTCGTTGAGTGTTGGAGAGCTCCATTGAAAGCTTGGCCTGGGATCAAGCAACGCCTTTAGGAAACAACCACAGTAGAAAGGTGTACAAGGTGCCCGAGACAGCTACCTAGCCTCTCGAGACTTGGGAAACTTCGGCAGCGGTGCGGGGTGGGTGTCCTTTTCCTATCCCGCATTCCTGCACCGAAGCCAGCTGATCATCTACAGATAAGAGATACGTTATGATAGGACCGCTTAGCAAGGAATCCCGGAGAAGCATATATAGGTACCACACCTATTGTAGCATCCATGACCTTGATGTTGGTTCGGTGCGGGGTATACATCAGCAGTGTGCAACGGGTGGATAGGAGTGCTAATCCATGCGCTTCAATCGGTTTTAATTCCTACCCAGCTTGTGGGGCTCGCGACTCACTTATCCATAGGTAGAATAGAATCCCAGACACTTTATACTCGTAACTAAGACATAGTCATTGGACTTTATTCTTGCGGTCAATATTTGGCGAACTGAATATCACCAACTACCCACTACTTCGACTGTTGCGGAAGTTTACGAAAGCACAGGTGAGGGGCTAGAAAGAAACTGTCTAAGAAATCATTCTGAAAGGAACGCAAGAAGATTACCAATGGCATTTATGATGCTGGGAAATTGAAGAATAATTAATGAGCCATCTTTAATCCGGTAGGCAATTGTTACAATTTCTATGATTGTGAAGAGGCTAGTAGCTCGGATGTAGACAACGTTTACTAGCTCCCTTTTGTAATAAGCCCAGTCCCCTTTACTCCGTAGACACTCACCATATCAGCAGTTCTTCAGACATGGATTATATTTTCGTCTTCGGTGGTCCCAAACCAGACGTTCACAATATCCCGGAGAATCTTCTTCTAATACAGTACACAATGCTCACCTTTTCATTGATGTGGTACCATGTGTGGCTCCCTATCAAAGTCAGCACGATGTGTAGTGGCCCTAAGCGTAACAGTAAGTCCTGTCTCTTGATTAGAAGCACATACCAGCTCAATTGGATATATTAACTAAACATGAAATTTGACAAGATGTACCTACTAGCTTGAGATTCCTTATTCAACCGCAAGACTTTCATTCTGAGTTAACTTAAGTAGAAACAGAGTCAATGAGCTATTGGGCACTTGAGTCAAAAGAAACTTCTTGAAAGCTCTTACTTGATCTTTGTTGATCTTATAAGCCCCAAACGACGTGTATAATAACTTTTCTTAACCTGTTTAGATAATCACCAGCCAATGTCTTATTTGGCACTCATTCTCATTCCCGTTATCTTTCAAATAGCCTACAAAGCATACACACCGTGATTTCCAAAACCTGACTCATTAATACACCGACGACTTTCCCTTCATGTTCCCGCATTAGTCACTGTTAGCTAAACAATACAATTACGCCCAGGGCTGATTTCGTTCACCTCCATCAATGATAGCCGGCAGCCAGACGTAGAAGTGACCTCGTTCTGTCTGCACTAACTCAACATTCACATTTGAGGATCGTGTCTGTCTCTCTCGTCTGAGGTTGTGTACACATAGTTTGCAGGGGCTCTCGCCTAGTTTGTAACTTACATCCAACTCAGCCGTGCCTCTGTTTACACGGCTCTTTGGACAACCGCAGAGGCTGCTTGCCCTTTTTGATATGGTTTGAGCAGGATAAACAATAATATTTTGTCCCACAGAAAGTATTCATTTTCTTCCATCATTTATTTACAACTGTTGTTTCATCATTCTTCGCTTCAGCTGAAGTGTATCACGACAACTTCCAATACCGAAGAACTACACTTGAACTACGATTCAGGACTCCGTACGAGTTCAGAGGTAATTCATGTCATTTATGAGTAATTGAGGCTTTGAACTAACCATTTTATAGTCTATTTTGCTAACTTGCTGCCGAATCCATCGTGGTCTTTCACCCACAAACACACAGGCTACGCCCTACACTCAGGTAAGTATTGAACAAGCCTCGGGAAACGCTCCTCACCAGAGCGGAACGGCGATGCCTATGAGTGTTTTGTTTTTTTTTCTGACCAAGAGAAATAGTCAAGACACGCTAGACAAACACGAGAAAGCATTCAAAATGGCTGAGAAAACCGGTTGCTCGATGGAGAAGGCTACCAAGAGAGGTGCCGAAGACGAGATTGAGCTTCCCGCCAAGAGAGTGCACCAGGATCACCCTGCCGGAGCTATCGAAGAGCCCAAGAACCAGGGCAATGTCCTGGCTCACGGTGGTGTCGTGGCGGAGTCTAGCACCTCGATCACCGATTCAGCCAAATCTGGAGTCCAGAAGACCACGGGTGACGCCGTCAAGCACAATGCCAAGACCATCAAGATCCCCGTGGTCTCCGATGACATCGCGTATCTCGAGCACATTCGTCACAAGGTCATTGGAACCATTGGCCTGCTCTCCAAACGAAGCGGCCCAGGCTCTGTTCCGCCCTCCGAGCTTCTTGACCGCCTCGACCAGTTCTTCAACTGGCTCGAGACCCGACCCTGGGGCCCAGAGTATCTCCCCCTCAGCAACAGAAAGACTCTGGAGACCATGCTCCGATTCGTTTGGGAGCCGACTGAGAAGCGGACCCAGGCCTACTTCAGCGGGGAGCAGAAGACTCGAGCCAAGGCCCTCACCACCAATTGGGGCGATAAAGAGGCGTCTCTCTTTGTCGACGATGACGAGAACGACAGTCAGATGCCCGCCGACGCAACCGAGGATGCGGAGATGATCACAAAGACCAAGCCGACCAAGAAGCCGACCAAGGACTCGGGTCTCAAGATTGTGGACTTTCGTCTCCCCCCGCTGGACCACCACATCTTCGGACTCACTAAACCGATGTGCGGCATTGCGTACATACTAGGCAAGACCAAGGTTTACCACTACAACCCACAGATGGCGGGCCTGAAGAAGAGTTCCCATGCCTTCGGACACAACGGAATCGAGCCCGGCGCGTGGTGGCCCATGCAGGCGGCCGCCGTATTCAACGGGGCCCACGGATCCTGGCAGGGTGGAATCTCCGGTCATGCGGGCGAGGGAGCCTACTCCATCGTCATCTCCGGCGCCTACAAGGGCTGCGACGCCGACCAGGGAAATACCCTCCACTACTCCGGCTCGGGCGCGGACGTCCATACCGGCCAGACGCCCCAGAACAAGGACGGCACCAAGCTCCTTCACCTCTCTCTGAAGAAGGGCAACCCTGTCCGCGTTCTTCGATCCGCCTCCGGCAAGGGCGGCGCCTTCCGCCCTTCTCATGGTATACGCTACGACGGGCTCTACAAAGTCACTCAAGTCCGCATTCTCACGAAACAGAAGGGAGGGGCGTACTATCAGTTCGAGTTGGAGCGTCTCCCTGGTCAGAAGGACTTGGTAGAGCTTCTTGGAACCCCCGACAACGCCCAGCAGGCTCAGTGGCTGGCTGTAAGGGAGGGATACTGATTGCCCTTGGGGCCAATTGCTTTTCTATGAGAATGTGAACCACCTGGAAGGATGCCTTGGTGGTACGGGAACGAGAAACTTAAGCTGGTTTCGCGAGGGCTGGATTATCCTTGGGGGACTCGGTCTATTTCTGGCTAACAACGCCCATGTTGGCGACGAGGATACGCCTGGAATTTGGTTGATTGTGCAACCAGCCTGGAATGGACAGAATAGCTCGCCCTTCAACAGTCTTAAATCTTGACATCGTTCTTGCTATATACTCCCAGTGAAACGTACAGTAAGCGGTAGTCGTTGGTGTGTGATGCAACATGATCGTACTGCACTACCTGAAAGAGTATTCGACGAGTCTACGAATGAGTTAACTATCTGTGAAAAAGCCACAAAACTCAACCCAAATACTGACGCAAAAGCGGCCCGTAATCATGTGCAGTAGAAGACGAGAATAAAAATGTCAAAACACGCCTGCCATTTGGTCATGGGCTCTATACTGATAACGATCTTCTAATTGAAGCTGGACCATCACCCCCCTTTCCATTGCTGTCATCACGCACCACCGCCCAGTTCCCCCGTCAAACTAAACCGAGAACACGGATCTCATGCGCCTCCAGCACTCGCTCTTCACGGCGCGGTGCTCGTCCGTCGTCCGCAGCACCGCGTCCCGGTTCTCCACGGCCCGCCGCAGCAGGTACGCCAGGCACTCGCCCATCGTGCCCCACGTCGAGCACTTGAACACGCTTGGGCCCTCGAGGCCCTCGCCCTCGGCCTGCAGGAGGGAGAAGCTGACCTGGTCCGACATGCCGTGGAGCTGCCCGAAAGAGACCGGCACCGTCGGCAGGTCGCTCCGCACGCGTTCCTGATGCAGCCGCAGCGCGGCGAAGAGGCTTTCCTTGTTGTGGCTCGCCAGGAGCAGGTCCAACGACGGAAAGGGCTTGGAAGCGGGTCCTTCGCCGCCGAACTCGCCGATATGTCTCTTCAGTGCACCTTGTGCGATGCTGTTGTACGCGTTGTCGGTATCCTCCTTGGTGTCGTGTATCAAGGCCCGGTTGTCTGAGAGTATGTAGGCTCCCCTGACGAGCTTGAGTCCCAGGGTAAACCCGTCCTTGTCGGCCTCAGACAAGTGGTTGGTGATGTTGTCAGATGTATGCTTCAGATAGGCTTGGTAGGTGTTATATATAGCAGCGGTCCCATCTCGGTTGAAACGACGCATGAGGTCTAGTGTCACGCGGTCGATGCTCCTCTGAAAGTGCGTCGACTCGGCGTCGACGATGATCTTAATGCCTCGTTGCTTGCAACTCGCGGCGATCTCATCCAGGGCGTCTTGCATCTGCTGTGGCGGCAGTTCGTTAGCCGCAAACGCGGTGGTCACTGCACGGCCGGCCCCAGTCAACCTGCTCGACATGTCAGCTTCCGAACGGCGGGCTTTTCTTTTCACGGAACGGGATGAAGAGTGCCCGTACTTGATGGCAAGGTAATCACCCTCCTCGATTTGCGCAGCAGTCTCCAGCGTGCCCTTCTTCCAGTCCTCGATGTTAGCGTCGAACCCGCCGACCGAGGCTCCGGAGACCTTGCCGTGCTCGACCGCCGACTGCGTCAGGTGATCAAACACTGTCTCCTTCGCGTACGTCAGGATCACGCCGCGGAACCCGAGCGCCTTGAGTCGCTGCACGCACGCCCGCGTCTCCGCCGCCGTCTCCCCCGTGCAGAACTGGTCGTAGAACGTCTTGCGCAGGACCGCGTGCAGCACCGGGTTGCGGTCGACGTCGAAGAGCAGGGTTCGTCCCGGCTTGGCGAGAAAGGACAATGTCTTGAGAGCGGGGATGAGGAGGAGGCGGTGGGAGGAAATTGTGGTGATAAGGAGCGACCTGAGCAGCGTACCCGTCGACAGACCCGAAAGGGGGTGCCCTTGAACGGGTTTCCGTGCCCGAATCTGGCTGCTGTGAGTCAAAGGAGGAATGTCGCTAGCTCCTGATATCGTCGCTTGTGGCGAGTTGGCGGCTCCGAGACCAAGCCTTGGTTTCGTCGGCTTCCCATAGGTACGCTTCTCCGATCCGAGGACCGCCGCGGTACCCCACGGGCGCTTGCCGGCGAAAAGTCCCACCAGGGCCTTCATTTTCCGCGGGGTGGTTCTTGTGTGTCCGTAGGGAGATGAAAAATAATCACACGTTGGGTGCACAGCTAAGTGGCAGTAACTTTGGTAGCAGTCTCAAGGTGAGCTCATGCATGGGGTAACGAGGGGACATGGCCGATGGCTGCTCTAAATATCTAGTCGCCAACCATATCGCCTCTCGCCGCTTCGGAGCTATACCCTCCTGGATCTCCAACCACTTGGGCAAGGTACGTCCGATGGACGGAAGTATAGACGCATGGTGATCCTGGTATATGGCCAGTCACGCTCTTTTCTTGGAGGTCCAAGGCGGCAGAGATGATTCGCGGGCGCTTGTCAAACCCTATGCTTCTCTTTATCTCGAGACGGCTGTGCGGCATGACCGCCAATTGGTCGCTGCAGGTTGACATGAATGAACGGCGCACTGGGCGTAGATAAGGTACCTGGGACATTTGTGAGATTCGTGAGGGGAAATGCACGTGGCTCAGTCTGCTACTACTTCCCCATTCGGGAAGTCAACCAAAGCACCGGACAGGATCCCGTATCAGACCCACTTGCCGGGAGCGCCTCCGATACGACCCCGCTATTGCCCATGATGCCAGTTGATAACGGTCTTGTCTTGCTATGAAGCACAGCAAAACCGCATGATACTCTCCTTGGACCGACCAAAACCCCGCGGTACGTAGGCTTCATACTTTAATGCTCAGTAAATAGTAGCTCATAACGTCTGATTGCATGATGGTTACTCTTGAACTGTTGATGTCTTGGATTATATATGTATGCCCGCCTGCTTCTGAAGCTAATGCGAAATGATCCGCCCGGCTCAGTGTCATAGTACACATAACCCACATGATCAGTGAAGAGCTGACCTGAAGATATCGCCCCAGGCCGCTGCTTTTAGGTGCTATAATCGTTTTTTCTTTTCGTCGTTGGAGTGCTGGCGGTATAGTAGGTGCACCGGCGTGTCGTCCAACAATGCATTAGAACAATCCCATCGCTCCTCAGATACCATTAACCACCTGGAAAGTGGCGAGAAAGCTCAATGCTTCACGCCTATCAACTCCATAATGTTGGTGATAGATATTCCTCCAAGGCAAATGTGGCCTTGATGAGCAGATTGAGTCTCAAGCATATGGCCACACCATATGACCTGAACAGCCTAATTCGGGTTACTCTACCGGTTCTACTTCTTGCGTTTCAAGAGACAATGACGTCCCCATTTCCTTTGATACTTCTCGGGAATGAAGGGCAAGTCAGGCACCCACAAAGCTCGGGCCAGGGGGTGAGTCTTTTGCGCATCCAAGAAGGGAACACACTTGACAATTTCCCAATGCTCTTCGTCTGCGACATAGTCTGGCTCGTTGGGAGGGAGAGGTTCGGTTCGTTGCGGGTACTGGGTATCGACCAAGAACCCACAGGATCGCTGATCGACGTACTTGCCCATATCCTCCTCGTTCCTGTCATTCAGTCCGTTGGTGGGAAGCCAAGTGCCGCTCCAGAAACCAAAGCCGGTGCGGGCTTCGGAGAATTCTCCAGGCAACAGACCGCGGAACTCTGAACGGACAAACTTGGCGTGCATGTCCCGAGGGAGGAAGTAGGACGACGGAAAGCGGTACCACTCCTTTCCGAAGCACACATTATCGCCGCGGACGCCGACTCCCTGCTGACCGCTAACACCAGCCCCAAGCGGTTTATAAAGGGTCAGCGGAGCAGAGTAAGCAGACCAGATTCCATAGACCCGAGATAGGCTGATATCGAAGGACAGAAGGAGGACGAGAGTAACCAGAGACAGCTTGAGTTTGGCAGGGATCTTGCCGACGAGAGTCTTGGGATCAGAGTTGCCAAACGCCGTGAGAAGGATGTGCAGAGACATGGCCGCGTTCAGTGCCAGGAAGGGGTAGGCGGGGTACATGAAGCGCTCCTCCTTATGCGGCTGCAGAGTAAAGATGCCAAGCCAGAGATAGAAGGGCGAGATGAAGACCACTGCGCGAAGACCGGTCTGGAAACCCTGACCAGAGGGAGAGACGATCTTTTGCAGAAGGAACAGTGGTAGGCACAAGAGGGCCAGCACAAACCAGATGTTGAAGTTCAGGGCCAGGTTGCGGAAGTAGAAGGACCAGGGTTCAGTGCCGTAGAGTTCCGGGCCACCAGTCTCGGAAAAGATGTTGTACTTGACGATGTTCCAGGCCGCGACCTCAACCTTCTTGTAAAAAAACGTGTTTATGCAGCCATCGAAGAACTGGCTCACGTCAGATGAGGAGCTTGGAAAAGAGCATTTAGGAAGGTACTCACGAGGATGATCAGACCAGCAGTCACGCCCCTGGAGACACGAAGGATGGCTTCGATGAAGCGATCCCTGTCACTCAAGACAGCAAAAAGAGCCTCTTCGATGAGGAAGGGGGCGGACAGCGCCACTGCAAAGGGCCATCCCACAACGCCTCCCAAAGCAAACCAAAAGATGCCTTGGGCGGTCTTGAGGCCCCCACGCCAGTTCATGAAAGACGAAGCACCGAGCATGGCCATGTACATTGCGAAGCTAGAGGGAAGGTATGCGGTGCTGGCATGGAAGTTTCCGGGGCTAAAGATGGTGGCCATGACGAAGAAAAGGCCGATGCGGGCATTGAGGGTAATGCTGATGGCACGGAAAAGAAGGGTCTGGCACAGGGCGCAGCCAAAGGCAAGCACATAGCGGATGAAGTAGAACTCGCCGACCTGGCGATGGTCAGTAATGGCCCAAAGCTACAGAGTGCTTGAATGGCGCAGAGGACTTGCCTTGGTGGACTGCGGCATCAGCCGACGGATATTTCCAGCAATGGCATGTAGAACAACGTAGAGCCAGCTCCGGATGGCATAGGTGGGGGAGTATTCCCAGGTCTGGAGGCCGTAGCCATGTGATAGGTAGTGAGTCGGCTCGTAATAGTTGAATGTTTCATCGCAGTCTTGGATCGGGGCGAAGAGGGCAGAGACGATATTGGCGGCGAGGAAGCAGTAAAAAACGGTGATGGGTTCGATGGCGAAAGCACTGGGGGGTCTGGCGCGTACGGCTGTTAGTGGAGGGGTTCTGAGCAGAGGGGTCGACACGACAGGTCGAGGGACGGCAAAGCTCACTTCTTTCGCGCATGGCCAGCTTCGGGATGGACAAACTCCCTCTGAGGAGGGGCTGCTTTTGGAGGCATCGTGGCTTTTTCCGTGGTTGGCGATGCGCAAGTAAACACGGACCGGTCGAGACAAAAATGACTGTGGTGGTGAAGCCACGGAGACGGAGCTGAGCTTCAATCCTCAACATTTCCAAAAGCTCGGGAGCTTGTGACGCCACAGCTTCCCCAATTGAGCAGGGGGGTGATGATACAGTTGGAATTGATTTACAGAAACTGTAGTGAAGGCAGTAAATTGGGCGGTAGATGCACAGTGTGTAAGTTCGACTGATAGCGAGGAATTTCCATTGGTTAGAGCTTGATGATTTGACGGAGCTACCTAGTGGCCTGCAGCCTGCCGGCGGGAGCACAGACTAAGGGCGATTGATGACGAGAAGAAACAGACCGTGGCTTGACATCGATGGACAACTCCGGCGCTAGCGACGGTAGTGGTGAACGAGTGAATCTCTATCAGTACAATGTGTGGATTTGTGTAATGTGTGTCTACAGGCAGCTAGAACTGCATCGGAACTGCTAGATATGAACTCACTCGTTTGCCATCGACCGAGTATTCGTACATACTATACGTACATAAGTGGTGGTTTTACGAAATACCGTCTCTGGGAACTGGCCTCCTGGAGGGGGATATTGCGCTGAGATTATTGCACAGAGACTATGGCACGGAGGCTGCCTCCCTACTCCCTCCTGCCTCCCCCACGCATGTGCTTTTTCCCCTCACTAGTGTCATCTGCTGGCGGCAATTAGCTGATGGCTGTGCTCGAGAACGGATCACATCCCGTCGTCTCATCCTGGTGAATGACCTGAAAGCCGGGTTGGGCACAGATATTTTATCCTAAAAGGAGATGAGATGTGGTTCGAGGTTAGGGGGAGGGCGATCAAAACATATCACGATTGATTGCAGTGCGTACTAGTAGGGAGGGAGGAGTATGCGCATCCATCCATCGCATCACACATTGGTAAATGTTGAGCCTCTTCCACAAAAAATGACATGTGAATCGCATTGATCTTCAGGATGTGACGTCTGGATGAGCCCTGCTCCTGTCAGTGATGAAATTCTGGAGACTGGAGAAAATCCCACCTCAGTTCCTCGTCTGTGACAGAAAATGCAGATCTGCCGCTGCTTGCCTTGCCTACCTGGACCCTGGAGACGGGAAATCTATCCTCTGGTGGCTGGCACCACCTCAATTTGTCGAGACAGAGCATAGAATGCGACGGCGCGTGCAGAAGCAAATACCTAGCTAACAATAGGTACCAAAGTATCCGTATATATAGGTACCTATGTATGATGTGTGCGGGTAAGACAGAACAGAGGAAAAACCAGGAAATAAACCAACCAAAAAGCCAAGCGCGCGCGTGCTCAGAGAAAGAAGGAAACAGTGACGCAGTGACGCACTGACCACCGCTTGCTCCATTTTCCTTCCCTCCTCCGCCCCTCCGCCTAGGTATTCGACACGGGTCCAGCCACTCGACCGCATCACCTCGACTTCTTGCGCATTCTGGCCAGCTTTCCCCCAAACTCAACCCGCCATCTCCGAGAAATCCTCACACGACACAAAATCTTCAGCTCTGCATCCCAGATTCTTCTCACCAATTCTCTTGCCCGTTGCAAACTCCGACCTGCTGCATCTACTATTGCGCCCTCGAGAGCCTCACCACATTTCGTCATGGCTCCTCCTCCGCCCGCCAATGTCCCTCTGACCCAGAGGCTCATGCTGCTCGCCCAGACCCTGCAATGTGCGTCGAGTCCCCAATCCCGCCTGCATGTCTTCCTTCTCTGCAATAGTCGCTAACCGCACCCTTTTATCTACAGTTGCTTGGTTTGCCGGGTATGTACAGACAGCCTGCTGCTGACTTCCATTCCCTTCCACCACCCGCACTCTCCCTTCAACCCAGCGAGTCGAGCTGTACACAAGTGGAGAAGCCCGACGACGGCCTCCCATACGACAACCGGGAAGCCAACCCCTTAACTGGACATCCGCTAATCTCTTTACGCTCCAGACATTTGTCCCTGATCTTTGCCGTCATCCGTTATGGCTTTTCCTATATCTCCTTCAACTACTACAGCCGGGTTGCCCGCTTTAGTTACCGCCTCACCTTTTTCTCTGCTGCTCTGACCTACGGCATCGTCGTCTACAAGACGCTGAGGGCTCGCAGCAAGGCCGGAGCCAGAGCTCCTACGAGCCCTCTTGCTCTGATTGCCGATGAGAACGTCCAGTACCTCGGTAGGTCGCTCGGGGCCCGTATTTAGGGACAAGGCCGCATCTAACCTCGTCAATCCAGGAATGGCCCTCGTCTGGCTTCTGTCGCCCCAGTACCCGTTGGCGATGCTCCCTTACGCCATCTACTCGGTCTTCCACGTCGCGACCTACACGCGCGCCAACGTGATTCCCACACTCACTCCTCCCAAGCCCGTCACCCCTGCTGCCGGTGCTTCCCCTAGCGCCAAGCCCCAGTACGCGCAAAACCCTATCGCCGATAAGATTGGCGCTTTCGTCAAGGAGTACTACGATGCTTCCATGGCTGTCGTGTCTTCGCTCGAGATCGCGCTCTGGGTTCGCCTCTTTCTCTCCGCCATTACCTTCCAGCGTCGCTCCTGGATCCTGATTGCCATTTACACCGCTTTTCTCCGTGCCCGCTACGCGCAGAGCACTCACGTCCAGAACTCGCTTGCTCTTCTCGAGTCTCGCATCGACTCCGCTGTCGGCAACCAGGGAACCCCTCCCGCTGCTCGCCAGGCTTGGGAGACCATCAAGGGAGGCGCGCGCCAGTTCTACGCCTACACCGATGTCAATCGGTATATCGCCGGTGCTGCTGCCCCCAAGAAGACGTCTTGAAAACTTCCTCGGGTAGATGAAGTGTTCCAAAGCTACTCGGATCTCTGGATTCGTAACGACAAGATCTTGGTTGGGCGATGGCGCACGCAACACGGCTCCGCCGATGCGACGGGTCAAGCTATAACCCCAACGACGGCATGCTGTTTTTGGCAGGCGATGGCTTCATGGAGCGGTTTATGACGAGAACACACGGTCGTAACGGAAAAGAAAGGAGGGGGAGGCTAATGGCCGGCCAATGTTTACACGGCTTTTTTCGCAATTCATTCAGGTTATTGGAGTGTAGGCGAGTCCGGGACTTGGGCTTTTCCAGGTTGCTCTCTGCATCACACGATGATTTCAGGTTTCCCGTTTTACTATGGCTCCGGCTTTTGTCTGTTAGTTTTGTTTGAGCAGTAAATCGAAATTCGCATCACTACAAAATCATACATCGGTGGAGGTCGCCTGCATCATTCAGTGACATTGGCGCGCTTTCGCTCCTCATCAAGAGGAACGGAGCAGCGTGAGGGCTGAGCACATGCTGCCAAGCTGCCCGGGGCAAAGACGGCCTCTAGCCACAGCCGAAAGTGGCGTAGCTCAACTGCATTGCCCCCGGTTCACCCCACCATGAATGACGTCGACCTCTCGCTCTATGTCGGTCGAACATCAAGGCTGGCTGCCGCACGCGACCAAGTGGTAGCTACGACACAATCAATCGTCATGAGGAACGAGCACCTTGACCAGATTTCTCCCACCCCCATTTGCCTATAACAAGGCACTGCAACAATACATTGCTGCTACCTTGGCGCGCGTCCCTGTTCCGACGTTTGCTCCGCTTCCACGTCGCACTTCCCCATCATTTGCAGCATGGCTTCTCTGTTGCGACAAATCGTCGCCGGGCCACGAGCACGACACGCCGAGTCGGATCTAGACCTTTGCTATGTCACTTCCGAAATCATCGCAACGTATGGTTTCCCTCAGAGACGACAGATACCCGTGCTCTGCAACTAATTATCATCCAGCTCCGGTCCGTCCGGCACATACCCCCAACGAGCCTACAGGAACCCCCTCGACCGGTTGGTGACCTTCCTCGACTCAAAGCACCAGGACAACTGGGCTATATGGGAGTTTCGCGCCGAAGGCACGGGCTACCCAGATGAGGAGGTATACGGTCGCGTGCGCCACTACCCATGGCCCGATCACCACCCACCGCCGTTCCGCCTGATACCCCTGATCATGGCCAGTATGCGGAACTGGTTGCATGGAGGCGATCTTAAGAAGGGCGACTTGTCTGTCGGTGCCGCAGATGAGGCGGCCGAGGCCAACAACGAGAGAGTCGTGGTCGTCCATTGCAAGGCTGGCAAGGGCAGAAGCGGCACTGTGTCCTGTAGCTATCTCATCTCCGAGTGCGGGTGGAAGCCCGAGGAGGCTCTCACAAGGTTCACGGAGAGGAGGATGCGTCCCAAGTTTGGCGCAGGCATTTCCATCCCCAGCCAGCTACGGACTATCACCTATGTTGACCGGTGGACGAAGGGCGGGAAGAAGTATATTGACAGAGCCATCGAGATTGTTGAGATTCACGTGTGGGGACTCCGTAGTGGCGTCAAGTTCGATGTCGAGGGCTTCATCGAAGAGGGGAAGAAGATCAAGGTCTTCCACACGTTCAAGAAAAGCGAGAGAATCGTTATACAAGGCAACACGCCGAGTGGAGGTGGCATCGGCCGCATGATGACTGACATTGCGACTGTCGGTGTGAAGCCCGCCGAAAAGGCCCCTGAGGCGGCGCCGCTTTCAGAACATACAAACACGAACAACGCCCGCAAGAGTACCTCGGAGAAGAAAGTGGTCGAAGACAAGCCGGCTGGGGACGATGATTCCGCACCTTTGCAGCACGAGCCGAACAAGCTGCGCGCTGCAAAGACGGCTTCGCTTATCCGGGATCCCGGTGTGGAACATAGCGCAAACCCGAAGAGAAGCGAAACTGAAGCTCCGGTGGCAGCTCAATCAAACGCCCAACCCGCTGGCCAGTCGAGTGAAGGCGAAGATGGTGAACCTGGCGGCATGGCTGTTATCCTCAAGCCGAAGGAGGCGATCAGAATTCCCAACAGCGACGTCAACATCTCCGTCGAGCGTCGCAACCGCACTTCCTCGTCCATGGGACTGACAATGGTGACTGCCGTCGCCCACGTCTGGTTCAACGTCTTCTTTGAGGGCAACGGGCCGGAACAAGACGGCAAAGCCGACGCCAGTGGTGTATTCAACATCGACTGGGACGCCATGGACGGCATCAAGGGCTCCAGCCGCAAGGGGTCCCGCGCATTCGACAGGATCGCTGTGGTCTGGCGCGTCGCCGACTCCCAACGAGCCGAGGACGGCGGCGACGAGGTCGTGCCGACGGACGCCGAGGTTATCAAGGAACCCTCGACCAACTCGCCCGTACCGGAGATGAAGCCTGCCGACTGGAAGGGTGGCAACAAGGAGGACCCTGTCGCTGAGAAGCATCTAGGCCTGAGGACCGAGAGCCCCGACAGCGCGAACGTGAGCCGAGCGAGCACCGTCAAGGACACCGACGTGAAGGACGGAAACGACACGGATTCCATGGAAGGTGTGAAGACTAGTGGGCCATTTGGCGAGGAGAAGTTGGATGCTGATAATGTCAACGTGAAGAAGAAGGTCGAGAAGGAAGCAGGAGAGAGCAGCCTGAACAGACAGGAGCCCGGACCGGAGCATGCGGGTTCCCCTGACATGGCCAGTGGGACGACGGTGCAGGGGACCACAGAGGTGAGGAAGTGAAGGGTCGATGCGTGGCGAGGGGGCCGTTGAGCTCACTTGGGCTTTTTTGTGCAGATAATATACTTGGTTCCTGTTGATAACACAAGGAAGCAACAGTCGCCGTAGGCATTAGTTTCTAATTACACGTTTAATCGCAAACTGATCCGACACTCCTTGATGCCACGAACCGAATTTTCTTTTTCCATCTCCACGGAGCCAGGCCAAGCAGGGTGTCCCTGTCCCTGAGTAGACGTCCCAGTTTTACCAGGGCTATGTCAGGGTCTATTATCCGTGAGTATGCGTATCTACCTACACATATCTCTTGTCGCCTGACGACCCTTGGTTTGTGACAAGAGGTGTGTGGGGAATATGCTCGACGCAGTAACCACGCCCCTTCGATAATTAGATCAGTATATCCTCGAGTTTAGACTCGAAACATGCGCTTGAATAGTCACTGTTTTTCAATTGTCGCCCCCTTCCACCCTTACCATGGCTAGTGTTACAAGAAATATACTATAAAAGGTGACCACAGCGGTATTACAGGAAGGTAAAGAAAGTCCGCAGTATAAACCTTGACCCCAAGAGGCCTGGCACAAAGGCTAAGAGCCTAACCGAAAGGCCCTAACTCCGTTATGAAGTTCACTACTAAATCTCTTCATCCCCTTCTCCCCTTCTCCCCTTCTCCTTTTCTTTTGGTCTTTCGGATTTGTGGCGTAGGCTTAGACAGCTGAGCCACCTCAATTTCTGTCAGGTATTGTCCCTCCCGATCCGACCCCTGCCCTTAATTCTCAATACATTGGTTCCAATTCCAATTCCATCACTCGCTGTTCCCGTGCTGTTCACCCTGGGTCTACTCGAGTAGCATGTTTGATAACCCTTGGGTGGTGAGGTATTACTCTTCTCCTGATGGATTGGATCAATTCATTCATCTCTTTGGCATCATCAAGTCCTATTGAAGCTTCCCCTGGCGTTGATATGTGGGCCTTCTGGACCTCCCGGGCCCCCTCCTCGTGGGCAACGAGGACCTCTTGGGCGACGGGGACCTCTGTGACCATTCGGGACTCTTGGACTATCTTGATCTCCGGGATCATTTTACTGTGAGCCACCTAGGTCTGGAGAATCCGACCAATTGCTGCCAGAGAATGAATATATTGAGCTTGATGTGGATGATAACAAGCAGGGCGATGGCGTGCGTGAGAATAGTCATGATGGTGAGGATGTTAAGAGAGATGGTGAGTCAGAGCTGGACTATAGCCACCCACTCCGGATGCAACTGCATATTTATATATGCAGACACATGTTAGTGAACGGTGACATGGTACACATATTCATTCGAAGCCGTAGCATTGATGAATATAGTCGCTCTGGATCCTTATAAGCGGCCTAGTGGAGTTTACCCGGGACATAAATATCATGATACGTAAACACCCGATACGCAGCTGTTGGCTATGATTGCCCTTCAGCAAGACCAAGCGTCAGGGATTTTATATTGAATGGGCTGTATGGTATTGCATCAGGTGCTAGCTAATAACACTTATCCATTCCCACTTTATTTCGCCCAATTCTCGATTCGTCAAAATGAAAATGTCCCGGGTTACCCATCGGGAATATGGTTCACGTAGACTTGACGACTTCTTCGCGCGAAATTTACTGCTGCTGGCCGGCGCTCAGCGGAGGACATAAACATGACGAAAAGTCATCGATCTGGGGCAAAGACGGTAATGCTGGCGATATACTCGTATCGCCAGTTAAGCGGGCACAGGAGCCTTAACATTTATGATTCAAATAAAATAAGTAGCATGAGTAGGTGCATAACAAAGGGGCATTTGTGTTTTAGTACACAAGTATGACCAGCTGCTTAGCACACAATATGAAGTCCAGGTTAAATTTAGTGCTCACGTTTGAGTTGGTTGCCCAGAGCTAGTATTATTATCAATCGTCGATAGCTCTTGGGATTATAAAGGGACATCACATGTTTTATATTATTTTCGGTTTGTAGCTTTCCATATTGTGTCCCATTTCAATAGGCCCTTCAATTCATATAAAAGACACCATTTGATTACTGGACAGCCATTACTTCAAATCCCTTCAGATATCTTATTAGACCCAGTAGGACTTCCCCCTTCCCCGGGCATCTTGTCTCTCAGTACAAGGCTTGCCCGCCACTTCAAGGTCGAGTCAAAAGAAAATAGTGAGAGAAGTAATGAGAGGTAAAAAGTCAGAAGAAAAACGAAATTTAAGGAGAATGGCGTTAAAGACGAATGTCGAGACACGAGGACCCGACATGGCATTTGGTGGATTTGAACACCATGGCCTCTCCCTTGTCCAAAGCGCCGCCATTACCACGGCGTACTGACACTTGATAGAGCGTTTGCGCACTCTTTAACCATGACCTTGCCCTCGGGGCTATTGATGTATGCCTGAGCCAAGTCTCTGATTTTGTCTTTCATCGTGGGATCGTCCATGGCGATGTACTCCTTCGTCTCTACTTTGGGGCTCGTGATCCGCCACTTTTGGACCCCGTTGACCTTGACCCAGTCGCATAGGCCATCGCCTACACTGAAGCGCCAATACTTCTTTTTACCCACGGCCGGTGCGAGTGCATTGATGAGTGATCGGAAAAGCGTGTTCACGATTTCAGTGTTGGTTGCAATTCCGGCCAATCCGGCGATCATGCCAATCGGCTTGCCCGGGTCAGAGAGATCAGTTTGAGCAGAAGGGAGTTCCTGGACTGGCGGAACCCCGGTGCCAAGACTCAGGAAGCAGGCTGTTGCGCGCTCCGCTCCAAAGGTGGTGATGACCTCATTCCAGAGCCTGAGGGATTAGTAAAGCGTCTATTATCCGGTCACTTTTGACATAGTAGTGACGTAAAGGGAGAACGATAAATATTACTCACCATCCCAAAGGATTGTTGGCCTGCAAGCCTCCATCGACGAATTTGTACCCATCAACTGTCAGAGGCTCAAAGTACGTCGGCGCCGCGGATGTGGCGCGAGCTGCTTGCCAAATCTTGATTTCCGGCAGCTCTGACTTCTCGCGGGGATTTTCATATGAACGAAGTAGTACTGGCGGCTGGACGTTACCCTTTTCCATATTGACCGCAGTGACGAACCTTTGAAAGTCAGATGAGATGACCTTGACAGCTTAGTTGTGACTTACACTTTGCACCCGGAATTAGGGCTCTTTGGGACAAGGAGAATTCCATCAGCACCTTCCTCTCGCTCGGGCAACTTTCTCTCAATCAGGTCTTTGATGACCCTTTCCAACTCGCGGGCCTCCCATTTGCCCCCGGTAAACATAACACGGGCTACCGTTTCCAGTTTACCGGCAGTTTTCGCGAATGGCGAGGAGATCAGGCGGACCCCCGATTTCACGAAACCAGGTAACCCGAGGAAATCGCCAAGCTTGCTCACGTTGCTCACCGCGGAATCAACGATGTGTTTGGGGAATATTTGACCCATGAGCTTCTCGTACTCGGTGATGCAATCTTCCACGCTCATCTCGAGGCGTCCAAGCATGATTGCAATCAAACTTGCCGTGAAAGGCTGTCAGTGATCCCATGCGAAACGGCAAAGAGATGGATTTCACGTAACCTCCTGTACTGGTGCCTCCCATCATATCGAATACTTTACAAGGCTTGACGTCCCGTCCTGGGAACGCCGCCTTCATGATCTCGTCCAGGATGATGAGTGTCTCTAAGCCACGGATCCCACCACCGTCTTGAATAGTCGGCATCAGCATCACTGCATTGTTCCCGTACTCATGCGAATAACATTGATTCGATTAACAGCATGGAAAACGTACCCAAGGCAAGTACCCGGAGCGGGGGTCCACTCCCGTTGCTTTCATTAACAACGCCAGCATGGTACACAGTGTCCGGAACGGAGGGAGGGTTATCATCCTCAACGTTGGGGTAAAGTGTCTTGTTGATTTCGTATATGGCTTGTTGTATACTTGACCTGGGAAATGGTCTGACTAAGATGAACTGGAAGTTGCATGTCTAGCGGATTGTTTTTAGTAACACGGAAACCTGACACAATTTTGATCTTTGCTTTACCTTGGTTGCCCAACTCCACAATGAGGTGGCCTTTCAGTGCGTGTAGGGACCATCCTGCGAAACGAGCACAAAGACGAACGGCAATAACGTTGCCTTCCTAGGTCATAGTTAGTTTACACCGTAGTATCGTTAGACAGAATAGAGAGGCCGTCTGAGGTTACCTTGAGAAGTCCAAACATCTCATGCTCTCTTCCTCTTTCAAATTTTAAGCCGGAATCCTATTTGGGAGGCAAGCTGAGTTAGCCTGAATATACAGAGTTTATCCGTGAACGAATAAATGCAATTAGAACGGAGGCTTTGCGCACGCATGCTGGTTCGATACCAAGCTTCTTCTCGTGGCTTTTCCACGTGAGTTCGATGTCTTTCTCCCTCCGAGGGCTATCCGACTTGTCGTCCTCCATGATTGCTATCTCAAACCATGTCCATAGACCGGCTGAAGGATTGTCGCACCATTCTTGACCACGCGCCTCAGTAGAAAGTTGAATACTCTTCATCCTATCGATGATTGACTGGTCAAGCCTCTATAAATATGGAATATTTTAGTATGTGGATTTCATTTTGTAATCAAGTGGCAAAATGATCTACCTTGGTTCAAAACCAGACCTTGTACTCGATTTTCGATGAAATAGACGTTAGAGACGTCGCGAAATTCGAGGATGTCACATATTCCCCATTTGGTGCGTTTGCACCATTGTCAGGCAGGTGAGGCAAATTCTTCAGATAGCTAAGACTCGACATGTTGTAAGATGATGCAAGAGATGGCTCGGTATGCTTTCTAGGTTTAAGTAAGGACAAGATCCATGGTAAGAAGACGTGAGCATCGGCACTAGTATATATACATACGAGGCCAGCAAGAGCTTCAGAAAGATTTGTGTCCGCTCTTTGGACTACAAAACAGGACAGTCCAAACTGATAGGGGGCTTTGGAACCAACATGGATTCCAAGGCTCAGTCATGGACGACGACAGACTCTGAACCATCTAGACCGGGCTAGAGGCCTCGCAGCTGACAGTCTGGGCGTAGCTGAAGAGCCGCCACTGCGTTCCATTTTCAAGGTTTCTCGCCCCCAATTGCTTCGACTCAGGTTCAATGTTGGTATCAACGGAAAGACAGGATAATCTTATTTCTTCTGCTTGAAATAGAGGCCGAAGCTATCTTAGGGGGATAATTAGAGCTGAACAGAAACACTTTTGAGACTCAGTCGAGGCGGACCACCTGGCCCCCAAAATTGCCACAACCTGCTTCGCATATGGAATGCAAAAGTACCACTAAGTCGCAGTGCAGCTGACTACCCGGCGCTCTAAGTAAACATGCTTTCGTCCTAGTGAGTTTTCATCATTATGGTTTCTTTTCCTCTTCAAAAAAGGCCCGGAGAATGCAGACCCTGGTTTTATCTAGCAACATTTCACGAACTCATGCAGAAAACTCGCAAATGTTTTAGCATAGCCACCTATCCAGGGTATAAGTGGTGTCACTGGTGTGTGGGGCAGCCCAACTTCGCAATTCACAACTGCAATAACAACCAAGATCCATCTCAGGGTTACCTGACCGGCTATGCCACCAGTGGAATTCTCATCAAGATTGTGGCTTCGGGGCGTAAAGTTTGAGCTTGTGAACTGAGCTGGCGTTCTGCGGAGTCCCGCTGATCCTGCGCAAGCAGCTGGTTGGGCTGAACGCGCGTCCCATATCGGCAAAGAAGCATACATGTACGGCACGGTGGAAACAACGTACTACTTGGATTCTCCCAATTTCACGTGACTCGGCTGCAGGGCCTGGCCATGCCCATGTGGCAAATGACGAGGGCAGAACGGAAAGCCCTGATGGAGCAGTCTTTCGATATGGTCTCGGACGCCTGCTTGTTCATCCGCAAGCAGTTTTCCCTTGCGCACCTCCGTTATATCCGCGGAGGGATTATGAATGACTGCATGGCGTGGGCGCTCTGGGCCAAGAAGTATGAAGACACCAGCCGCGCAGCGGATAGAGATTGACTTCGGCTACTGCTACCGGCTCCACAAACCTCATCAAATGCCGTAAAACGCAGTGACATCAGCTTGTTATACACCAAGCAAGCATCCAGGCCCTGAGAACGCGCGTCTAACTCACACAAACCTCCCAACCGAACCTGCTAGATGGGCCGCCCGTTTGTTTCCGCCGTCAAGCCTTGTCCATGGGGTATTTTGAAACATCCGATTGGCTGAGAAAACAAGGGTGCATGGAATCAGTTGCACTAGTGACTGGGGTCTAGAGAAGACTTATAAACCTTCTTTTGCTCCCAGCTGTTTCACCATATCTGCAGTAATTGCACAGCCAACAGTTGTCGTTATGTACAACAGGGCGAAAGTCTCTATTGCTAAGGGGGAGCAAAATGCAATGGTACCTTTGGTTAAGTAGGTCGCAAAGTGATACTCTACTATAAATTAAGTTGCCAATGGACTCAATCAGGGGGTCGATCTGGCTTTTCCCTTGATTGAATGGTATTTATTGGAGCTTGCCACCCATATTGCGTACGATCATGGCCTCAATTCTTGGCAATAGAACGATGGTGATTTGACACTAATATATTGTCCATGGTCTAATGGTCATTTCAAATCAGTATGGTACAACCGCCACACCCCCGTCTGACCGTAGGCCTTGCCGCCGCCTTTCTCGTCACCGTAACAGCCGTCAAGGTCCCTCAACCTATCGGGCCAGCTCACCGGGACATCATAGAATGGGCTGCTTGCCCTGGTGATATCCAGCCATTCAAAGGGAGCAACTTCACCTCGGCTTTGCAATGTAGCAACTTCTCGGTCCCTTTGAGTCACAACGACCCCAGCGGTCCGCAAGTTCAGCTGGGCATCGTCAAGTTGCCTGCACAAGGCGAGCGCATCGGCAACTTGTTTGTGAACCCTGGAGGGCCGGGAGGAGCAGCATCGAGCATGGTGCTGCGGATGGCCAGCCAGAAAATCTACATCAGCGACGCAGTACGTCAAAAGTTCGACATCATCGGGATGGACCCCCGGGGCGTTGGCCTGAGCACGCCGCAGAAATGCGACATGAACTTGGTCGACCCGCCCAGGGAGTTTGATGCCACCACACCGGAAGGGTTCCAACAGCTGTTCGACTACAACAAGGCTGTCGGAGAGTCCTGCCGCACCATGACTGGCCCCGTGTTCGATAACATGGACACAATCTCGGTAGCCAAAGACATGGAATCCGTGCGCGTTGGTGAGTACGGTCTCTCTCCCGATAACTGGGGCTGCTTCTTGGTACCTTTTCCCCCAACGGACTAATGTCATTATAGCGATGGGAAACGAGCCAATGAACTACTTTGGAATATCGTATGGGACCCAGCTAGGTGCCCAGTATGCCGCCCTCTTTCCGACCGCAATACGAGCCATGGCACTTGACGGGATGTTGCAGCATACAGGCGCATATGCATCAAACATCATGACGCAGGCAACGTCGTTGGACGCGACCATCCAGGACTTCTTCCGATTCTGCGAGTCCAGCGCCACCAACTGCGGAGACGGAGGCCAGGATATCAGGAAGACGTGGAGCAAGGCTCTCGAAGTCGCCGCCGCGGGAAACCTCAAGGCCGTCGAATGTGACGGGACGGCCAAGACCGGGTGCCTTTCCACAGCCACGCCCAACAACGTCATCGGTGCCGCTCGTTCCACGCTGCAGTTCGCTGAAAAGCGCAAGAACTTTGCTCTGGAACTTAAAAATGCGGCGTCCGGCAACGGGTCCTACTTCGTCCCGGGCCTCCTTTCCGGAGACGTTTACACAGACTCGCGCTCCTTGTCCATCACGACCGTGCAGTGCCAGGACGGGCACTTCTTCGCGGCGAAAGACCACATCGAAGTCCAGCAGGTCGCAGAGATGACGAGAACATTCACGACCACGCCGGGGATGGGCGAGTTCTGGCGCAGAGTCGTCGACTGCACCGGGTATCCCGTCAACATCACGAACCCGCGGACGGCTCTGAGCGTCAAAGGCACGCAGAACCCGGTACTGATGGTCCATTCCAGATTCGACCCCGCAACGAGCTTGGTATACGCGGTGGGCATGGTGGAGGAGTTTCAGAACGCGACCTTGCTTCTAAGAGAAGGATCTGGCCATACGAGTTATCTCTTGCGTGGTGATGCATCGCGAGCGGTAGACGACTACTTGGTCGACTTGAGAGTCCCACCACGAGGGACTGTAGTACAGAGCTAGCCTTTGAGCATGAAAGTGTGGTTGGCTTTCCATTTAAAACTCCAAGAGAAGCGGATTGTTGTTGGTCCAGTCGGTCTGGAGCTCATTCACTGCTGAATTGACCAGCCAAGACTGAGAGTCGTCGCCGACAGAAGCTCCAATATGAGGCTATAGACCCCATGGGAATCGCAGATAGTGAGTGACGAATGTATTCAATGACTCTGAACTGCAATGACCAGAATATTGAGGATTTCCTGTATAAGTCAAGGTCTTGGCAGAACCAATCAACCTATGGACCCTGGTAATCAAACGTTAGTAGCGACTAGAATCGCTCTAGACCCCCATAAGCGAGCTAGTGCAGTCAATCTGGGCAACAGTATGACCTATCATATGGGCATGGTTTACTAAATCTGCTTTCATTGTGGCGCTATTTTCGTAATCGATGGTAACTTAATCAAGGAGCCTGAGCCCTTTCCCTGCTCAGTTATGTTATGTACTTATCAGTACGGCGACGGTTACAGAACGCACACATTCATGAACGCATGGGTTTGTTAAAGCCTCTTTTACGTCGTGAGAAATTCGTACATTACTTTGAAAAGAGGCCTGGAGGACACCAGCTTAAGAGTATTTTGATATGCCCGTAGTACTCAGTCACTCAACATTCCTGGAGTACCTTCAGAGTCTTTGATCGAAATAAAACCAACTTTCTCCAACCAGCGCCTGGCTGGCGGGGTTTGGGATGTCTCTATGCCAGGGTTACTTCCAGTTGGTACCTCGAACATGTCAAGAGGGCCACCAATTATTCGCTAGATACGCACTTCAATACATACCGATGACACCCTAATACCTTTGTCACTAACTTGCACCGGAGGCTTTAGTTAACTGTTGCTTTACCGCCTCCTCCATCCCAAACGTGCCCCTGAAGGCATCACACCCTCCTAATCTCTTTTTAATCTCCTTCTTCCACCTGAGCTACTGTAAACGCTCAACCATCACCTCTTAAATTTGCGTCCTGCCATGTTCGAAAGCCCTCCAAGACCAAACTTGGCTCTTTACACACAAGACAGCCATAACAATGAAATTCTATCTTTGAACCAAAAGGGCGAGCTTTTTGCAATCAGCTTAACATCTTATGTAGAGCGCTTACCTTATAGTACTATTATCAAGACATCCTAGCCTAGCAGCAACCGCGCCTAGTAGCGACGCTACAGAATTGCTATAGAAGCCAAAATATATAATTATTTTAGTAAACATCTTAATTTAGTTAAAAATAAGGCCTAGAACTTAGACAAATACACCCTAACTTTAGAAGATATGCCTAATAGAACACTTAAAGACTATCTTAAGTCCTATGTAGACGTGCCTATAGAACAATAAAAATAATAAGTAACTAAGGCTATTAAGTGTATTTAGCTTCTCTATAGTTTAGTTATTATTTATTATAATATTAGGCTGTATAATTTCCTCCTAGATAATTATCTTTGTCTTAAAACTATTGACTTTCCTAGATCCTCTGTTAACAGCGCTTACACTAAGATCAGCCCTAGTACTTAGTATGCAGCCCCTACACTAGACTGCTCTTTACAGTAGAGACTAATACTTAAAACTAGCCTCTTTAGTTTAGTGTTGTACGTAGTACGTACATATGGCGTTAATTACTGCTTGCAATTAACAACGTCGTTTATACAACATTTAGGTTTAATAATATACTATATTATAATAGGTAAAGCTCTGTTTAAGGAATTCTAGAGTAAAGATATACAAGAGATGTACTATAACTAAGAATTCCCTAACTTAACTATTATACCCTATGCAGATATAATCTAAAGCTGCTAGTCTTAGGGTCGTAAGTCTATGGACAAGCTGGTTCTTTTCCTGTATTTTTAAACATCAGATTAGGACCATGCAACTTGCCAGTCTAGGAAGAATAGGCATTATCGTTATAGGATGCTAGAAACCTTATTAAGGTGACAAGCAGTCTAGATCTGTTAGTGGCTCTTGTGTTAATACTGCTCGTTTAGGCTTGTTTGCTGTCCTTTGCTCTCTGTAGCAGGGAGTAATAGTGGCATCTATTAACACTTATTTTCTATGTCTTGCTCTATATGAATTAGTAGTTAGAAGTTTAGAACCTACTTTACGACTGCACTTTAGCCCTTTTGAATACAAAGTCGATTCCACAAGTAGAGCTGCATCTATAGACCTTTATACTCACAAGCACACATATTTCGTTCTGTTTAGGCCTGTGGTTTCGAAAAAAAAAAACCCTAATCGTTTCTGCTGTATGTAATCTGTTGGGTGTGGTTGCTATAAAGATCATCTTAGCGATGCTATGAACGGGTTGAAGCTGATAGGAGTGGAGTGCCCAGCCGGCGCAAAGGTTGCAGAAGTGGAGATGCGTTGATTTATCTCGACTGGTTGCTTTTGCAGTGAATAGGCAGAGGTGCTGAGTACCCAGTCACTCAGCATCCCTGGAGTACATTTCAGAGTCTGTGGTCCTTGAGCTGATGACTTAATTCACATTGAGGCAGATACTATTGACATTCTTTTCGGTTTTGTTTGCATTCGACAACAACTTACTGACAACATCTAATACTGCATCTGTGGCTTTGCAAAATACAAGGAAGCAAGAAATATTGTAAAAGAAGGAGAGAAACTGGTGAAAACTGCCCAGCTGCAGCAGCAAAAAACCGTCCCTCGGCAAGTATCTTCACAAAAAGCCGATCAAACCGTAGTGACCACGCCGCTATGGCATGATGTGTCATGCAACCTTGACAGACGATTGAACAACAAAACACTACCTAGGCCGCGCTGATTGGGGGAGCTTGCAGTACCCATTCACCAATGATCTTGATAGTTTTTTGCGTCTTGATTTTGGCGTCTTCAATGAATGCGGGTTCGCGAACAAGTGCCTCCATGTTCTGGTCGAAGCCGTGGATGGTGTCGGGTACCAATAGCCACCGGTATACACTCCCGTCGGCGTTTGAAACCTCGAAGTGGAACCTCTCATCGTCCAAGATGAGCTCCCCCTTTCCCGCAGTCTCCTGCTTTCCGACGGTCGTCGGCGGGGGGGGACGGCCCGCAAGCTTGTGGATGAGCCTTTGGCCCTCGTGGGCGAGCAGGTCGAGTTCACAGGCGATGAGAAATAGGCGCTTCGGCAGCGCGTCCCTGGAAGCGAAGAAAGGGCTCATGAGGGGATCGCGGCTGCTTCCCCCCGGGACTTTGTAGGCCCAGTCAAAGGTCGGGGCGATGTCGAGCAGAAAATCGCGGTCTTTTGCGCGGTAGCCGCCCAGTTCGGGCTTGTATTGGCGGGACGAAGCCTTTTCCACTGCCTCGATGGAAAGGTCGACCGTGGGGTAAATTGGAACGATGCAAGTTAGGTGTTTTCGGACGCTCTCGAGCTGTGAGGCTGCGAGGGCCAAATTGCCACCCGCAGACCAGCCGAGGAGAGCGACCCTGGTCCGGTCCAATGGAAGCGACTCGTCGTTCAGAGCGGCGAGAAAGAGGGCCTCGCAGTCGTAGACTGGCTTGGGGAATGGATTGGCGGGAGCTTTGGCGTAGTTGAGGCCGATAACGACAGAGTGGTGCTGCGAGGCGTATGTCTGATTCCAGTTGTCGTTGTCGTTGGGGGTTCCGACAACGAAACCGCCTCCGTGTATTGTGAAGAGAACGGGTAGCTGGTCCTTGGACGTTGTGTCATGGTCCTTGGGGAAGAAGATTCTGAAAGCTGTCAGTCGGAAAGTCCCGGCAGTACGGTACGCGCGAAAAGCATTTGACTCGACTCGACTTGCCTGACTGGAAGATTGGGTCTGCACTCGTACGTCTTAACGAGCGCAGGTCGGTCCTCAGGCGGCATGAGGTATGCTTGGGCATCACGGACGAAGTTGATGGGCGCGGCAAAGAGGTTCTGGACCGCAAAGGCCGTGGCCCCGTGCCTGACTGCTGTCAAGAGCGGCTTCTTTTCGATGCGGTAGGCATCGTCTGTGGTGTTTTGATCCTCAGCCATGGTTGAGCGCGGTGCTACTGCGTGAGGTTGAGATGGGGTGAGTTGGGTTGTTGCTTGGACGCAGGATGCAGGATGCAGGATGCAACAGCTATGAGATGTTCGTTATATGAGCCGACGTTACAATTCAACGTAACGGGGCGGGGTTGGTTCGGTACATAATACCTACCCACTTACGGATACCTACAAGTACGGATACTGTACATACATATATACCCTGGGCGGCGGGTGTTGTCACGTCGACCTCGCAATTGGTAGGCCAATCAATTACAACCGACCCTGAAGCCGAGTACGAACTCAATCTGAAACTTCCGCGGGCTCATCGAGGACGTCATGCTCGCAAAACCTAGAATAGAGAGCTTCTCGGCAGGATCCGAAGAAGATTCAAAGTGAAGGCTGTGAGACTTATCCGGATCCACTTCATAGCCGGAAGAGCCTCGGCTTTCTTGGAGGCACAGGGAGGCTTGGAACCTCGTCGAAGAGCGGGAGCCGAGAGTGCGCTACCGAAGCATATAATATCAACACATCAGTTCCTTCACACAGATCGATTCCATGGCAAAGTCATTTGAAAGCGCCGTCTGAGTGATCGGCTTTTGTCCGACCGGGATCGATGCCGTGTTCCAAGCCCGACTCAATCCTGGAGGATTCCAGTAAGCTAGTCAATATCTGGTTTCGCCAACTCCAGAACCCTCGGCCCGCATGTTACCTATTCTTCAGGACCCCCAGACCCAGCTACCCGTCAAGCCAACAGCATCATGCAGTCAAGTCACCGCATGGCCCAAAAGATAAGAAGAGGCGCTAAGCTAACACTTTGCCGGCCCCACCGCGGTGGGCCTTTGCGGAGATACGCATGGCGGCGATGGCTTCAATTCCGATTCCCGGTGCGAGTAATCCAGCATCTCGACTGGGTTGAGATCAGGATCCCCGCGGTTCTCCGATTGTCTCCCGGTCATGCTTATCTCTTTGTGGCATTTCGTCAATCTTTGTTTGCATCGCTATCATGCGGCGTGTATAAAGGTTCGAGTCTTCAGCCGAGTCCTCCCGTTCTGCGTTCAGATTCTGCTCGACAGCTTCTATTACACAAAGCCGAGTCCTAGGACCGAAACAATGCTTGGATCAACTTTGTTTTTGACGTTAGGTCTCCTGGGCTTGTCCCGGGCACACTTTGTGATTCCTTACGATGACCAGGACATGTCCGGTCTCACGGTCAACTCGATCCCCGCCGAAAAGAGAGTTGAATACATGCGAAAGGTCAGCACACCTATTACTTCCTGGAGAATGATCATCGTCAAAGTTGCTAACAGGGCCCCAGACAAACGAGGCGCTGTACCGGCAAAGCGGGCCGTACGCCCCCTTCTGGAGTGCAGCACGCCCTTATCTTCCTATACTGACATCCCTTTCTCAGCTGCCCTTTCGCCGCATTCGGTGCCATCATCGTGAACCATACTAGTGACGAAGTCGTCTGTGAAGGAGCCAACTTCAGAACCGGAGACCCGACAAGTACGCAGTCTCAGGAACGAAAGCATGGACCTAGATTGACACTCGAGCAGTTCACGGAGAGATTTCAGCCATCAATGCCTGCACGGCCAAGGTTACCAAGCAGGGCATGACACCTACGTAAGGCGAATCAAGCAAACTCTTCCAGGAATATTTCCTCGGCCTGACCTGCTGGCAGTGAGATCTTCGCCGCGTGGGGAGACCTTTCCATTTACACGAACGCCGAGTCGTGCCCGATGGTACTGCTCTCGCCCCCCAATAGCACATGAGACCTGACAGCTGACATATCCCCCGCAGTGCGCGAGTGCTATTCGATGGGCAGGTTTCAAAGGTGAGCTGAGGTGGCACGGGATGACCATCGGGGACGAGGACTAACTTTGATCCCGCTAGAATACGTCTACGGAACCACGATCCAGCACAACTACAACGTCGGCTGGGGCGTGATGACCCTCAGCAACGTATGAACACCAATCCTTTGGTTCTAGAATCCCACGGTGCTAACCAAAGCCTCGCAGTACGACGTCTTCCAGCAGTCTCGCCAGCTTCCCGGCTACCAGACCGTCATGACCGGGCAGATCCTGACCAACGAAACAGACCCCCTGTTCTCGAGGCAATACAACGCCAGCGCGCCTTGCCCGAACGAATGCTTCCGAGTCCCCAGTGCAGCGAGGGGCGGGTCCACGTGCTCTAACGTGACCGTGTCCCGAAGGGACTATGAAGGCCTATGAGACTTTCGTGGGCAGACAATTCAGTCATGATAGCTTGCTCAAGCTAAGAAAAATGTTGTACGGACATTGTTTGAAAAACGCAAAAGCCAAACCCAACTTCAACTCCCGATCTTCCATCTATGCATCTGCGTCCGTCATGATATTATCTTATGTAACGATCCCGCTGCCCGTATATCATCTCGCAACCGGAAGCTCCCTCATGGCTGCGACGCCCCCCAATCAGCAAATAGCGCGTAATTATATGCTACGTCTCAAATCCGCCCTCGTAAGCTACCTGTCCAGAAACTTGCCAGCAACGTCACGGAGAGCATAGATGTGGGAATTCCAGTACTCGGGAAGCTCAATCATCATCTCGTACGCCAGCTCCGGGACTTGGCAACACAGGTCCTTGTACCCGGGCATGTGGCGGACCAGGACCAAGTCCGCGACGCATGTCTGTACAAAGAGCTTGCGGATCTTGTCGCCGGGGCATGTGTTTTCAAAAGTGAAGGCGATTGCCTCGAAAAGATATCGGTAACCGGTTTCACTCAGGCCCGTGCGTATCAGAGTGTTGTGCAGTCTGTGAAGGCAGAGTTGCCTCAGCTCGCCGACGTCGTATTTATCGGCGAAGACATAAAGTTTGACGTGATGAGCGGTTATGAGCCCGAATTGCGAGTCGGCGGCCGACGGGTCTAAACTTTTCTCCAGGTCGGGGCTTTCGCTGGTGGGAAGCCCTGACGGTTTGGCGTACAGCCTGCCTGCGTCGCCTTGGTATAAAAACGACTCCATGTACTTGAGGTAAGGCATCGTGGGACCGACCAATGGTCGCATCTGCGACACGTGCTTCGTGAGGGAATCGTAGTGGCCTTTAGCTCTTACTGGAGCCTCTTCGTCCGCAGTTTCAACCGTGATCTTCATCTCTCTTATCTTCTGGGAGGCTTCGTAATTTCCATATAGAATATAATGAATGAAGCTCGTAAAGATGTGCGGCTCTTGGTCTTCCAGCTCGACGACCCCTTCTTGCGATTCGCGCATACCGTTTGTTAACATCCTTTTAAAGACCCCCGAGCAGGAGATGACAAGCTGCTCGTTGATGTGGAATGTCTGTTTTTCGGGACCAATGAGGAAAGTGATTACTCTGGAGGCCAGAACGCTGTGGCGAAGTCAGTGAACAGTTTGTAAACGAGCTATTGGTTGGGGCGAAAGCAGGGACGACAAATGAAGTGAAAGACGGCATGGTGGTACACATAAGAGTACTGGTCGCCTGCGTAGTTGGAATGGGGATAATAGATGACGCTGAGACTTGGCCGACTTGAGCCGAAAATGCCCTCGTTTGCAGAAATAAACGTACTTGGACTTTTTAGGGCTGCCTTACCTTTCAAGATTATCGATGCATCTGGCCGCCATCGCCATTCTGGAGGTTTGGCCGTCTAGGGTAGATGTAGATGCGAAGTAGGCGCAAATCTTTCTTATCGTTATGGAAGTCCAGAAAGGAGAACGAAGGGAAGAATTTCTGCAGGAAACAGTCGCACCGGTGACGGTAGTCTATACAGGGAAGTCAGTTGGTGACCGGCGCAGGTAAGTCTAGACGTCTTTCTATGCCTTGATGAATTCAAGAAACGTGAGTGGTGGTGGAGGAATAAGATGAAGAAGATAGTAACTTCCTAAAAGCAATCATTCCATGTTCGTTTCTCCGATGGGTTAAGCTGCTACCGAGGCAGTATAATGAAGCTGTCCCGACCTTGATGGTAGATTCAACAGTACCATAATCGCCGGTACGTCAGTCATGTATAGTTTTGAGCCCTTCTTGTGGTTAAATTGGGAATTCGATCGTGCTTCTTGGTCCCCTTATCCAATACATTCGTCATGCTGTGATAAAAAGCTAGAAGTTGGCATGTTTTTAGAAGGGATCATATGAGTTCTAGCGAGACCGCTTTTAAAAATGCGTTCTAATGCCTCGATATGCATGTATCAGCTGTTCAGTATGAATGGATGCAACTCGTACTTCTCAATGAAAGAATAAAATTTGTTCAAGATACCTCGGTCTCATATTTATTTGCTATTACCTAGATGATAATGTGGTGCTGCTTCAGCGACAATTGCCCGCTGGTCCTGAATGACAGAAACACCCGTGTCGCTAATGAGAAACGTGATAGTAACTGAGAGAATAGACTCTTCAGTCGACATAGATGACTACCTAAAGCGTAATCATTTCCGAAGTAGATAACCTGGCCGCGAGTGGGCACTGAACATGCGTAGTTTTGTTAGCGCGGCTGTTCGACACAATCCCCTCAATATGTTGCAACTCCCGTGAACCTCCAGACAACCCACATCCTTCATCGCCAACGACACTGGGTCGAACCACCCAATATGGTTTTCCAAAAGCTATAATACCGGCAGATTCGGTCCACGATAGCTACCAGAGCTGGGCCATCTTGCACAAAGGGACCAGAATGTCCCTTTCATCACCCATGACCCATCCACACTTTCCTGGTCTGCTCCCAGGCCCCCGCTAGAGCGCAGACTCCCACAATCCCTGAGGAACCTCGAGCAGCAGCTCCGCCGCAAACTGCGGCGGCATCTCCAGCACCAGCTGGTACAAGTATCCGTGGCGTTTGAGGTGGTTCATCTGAAAGATGCAGTACCTGAGGAGCATCATGCGGAGGTCATCGCCCGGCGGCGTGTTCGCGTACGCAAAAGCGAGCATCTCGACCAGCGTCTCGCAAAACTCGGTCCGCAGAACGACGTTGACCAGGCTCTCGCGCAGTCTCTGCAGGCACAGGGCCCGGAGGGACATAAAGCGGTACCGGTCCGCGAGGGCGTAGAGCTTAACGTGCAGCATGAAAATGGTAGCGAGGCCGGTGCAGTCGCTCCGCTGGAGCTCATCGTGCCAATACGGCTGGGGGCCGGGGAAGTCCGTATCGAAGTACTTGCGACCGTAGCACCACTTGCCGAACCGCGTGCAATCGCCGAACCGGTCGTCGTTGTCCATCATCCAGGTCATGATTGAGCTGACGGACCACCAGTCCTCCTCGTCGATGGCGTCTCCTTGATCGGCCTGGTTGGGCAGCACCACCGCAGCCGTCGCGACGGACTTCTTCCTGGGGAGACGGGGGACCGAGTAGTTGTCGGTGTAGGCATACTCCAGCAGGCTGGTGAACGTCGAGGGCTCGACGTCGTCCCAGATCACCCCGACCTCCACGGACTCCTTCGCGTCTTCGGCGAGCATGGCGCGGAGGGGCGCGGACAGGCGCGTGAAGGCGTACTGGTGCACGTTGAACTCAACCCTGTTTGGCCCGATGAGAAAAGTGACTTGCCTCGACTTGAAGATGCTGCTTGTCATTAGCTTTGGTACCGGTGGCGGGTGCGCAATCGGGATTTTCCTACTCCTCAATGGTTCTCTTGTTCTTGCGGGCAATTTCCTCCGGCGTAGATACCATCTCGGCCCGTAATCGGTAGCCCCTCAGGGGAAACCACTGGGGAAAATTAGGGAAGCTAAGGCCTTGGATTGTCGATAGATCTGAGCAAGGCCTGAGGTATGTGGAAGTCAGAAAGAACGAGTAAGTGAAAAAATTCAAAGCAGAAAAGTAGTTTTGTAGAGATCTGACAAGTTCGGCGGCGTAATGCGCTCGGCGTCAAGGAGGGGCCAGCGGAATGCTAAGTTGCCTCAACACCAACATTCCAAATGGCATCCAGGGCAACGGTACATGATGATTTGACGACCGAAAGGGGATTCCAAACCATATTATTTACCACAAGCTGAACGATACCCGTGCCCCCCGTTCTCAGAGACATCCATTCACGTATCAAGGTATGTAAAAATTCTTTTGCAGTGAGTCAATTGACATCATATTAGCTTCAAGACCAGCATGGAATTCGACATTTGGGTCACCCAAAGTCCGATGAGCCAAGGTATCACATTTTCAAGCAATTGGGGTGGAAGGAAGACCGAGGTTCTCCTTCTGAAGATAATGACCCCTGCGTTGGAAGGAACCCCCCGGATATATCTCGTTCCCGGGGGCGTTCTGGTGGGACAATGAAGATGGGTTGAACAATGGATTGAAAGACGGGATGAAAGAAGGAGCGAGAGATGGAGTGAAGAATAGACACGCTACCCGGCAGAACCACCCACCAAAGGTGTGTTGCTGCCTACCTAGGTACCTGCCGAGAGGTGTGTGGCGGCAGGTTTGCTGGGTGCGACAGTCAAGACGTCGTGGTACAGTTTATTTACCGTGGAGAGGCCTTGGTCGCCTACATAGTTGGAATAGGGATCGGATGCTGAGACTTGGTGGACTTGAGCTGAAAATACCCTCTTTGGCAGAAGTGTACCCAAGCATGTTGTCGTCCATCCCATTGTGATATAAGTTAATCAGAGCCGACAAACCATCACATACGACCATACCCACTGGAGAACTCGGGATCCCGTCCGCTCTCCCATAGATAAGCCAGTGAGGGCCGGATTAGTAGTTGGGTCGGTGACGACCAGCGAATACCTGGTGTTGTATGTTTTTTGAGTTCCTGTACTCTCTCTCTAGCTTTTGCTTTGCAGTGTCTGGAGGGCCCTGGTCCGATCTCGGAAGAGTATGAGACAAGATTGTTCATCTGAGGAAGGGAAGATGGAGTATGTATGAGACTAGGTAAGACACATCGATTAGCAAGCGTTTGGCAGTATCCATGCTATCGTTGCTGCTGCTGCTGCCGCTGTGGTCGGCGAGGAAGAACAAGGAGAGGGCTCGCAATGCTGGCAGCGAGGGCGGTATGCCGGCCACAGGGGTTGTCGGTAACAAAGACTAGAATAGAAAATGGATTGGTGGTTTTGTCGGAGAAAGAAAAGATGAAATGGGCGATGAAATGCGGGTGGTGCTGAGGTCTGCAAAGGAAGGCAAGTCGAGCAACGTACAAATCATCTTCCGAGACCCCAGATGGAGTCCCGATCCCACACGCCGCGTTCTTACAGCTCCGCGCCCTTTGACCGCCTCTTAGATCTCCCTACGAGGCTGCCCACGCTCTACGCCGTGCTGATCCCTAGAGAGACAGATGCGTTTCGTTTCGTTTCGTTTCTTTCAACAGAGCGTTCATCCTGAGTAGAGTTTGGATAATTGGAGAAGAGGACAGATGAGGAGAGAGAGAGAAACCGGATGAAGAGAAGGAAAAAGACGATGCAGGTTCACGCAACATATGCAGCACGGAAAATACACGACTGCCTTCTTTAACAATCACCCAAGTGCCTTGCATTAGTAATAACTTTTGAACAATGTCTTTTTTTTTCTTTCTTCAAAGGGGGAACCCCCTCTGGATCAATCACAGTCGTGACCTGGTACTACAAGATACAATTCAGACGCCGTCCTGTGCTTCCAAACTGCCGAGCGACCGGGGGGCCCTTACTGCGGGATGCCCAGCTCCTTGTAGAAGGATTCGGTGCTGGGCTTGCGGCCGAGGAACTGCTCCAGGGTCAGCATCTCCTCCTGGCTGCCGCCCTTCTCCAGGACGGTGTGCCTGTAGCGGCGACCCTCCTTGCCGTTCATGGGGTCGGCCTTGAAGACGGAGTAGAACATGTCGGTCGAGTAGACCTCGGACGAGAGGTAGCCGTAGTAGCCGGCATCGTAGCCTCCGATCAGGTGGCCGAAGCAGGCTTGTCCGTTGCCCCATGTGCTGTGACTGTTAGTGCGCTGGTCATGGGATGAGTCAGTCAGGTTGGGCCGTAGCATACCTCTTCTCGCCCTGAGCTTCGGGGCCCTTGATGCCGGCAATCTGGCCGCGAAGCTCGTTGTAGACGGACGACAGGTCCATGTTCTTGATCTCCTCATGGCTTTTGGGAGTGTGGACAGTCATGTCAAAGGTGCCAAAGTGGAGCTGGCGCAGATTGAAGAGTGCGGCGTTGACGTGCTTGGTCGATATCTGCTTCTCGATGAGGTCGTCGGGGATCTTCTCGCCCGTCTGGTAGTGCTGGGAGAGGGCCTTGATGACGCTAGGGGTCCAGCACCAGTTCTCCAGCATTTGCGAGGGCGCCTCGACAAAGTCCCGGACGGTGCTGGTGCCGTGGAAGCGGCTGTAGGTGCAGCGGCCGGCCAGGTCGTGGATACCGTGACCCAGCTCGTGGAAGAGCGTGACGACCTCGTCGTGCTTGAGGAGTGAGGGCTTCTTGGGCGTAGGCTTGCTGAAGTTGCAAACCAGAGCCGTGGCAGGGTACCTCCGCGAGCCGTTCGCTTGCAGGTAGCCAGGCTGCAGGTTGAAGTTGGCGGCGTGGCCGTACTTGCCCTGGCGAGGGTGCAAGTCGAGGTACAGGTAGCCGACGAAGCCCTCACCCTCGGATGCATCGTCCCAGACGCTGAAGATGATGACATCCTCGTGCCAGGCGATGTCCTCGCCCTTGCCCGTAGGGCTCAGGGCCTTGCGGTCCTCGGGCTTCAGCTCGACAAAGACGAAGCCGAGCAGCTCCTCAAAGATCTTGAGCATGCCGGCAATGGTGGAGGTGATGGGGAAGTACTCGGCAATCTTGTTCTCGTCGATGCTGTACTCCTTCTCAATCATCAAGCGGTCGTAGAACTTGTGGTCCCAGAGGTAGTAGTTGCCGTCGTTGGCGACGCCGCGGGCCTCGGTATCGGCCTTCTTGAGCTCGAGGAGGTGTTGGACCTCCTTGGCGCCACCGGCGGTCAGGCGGGAGCGGAGGTCGGCCAAGAAGTCGTTGACGGTCTTTGTGGTCTTGGCCATCTTGTCCTCGATGCGGAGGGAGGCGTGGTCGGGGTAGCCGAGCATGCGGGCAGCCTCGTCGCGAAGGACGATGGCCTCCTTGAACAGGGGGACATTCTGGTTGCACTTGTTCTCGTTCTGGATGAAGACCTTGCGCCTCGTCTCGGCGTTCTTGGCGAACTTGAGGGTCGGGAACAGGTCGGGGTACTTGAAGGAGAGCTTGAGCTTGCCCTCGTTCTCGCCGGTGCCCTTCTCCAGGCCGTCAATGACATCCTCGGGGACACCGTCCAGCTCCTCAGGGGTGAACCAGATGCCGCCGTTCTCCTCGTTGAGGTTCTTCTGGAACTCGATCTGGATCTGGCTGAGGCGCTTCTTGATCTCCTTGAAGCGATCGCGCTGGGGGCCGGCAGGCAGACCGAGACCCATCTTGATGTAGTTCTTGTAGTCCTTCTCGAGCAAACGCAGGCTCTCGGGATCGAGGCCCTCGGAGTCCTTCTTGTTGTGGAGGGCCTCGATCAGCTTGTAGACATCCTCCCTCATGTTGACCTCGATGCCGAACTCGTCCATGATGGTGTCGGCCTGGGACGAAGCTTCGCGGAGGGCGGCGTCGCTCGAGACATATTGGTAGAAGCCCAGGATACGCGTCGACAATCCGCTCTCGTTCTCGTCCCTGGCAATGGGCTGCAGGACGTTGTCGAAGGCGGCCTTGTCGGCGGGAACCTCGGCGACGATCTTGTCGAGCAGAGCTCTGGTCTGGTCGCATATCTTCTTGGCGTCGCCGACGATGGACTCCTTGGTGCCGGTGAAGACGGGAGGCGCCTGGGGCGGTGACTTGTACTTATCGGGGACCGTCATGGCGCTGGTCACTAAGGGCCGGTAGGTCGAAGCAGCCGGTGTGGGGAAGAGAGGAAGCTGGACTGGTTTGAAGCGCAGCTGGGCGAAGAGAGAAGTGATTCTCGGGATTGCTCTGGGGGCCGCCAGGATGAGAGCTGTGAGGAGGAAGATGAGGAAGAAGGTGAGGGAGAGGAGGGGTAGGCGGCGCTTGGAGGAAGCGGTCGACGCCAGGATGACTGGACGAAACACGGTTCGCCGGTCGGGTCTGTAGGATGTCGAGGTGGGGGAAGGGGGGGAAGGAGGGGTCGCGAGCTGCAGGACCAGGGTCGATGCAGAGGTGGTACAGATGGTTGGTGGTGTATTGTGTGTGGCGAGGTTACCAATCGTTAAGCTGTCAGTTGTTGAAGGTTGGCGGTCTGGGTGTGTAAGTGCGTATGGTGGTGGTGGTGGTGGTAGTGGTGGTAGTGAGTTCTCTCGGTCCACGTCAGCAGCAGCCGCGGAGGGCCTGGGAGCTCCCGGCGCTAAGACGCCCAGGGCTGCGACACTCGACGCTGGAGGAAGCGGGGTTTCGTTGTCTCAATTGACGCATGTCGTGTACCCGACGGCAATGACGGATGCTGATCTACCCAACATTGGACCCAGCTAGAGTATTCAAATCAAACTATCTAGTCTGTCGGCCTTAAAGGAAGCGTTCAAAGCCTTGGTGGCCATATCTGTCTATCGGTCTCTTCGACGCGGCCGACAGGGGAGCTGCGTGTTGGGGCCCCAGATAGGAGGACCCTTTAGCGGCCTGCAGGTCCGGGTGCGGGACACATGGCCTGATAGGAGCGAGCTTACATAAGATATGGGGCACCTATACGTATTGGGCGAAGGGGAGGGGGGAGGGGGGTCCTTTGTTACCGGGCAGACGAGCCACGCCGTGGTGCGACATTGTGGATCAACATGTGGCTGCGCCGGACAGTAGAGAATGGAATCGCCATTGCTGGCATCGAGATGATGATCCAAGTCGAACCTACAATAGGAGTTACTGCGGGAAGCATAGCAAGAGATACCTTGGGACTCCAAGACTTGATCCAACATTTGCAGATAGATGGGCGACTGCAACCCCTGTCATGACAAGGCCTCATTTCGGTATCATGGTATTTATTTCTTTTGTATCGGTTCCTCCACGGCCCCGGCACAAGTGTGTGTGTGTGTGTGTGAGTGCTGTGTATATGATCCATTGTAAAGTCTCTGCTGTAGAGCTCGACTCCAGGATACCCGAATCCCCCTACAATAGCGGAATAACGCAATCGCAAACGAAAATCAAACGCCATTCCCATCGTGCCAGCCATGCAAAATATCCTCTTTTCCATCACCGTCACCTTCTCGTCTTCTTCTTCGTCGTCGTCGTCGTCGTTGTCTTGTGTGGTTCTACAACGCTCGCTCCAACTCGCGTGAATCGTATCTCATTTCTCCCCAGGATATCGAGCGAGAGCAATCTAGTTGGCGAGGATGGTGCGCACGAGCTCTATGATGGCCGTCAGTCAGCAATGGGCGGGGACGGCAGCGGAGGAGGGGGTACCTACCGGTGTAGTTGACCTGGCCGGAGCTCGTGTCGACGGCCTTGAGCAGCTCGTCGACCTCTTCGTCCGTCATCTTCTCGCCGAGGTTGGTCAGGATGTACTTGAGCTGGCCTACGCCGATGAAGCCCGTCATGTCTTTGTCAAAGACCTGGAAGCCGCGGCAGTACTCCTCGGGCTCGCCGGGGTCGCGGAAGCCGCCGGGGCGGTTGAGGATGCGCTGGAACGTCTCAAAGTCGACTGCAATAGTAGAATGGTTAGTGCAAGTCCCTTCCGAGCGCGTGTGTCTGGTCAAGTCGGCGAGATATCCAACCAACAAGCGATGGCGTGGTTGGTCATGGGCGGATTGGAAAGGCACGGATGGCATGGCGGGGGGGGGGGGGGGCAAGGCTCACAGTCGCTTCCGATGTTCTTCTCGAGGTCGCGGATCTCGGTCAGGGTAGGGTTCTGGCCGCAGGCGCGGAGCAGGTCGCCCAAGCTATCGACGGGAACGCGGCCGTTGCCACGCTTGTCGAAGAGGGAGAAGGCCTCCTTGTAGTTGGTGGAAGCCTGAGCGTCGTATTGGTTAGAAGCCATTGCGAATGATGTGTGTCTAGAATGTGTAATGTTGCGGGCAGCAGAAAAAGTATCGCGAGGGGGGAGATGAAGCAGGCGGATGATGAATGGATGGATGGATACGACAGCTGCAAAGTGGGAAGGGAAGAAAAAAATGGTGCGAGGATGAGAAAGTGTCGTGATCGGGTTGAATTGCGCCTGGCCTTGGTTTGCTTGGCTTGGCAGGCTGGCTGGCGCTGGTCGGGAAAGCAAGCGTCGTTTCCCCCCGCCTCACTGTTTCCGTTCGTTCGTTGGTTGTTTGGGTTGATGCCGTTGGCTGGTGAATGGGCGGCGCCGGTGCTGTCGCTGCCACAGCCTGGCACAGCCAGCCACAGCCACTGGCCATTGCCACTGGATAGCGGGTGGTGGTGGTACTGCATTTGCTGCTTTGTGCCTTGCTGCTCGCTGTCTGTCCCTCATCTTCCTGCAAGGTTCGCCGCTGAACCAATCCGGGCGCTAACGCTGGTTTTTGGAAAGGGGGGGGAGGGGTTTTCTCCCTCTTTCGGTCGTCGATAGGGGGCGGAAATAGGGGGGGCAGCCGCTGACTGAATGGCTGGAATCACCGGCCTTCCTTTGTTTACATTCCGGCGGCGGTACGGGGACGAAGGGCGTCATCGGATCGGGGTCTCCTTTCATGCGGCGTAGAAAACAAAACAAAACAAAAAAGCAAGGCAATCGAGGGGCGGGAGGGCAATGCAGAGAGGGGAGGAGACGGGGTTGAAACTCACCATTGTGATGGTGTGTAGTGCGTGTGTTACGGTAAGCGAGCTGTTGACCGAGGATAAACAAACAAGAGGTGATGGAGCAATCTTCGTTTTCTCTCTTGCAGCGCAGAAAACAGGAAATGGTTTGGACAGAAAAACGGCGGCGGCGGGTTCGTGATGATGTTTCTCGGAGGTTGCGGTTTGACGGTCGGAACACTTTATGCCCGCTCTCTCTCTGCCCCCTCGCCTGTCTCCTGCCTCGCTCCCTTTATCCGTGTTCACTTTTTATTTTATTTTTATTTTTTTATTTTTATTCAGGACAGTTATTCAAGTCAAGGGGCCATGGACATTCCCAGTCACTGTTATTCATGCGGCGGTGTGCAGGCACACCAAACACTCACACACACACACACACACACCATACCACACTGACTGGGAGGACAACTATTGAAAAGAATTGGGTCCGGTCCGGGACTGGGACTGGGACTGGCGGTCTAGGTCGCAAACACAGTGCATCCCATCCATCCTCTCTCGCCTTTGATAACCCTCGGCCGGTAAGCGTCCCTGACACCTGACGGGGCAACCACACGTAAACATCACACATACATCCACATTTCCCCGTGTACATTACCCACACATGCTACCTTGGCTGGCTAACTCTCCATGAATCAACGACATTGGGGCCCAAGCGGGTCTGTCTTTGGCGGTGGACACGCACCGTATTCACTCCGTACGGATATATTGTCATCTTATCCGTATAGCACTTATTACTCCCTAGTGGACGCAGCTATCCAACCTTGATTGCCAAAATACCCAGCTCAGAGTTGCGCCGAACTCTCTTCAAGCCCATTGCTCTTCATGTGTGTTACAGGTAACTGGACTGTCCAAAGCCGCTGGTCTGCCGCAAATTGGCACGTTGCGGTTCGTGCCGACTAACCCTCGCCTGCGAGTCATCATCGTCGTCCCTGCCGCAGCTACTCTTTATCACGCTCTTTATCACGCTCTCTCTCTCTCTCTCTCGCACACACCCACACACACCCCCACATACTTTCTCTCTCTTGCTCGACAAACTTTGCATCATCCTTGTTCCCGCCAAATATAACCCTGACACAACACTACCGCCACGATCCTCACCTCCTCTTGGCCAGGATCACAACCGTGCCCCAAACCGCCTCGACCTCCACCTCCCGCCACTTGTCCCCCTTGGCCTTCCATTCCGGCACCGCCTCGAGCAGCCGATCAAACAGCAGGTCCGCTATGTCGCCCTCCCCGCCCTCCGCCCGGCTCTTCACTTCCGGGTGCGCGTCCCTCCACCCAATGTACGCGCTGAACGTGTGCACGTAGCCCTCGAACTCGCCCAGCTTGAGCTTCTTGCGCTGCCACGCCGCCTCCGCCTCCGGCCCCGTCCCGACCTGCGCCATCCGCCGGTCCGGGTTGTACACGATCCGCCTTACCGCCGTCCACTCCGACGCCGGCGGCACCACAGCCTCCAGGTTGTCCCGCAGCATCTGCCGCCCCGGCTTCTCCCAGTACCGCTCCATCGTCTCCCACCCGCTGCCCGGCGCCGCCTCCCCCTCGCCGTAGAGAAAGTGCTCCAGGATCTCGTTCACCGCCGGGAACCCCACGAGGATGTTGTCCTTATACCCCCAGAACGCCAGCGTGCCGCCCCCGCACACCACTCGCCCGAGCTCCGGCCACGCTCGCTTGTAGTCGAACCAGTGCGCCGACTGCCCTGCTATCGCGAGGTCCACCGTCCCGTCGCCCACGAACGACAGGTCCTCCGCGCTCCCCTGTCGGAACGTGATCTTGGGGTCCCGCGTCGATTCGGACGCCTGCTTGACCATGCCCGCGCTCGGGTCGACAGCCATCACCCGCCCAAAGTGCGGCGCCAGCTCGCGCGCGATGACCCCGTGCCCGCACCCCAGGTCCAGCGCCGTGCCGTTGGCCGACGACGGCTTGTGGTACGCCAGCAGCATTTTAAAGAGCGACGCCGGGTAGGACGGGCGGAACGCCGCGTAGCCGGCGGCGGAAAACGTCGATCGCCTGTTCGTTCTCGGGTCAGCTTCGTCATCTCGTGAGACTTGTGGTGTCCGTATCACATGACAAGACCATGCGTGTGTGTGTGTGTGTGTGTGTGTGTGTGTGTATGCACCTGTGACAGTGTCATGATTCCGAGACTTACGCAAAGACAGACATCGTCTCGGTCGTGTAAGCGTGATAAGCTGCGGTGTTGTAGTGACAGAGACAAGTACCGGATTGCCAAGGCTGGTAATCAGTAGTCGGCCAATGATTTCTCAATGATGTGTAATGTTTGCCGCCACACTGTACTCAAAGGAAAATAGGCGGCGGCGGCTGTTGTTTTTATCCCCAGCTCTCGGATCGTCCCAGATCATTACGTCTCGGATCACGGCAACCCAAACCCCAGGCCAGGCTAGGCCAGGCCAGGCCCTCTTCATCATCCGTGAACCAGCCAAAGGCCTCATGATGCCCCTCGAGAGGCGCAACAACACCAGACCAGAACCAGGAACACGCGCCAGACGGCATTGCAGTATAGCCGCGGCCCTCAGCGCCAATCACCACGTCGCGCCGTCGGCGACCGACACCATTTCCGCGCCTTGGGCCGTAGCCTCCACCGAGCGCCCCTCGGCGACCTCGGCCCGTTCCCCCACCGCGTGACTGACGTCCCAAGAAACCATTTGAAAGCTCCGAGCCGCCGCGCGTGCCTCCCCTCGCCCACCACCACCCTTCCTACCTCATCTCCGTCTCCCTCGCTCTTCGTCCCTTTCCGTGCCCGCAAGGCATATAGTATCTCAGAACATTGCCCCGCGCCGACACTAGTGCCCGACATGACCACCGAAGCCGCCGCCCGGGTCTTCTTCTCGTCAAAGTTCTTCGCCGTCGTGGGCGCCAGCTCCAACCCCGCCAAGTTCGGCCATAAGAGTGCGTGGCCCTCCCCGTCCCTGCCCCTGTAATCGCCGTCTCACACATGAAGTTGCCGTACCAACGCTTTCACGCTCACTCGCCTCAAGCTCACTCATCCATTCATTCACTCATTCACTCATTCACTCTGCTCCAGCTCACTTCACTTCACTCACACTCACACTCACACTCACTAAAAACCACCCACCCCTCACACCGTCCCCGCCCTCGCCCTCGCATCTCCTCAACTGACCCAAAACCCCGCAGTCTTCGCCTGGTACCTCGACCACGACATCCCCGCCATCCCCGTCAACCCGACCGCCGGCACCGTCAACGCCCTCGGCAAGGACCACCCGGCCATCCCTAACCTCTCCGCCCTCCCCAGCCCCAAGGAGACGGCCGTCTCCGTCATCACCCCGCCGCCCGCGACCCTCCAGGTGCTGCGCGAGGCCAAGAGCCTCGGCGTCCCCGCCGTCTGGCTACAGCCCGGCACCTTTGACGACGAGGTCCTCGCCTTCGCCCGCGCCGACGGCGCCTTCGAGGCCGTCGTCGCCGGCTTCGGCGGCGGCACCCGCGGCGGCGAGGGCTGGTGCGTCCTTGTCGACGGCGACAAGGCGCTCAACGCCGCCGGCAAGCTGTGATGCTCTCTCTCTCTCTCTCTCTCTTTCTTTCTATCCTTCCCCCTCGGCGCGCGGCGAGGACGTGTGTGCGCGCGCGCGTGTATGTGCTGCAAATGTGTGAGGGCCTGTCATGTCGAGCAGGCTTTGGCCCATTGTCCATAGAGTACGAAGGCCTGAGATGCCCGACATGCCGTTACGAGATAAATGACTATTAGTTTCCTCCTGGGCATGTCACCGGTCACCGACCCCGTGCAGGCTAAGCATGCCCGCACCTGGTCTGGTCCTACACTCGCAGACGCACACGCCTCATCCGCTACTCCGATCTCCCCCATCCCTTTTCTCCGTCACTCAACCCACCTAAGCTTTCCCCGCATTCCTCTTCCGCGCTTGTGTCTCCACACAAGGTGAAGCTTTATACCCCAAAGCGTGCAGCAGACTAACCAGCCAACCAACCAATCAACCCGTAGCCGAACCCCAGGTTTCGTTACCCCCCTCTTCCCGGCCTACCAGGCATGCATCCCGCGACTTGACGCCCACTAATTAATACATAATAGGACCTCCTCGTGTATGGAGACGAGAGACGGCCGCATGAAACTTGTACACGGATGCAAAACCAGTCGAGCTTCTTGACGATCCCGGTGAACCTATACTTTCTGCTCCGCTTGTTCCCATGGTCTCTCTCCATATTGTGCCGTCGAATGCCGGCAGCCCACTTTGCTAGCGGCAAACACCAATGGAGTCTCTGTGTCACAAGAACCTCCGTTGAACCATGTCGTAGACGCAGGACGTCGCTAAAGCCCTTGCCTCCACGCGTCGAGATTCGTCGAGTGAGCTTTCGTCTGGAGAAAAGCCTCCTGCCAACTCCACCTGGGCACAAACACATCCGCAATGGTACCGGTATGTACCAAGCGGCGCTCGTGCCCGGGTCAATGACTAGATGGCAGCTCTCCCCTCCTTGCGGCCGCTAATCCGAGACTCTGCCGGGGAACCTTCCCTGGACGCCTCTTTGACATCATTCGCCAGAGACACGATACACAGTATCCTCCTCCTTGTCAGTCCTCCCGCCTCCATCTCCGCCCGCTCCGGCCATCCTTTCGTCCATCCCTCCCATCTCCAGCGTATCTCGAACCACAGATATACGTACCCGCTTCCCGCTTGCCCCAATACACTTTCTCTAGTCGTCCACGAGTCACTCACCGCAGATCCTATATCAAGCCAATGCCATATTGCAGGACCATCCCCTGAACCGAATCCTGCAGGTCGCGTGCCGATTGCTCCACTGCCGTCGGTAAGTGGATTGGGTCGGGGAGCTTCTCCGTGGTCTCGTCTCGACGCTACGGGTGCTGGATGCGTCCGCTTGAACCTACTTGCTAGCAGGACCTTGCCAAGAGCTTATGGCCGTTTACCCTGGTCTACCTGTCTGCACGTATGTGTTAGAACAACGTCCAAGTGTGGGTGGGATGCGATGGATGCTTCCTGCAGGAGGACCAGGGCCGTTAAACTCCATCCGGGCCGTCCATATCAACGGGCTCCTGTAATGGACCCGTTCTGTCTTATATCACCGGTGCTGTCATCTCTTGTCCTCCTTCGTCGGGAAGCTTTTGCACCGTCATCGCACCGCCTACATCTTCGTATCCATATTGCACAAGATAGTACTAGCACATAATCGGGATACCACAGAATGTCGACCATGGACCACAAGGAAGAGCTCAAGGAGCTGCGCTCCGACTCGTACCACAGAGAACACCGCCACCCCGAACACCAGTCCAACCAGCCGCACCGAGTGCCCAACGGCTACGACGACCCCGACGCAGATTACATCGCCCCGCACGCAAGCCGCGACGATGCCCTCAACAGGATGAAGACGGCCGGGTCCGTCAACATGTCACCGGAGCTGTTCGAAAAGCTGTACCTCTCACCCCAGAACAAAGTCAAGGGTGACCTCCGCAAGACCTTTGGCAACCCGACACCAATGTGAGCCTCGATCCGGGTTCTCCCCTTTTTTTATTTTTTAAAGCTGTATACGCCGTTGGCTGACACGGAACAGCGCCATCGTCGGATTCCTCCTCTCGCTCACGCCTCTGGCCTGCGACCTCATGGGGTGGCGCGGCGCAGGCGGCAGCGGCGCGGCCGGCATGTAAGTCCACAGCCTCGCCTCCCTCCCCTTCTCGCCTTTCTCCCCCCCCTATTCCGTACACGGAAGCTAACGGTGACCAAACGCTCCCTTTCAGCGGTTCGTATTTTTTCTTCGGCGGTCTCCTCATGTTCGTCGGTGGCCTCCTTGAATGGATCCTCGGCAATACCTTCCCCTCCGTCGTCTTCTTCACCTTCTCGGCCTTCTGGTTCACCTTTGGCGCGACTCTCAACCCCTCCTTCGCGGCCTTCTCCTCCTACGCCCCCGCTGGTGCGGCATCCGGAGCCGCAGGGCTGACTACCCAGGGATTCAACGCCAGTTTCGGTACGTCGAGTCGTCGGACAGTGTCTCTCCCCCCCCTTCTCGCAGACGGGAGGCGCGCTTGTGATGGACAGATGGAGCTAACCACGATGTGTCCGCAGGCTTCATCACCCTAGCCATGGCCATGATCTGCGTCGTGTTCCTCGTCTGCTCGCTGCGCACCAACGTCGTCTTCTTCATCATCTTCCTGACGCTCGTTGCCGCCTTCTGCCTTATCACGGCCGCGTATTGGTTCCTGGCCATGGACTACACCGGAAACGCGGCGTATGCCGCCAAGCTACTCAAGGTGAGTTTGCCCTCTGGGTGCTATGATGTATGGGGGGGGGGGGGTGGGGGACCGCTCTTTGCACTACCGGACTTGAACTGACTTTTTGCTTTCTCAGGGCGCCGGTGGCTGTGCGTTCGCGACTTGTATGGCTGGGTGGTGGCTGATCTTCGCCATCCTCCTGGCTTCTTTGGATTTCCCGCTGGAGCTCCCCGTCGGCGACTTGAGCAGAGTGATCCGGGGCAAGAGCGAGAAGAGTCACGTTTAGCGGTATGCTCTGTATATCAGTGGCCAGGGCCATGATTGAACCATATGCCGTGCCGATATGTTAAGTTGGTCGGCGGTATCAGAAATATCTCTACCTAGGTATAAATCAGCTTTCTCAATGGGTTTAACATTACGAGTAATACGACGTTCCGCGTAAAGCTCTACAAACATAGATGGCTCTGGACCTCTCCGGCCACTCAAACTCGCCCACATCCACAGCTACACTGTTGCTCTCGCAGTGATAGGCTCCTCTTGTGTACCTTGTTGGGCAGAGACTCAAGAGGGAATCGTATCGAGAAGTCAGGGATTGGGTATTTGGTCAATGTTGAGTTGACTTAATACATCAGCAGATGCAACTTCACCCGAGACTCAAAGAATTAATATACCCAAGCAGCCGCTGCTGTTTCCCGCGGAAAGATTTTTGAGTGTCACGTTTTTGAGTTCTGAACTTTTGTCGCTGTTGAGTTCCGCAATGTGACGTCCGCTTATCCTAATCAACGCGATCACCCGGCGTTAAACAACCTCAACCTAAGGACTATCAAGGGTCAGTTAGTCGGCATCGTCGGCGCGTCTAGTTGTGGCAAGAGTACCATAATCAGCCTTCTAGAGCGCTTTTACAATATTACTTCGGGGCAACTCCTCGTAGAGGGGACGAGATTGCGGGAATTAGACATGCATCGTCACCGTGCCCGTGTCGGTCTCGTTCCGCAGGAGACAATGCTTTTTCAGGGCAGTATTATTGACAACGTCCTCATCGTCCTCCCAGGAGACGAGGCTTCGGCCCCTGATGCCAATGAACGAGGGGAACGCTCTGGGCCGCGAGCCGTCGGCATTCGGCGGTGACGACAAGAATGAATCAATCAGCTTGGAGGTTTCGCGGCAGGCCGACGTGAGCTCTGGGAGCCGTTGAGGTTGGAAGGGACCCGGCAACAGGCAGCCGTTCTAATTTCACAGCCGAGCTTTCTAACTTTTTCTCCGACTTCCCTCCTTCCTCCCTCCCTCTCTTCTGGCTCGGAGGTATGGCTGGTTTTGGGACAACAGCCCCGTGAATAGCCGTGGGAGGCTGTACCTACCTGTTGGTTAGACTTTGGGGAAAGGGACGAAAGAAAAACACCAAAAAAAAAAAAAAAAAAAACCTCCTTCCTTCCTTCTTTCCTTCCTTTAAATTCTCGGTCGCCTCAAGCCAGACTCCGAAATCTTCTTCCACCTTCACGTACATCACTCAACTCGCCCACTCGAATAGTAACTTTCTGTACCTGCAACACTCGCCGTCAGTTAATTCCGCAAACCGTCACGATGTCTCTCAAACGAAAGAGAGACATGGAGGAGTAAGTCGGCTGAACCAAAACCAGTCTCGGAGCATGACACCTGTTGATATCGCATAGTATTCTCAAGTCGAGAATCATCAAGTTCATCATCGGCTCTGAGAAAGCCGAGTTCACAGTTCATTCCATGAGTATTGCCACCCTATCGGAGAAGTTTCGCTCCATTGTGAGCTTCAGCCAACCTGGCGAGAATGAAAAGATTGTGACTTGGAGCAACGTCGAGACATCTACTTTTGTCAACTTGGTGGAGTACGCGTACAACAAGGATTACACCATTCCCCAGCTCGCCAGAACGGGCGACATAAGCCAGGCTACTGCTCAAGACATGGTTGCTGGTCCTGAGATTGCTAAGAAGAAAAAAATCAAGAGTGGTAACGATTCATCTAATTCTTCCATGCGTTTTCATCCCGACCGAGTATTCTGACGGCAACAGAACATGCTTCCTCGCCTGCCAAAGTGGATATCGTGAAGCGAAAGACAAACACCAACGAGGTCGAAGCGGCAATCTCTCTGCATACATGGATGTTGGAGATTTCTCAAGGTGACGAGAGTCCACAAAAGTCGAGTGCTCAATACAGATTTTGCCAGCAGCACTTCTCTCTCAACACACCGGCCTCCGATGGAGCAGTCACCGAGTCTAGCTTTGCGACTGAGGCATGGCTCATGGATATTCAGCAGCATCGCCTTACCGACTACGAAACCGTTTTTCGCACACACACGAACCTGTACATTCTCGCGAACAAGTACAACATCACCGATCTCAAGGATCTCTGTTATCGCAAGATCCGTCTAACCTTACTGTACGCTCCTACTGCCGATCAACTGTTTGCTGCCCTTTTCCATACCATCCGCATCGTCTACGACAATACAATCCACAACGACCCTCTGCGGTCGCTACTCGCTAAGTACTGCATATCTGACATGGCAAGCATCATGAGTTGCAAGGGCGATGATCGGATCGCTCCTTTACTCAAAAGCGTTCCTAGCTTTGCTGCCGACTTGCTCCTCGAGATACCCCACGACTACTGGGTACAGATCAGGGATGGAGGACAAGCTTGACTAACGAAGAATGAGTGTATCCTGCCGCCATTCGCTTCTGTTTGAATCCAAGGAAATTGGCATATTGGCGAGAGAAATGGAATTGGCGACGGATTTGTCAAAGCCAGCTGAATGATACCGTCCGTGATCTTACGCCTCCAGACTTTATGTTTTGTTGGACGTGGCTCGGACTATTTGAGAAAACAATTTTGCTCTGCTAAGACGGAGATATGTTGACGAAGGGCGAGTGTAAAGATCGGAATTTGGAGATGGCAGCTGGTCATTTGCAGATTCATTCTCCATCGCGCCGAGAACGTCTTCACAGATTTACACATGGCATTGAAGACTACTAGGCCTAATACAACGATTACGTGAAGACTGTTTTGTTTTGAAGGTGGTGATGGTGGTGTGTGATGCTGGTTTGTTTGTAGGTATGTTGAGTCCGTGTTACATAAGCACTCGTTCTCGACTTGCTCAGCCACAAATTGTTTCGGACTGCTCAGCCACACCCCGCTGGACCCACCAGCTAAACTAATAGCAACGGGAACAAGAAGTTTGAATGTAAACAAACGCGATCGGAATTGCCCTCGCCTTTACCGACCCCGGCTTGCTTCAACATTCCCGCATCCGACCATTAGCCAATTCTACTCTTCCCCTCGGACAATATCTTCACACATCTCTACTCCCCTTCGAACCGACGCGACTTTTGCTCGAGCTTTTACGATCCGATGCATCTTACTTGCGACTAATATTTGCTCCCTGCGATCGACGCGTTCGTTCGTCCTGTGCACATCTATTTGCGCCACCGTTTCGCGCTTCCGATCGCGACCAGCTTCACTCCGACCGAAGCTCGACATTTATAGCTACCATAACGACGAAATAGCCCATCATGACCGATAACCTGGCCTTCGAGGGCTTGGTCCCGAACGAATACTTTACATACGAGGGCCGTCTAGGCTCTTTCCACCAGGTCTATCCTGCGCCGAAGCGCCGCCAGTCTGGCGCTACTAAGGGTGGCAAGAACTTGACTTGGCCGCACATGAAATATCTCGTGCCCGGAGAAGTGCGTCTTGGATGCAGAACGAAATTGAGGAGAAGGCGTGTGCTGACCCTGTTCCCAGCTCGCGAAAGCAGGCTTCGTTTGGCGACCGTTTCCCGATAACCCCGATAACGTCGCATGCTTCCTTTGCAACAAATCTCTCGATGGCTGGGAAGAAGGCGACAGGCCCCTTGAGGAGCATCTTAAGCACTCTCCCAATTGCGGCTGGGCCATTGTTGCAGGCATCGAGGCCAACATCAACGACCTCGCGACCGAGGACCCGGCCAGCACCCGGATGATTGAGGCCAGGAAGGCGACCTTTGACGGACGGTGGCCCCACGAAGGAAAGAGAGGCTGGAAAAACAAGATCAAGCAGGTCAGCCGCTCCATCGCGACCCTGCCTTCCTCTGCTGACTCTCGTCTTTAGCTCGCCGAGGCAGGCTGGAAGTACACCCCTTCCATTGAATACAACGACATGACGACATGCACTTATTGCGAGCTTGCCTTGGACGGCTGGGAACAAAACGATAAGCCAATGTACGTACCCAAGCAGTCCATCGCGGTGGGCATGACTGACCCGTAACAGGGACGAGCACTTCAACCGATCACCCTCCTGCCCCTACTTCGCCCTGGTGGATCAATACGCCGCCACACGGAAGCCCAAGGGCAAGGCGGCTAGAGGCTCCAAGACAGCATCGAGGCTCTCTGTGCAGTCCGTAGCGACAGCCGCTTCTGACATCACGTCCATGACTGATGTTCCCGCCGAATACGACGACAGCGTTCTGACGACAACGTCCACCATGGCCGGGAAGAAGGGCGCGCGCGCCAAGAAGGCCTCGACAGCCACCAAGGGCCGGAAGACCAAGGCCAAGAAGGACGAGCCTGTCGAGGTAGTTGAAGACGAAGCGATGCCGCAAGAGGAGGTGATGCCCCCTCCACCTAAAACAGCACGAGGACGCAAGCGAACAAGCGACGAGGTGGACGAGTCTGCGCTTGCCGTCTCTGAGGCACCCGCTCCAAAGAAGCGGACGGCCCGCGGTCGATGCAAAGCCACGGCTGAGAACTCAATGGTTGAGCAATCACAACAAGATATCAGCATTGCCGATGCACCACAGCCGGCGAAGGCGCCCAAAGGCCGGAAAACTGCAAACGCGTCCGGAACCAAGGGAACGCGTAAAGCCTCGGGGACGTCACAGAGATCAACAGCCTCGGTCGCGTCTTCGCGAGCCGCCCCCGGCGCTTTCCCCGAAGACGATGACGAGATCACCCGGCAGCTAGAGGCCGATCTCGAGCGTCCGTTGACCGACGACGAGGACATCATGCAAGATTCCGACTCTGAACGGAACAAGGTACCCGCACCAAAGTCAAAGGCAAAGAAAATCCGCGCTGGCTCCGGTGCTGCCGCTAGCCCTGAGCCCTCGGAAACCCGTGAAATGTTCGATGCTGAGCCGTACGTCGCGGATGAGGACGATGTGGATGAAGACATGAAGCAGCTTGAGGCCGAGATGACGATTGATGAGTCCGAGATGGTTCAAGTGCCAAAGAAGGGACGCAAGGCCGCTGGAACCCGCAAGGTGTCCAAACAGACCAAGGCGCAGAAAGCCAAGGCTGTGAAGGCCCCCGTTGAAGAGGATGAGCCGGAAGTGCCCGCCGAGCCGGCCCAAACGGAGGAGGCTGCTGCCATGGAGGAAGACGAGCTGAGCACTGCCACTGTCATCACGAAGCCTGCCCGTACGAGCATGGGCAAGAAGCGCGGTCGCCCCTCGAAGGCATCTCTCGCCTCGCGTGCTTCTTTAGAAAATCTTGGCAAAGCCAAAGAAGTTGAAGTTGAGGTTGAGGTTGTTGAACCCGAGGCTGAGATTCAAGCTGAACCGAAAGCTGAGGAAGAAACAGCGTCTGCGGACACCTCGGTGCATCAGTCGTTTGCTTCTGCAAGGCAAACGCCGGCACCTGCCGACCAGCGAGACGAATTGGGAGACGAACCTGAGGAGGTCCAAGAGGAACTTGAAGAAGAGCGCGAACCAGAAGTGGAGCAAGAGGTCGAATCTGAACCCGAGCCGGAGCCCACGCCAAGAAGCGATCCAAAGGAGAGCTCACCGGCGCCTCCTTCTTCACCCGTCATCGCATCTTCGGCTCGTCACAGTCTTCAGCACCAACATGGGACGCCTCGCATTTCGCCTGCCCAGTCTGCTCGGCAAGCGGCGGTTTCACCTTCGCCTTCTCCTCAATCGTCGGATGCCGAGAACCAGCCTCCTTCGTCGAGGCCTTCTTCCACTTCACAGAAACGGGTGACGCACGCACCCGTCTCATCCACTCCGGCGCGACCAAGCTCCCCGTGTAAACGGAAAGCTTTGGCTAGCCTCCAGAGCACAACGCCTTGGAACCCGGTCGACATTGACCTCATTTTCGGATCTCCTGAAAAGTCGGACAAGAGGAACCCTGTCGACAGACTGCTGCACAAGGGCTCTGAGCTGACGAGCCCCGAGAAGCGCATGACGGTCGAGGAGTGGATACATCACAACGCAGACCAGGCAGAGGCGAAGTTGCGCCAGGAGTGCGAGGCGATGGTCAGCAAGTTCGAGAGCGAGGGGAGCAAAGCTATGAATGTTTTGGAGGGTTTGATTGTGGACTAAATATTTGCATAGCGCAGTGCCGTTGGGGAGCTTCCTTTTAGGTTTCTAGTGATTGGTTTAATGATCATGATACAATAACAGACACATCAGTCAGTGTACAGGCGCTTCCGGAGCAGAGAGAGCAGTTGGGGCTAACCAACGGTTGAGCGACGAGTCAATCAGGCCGGCGGAGTGTGGGAATAGACAAGCAAGGAGACTCGAGAGTGGTCCAGAGCATGCTTCCTCAAACATTCAAGATAGGAAGATGGGGAAACATTGAGCGGCATACTGTTCAGACAGGCAATGGCATTATTATTATAAATAACGAGGGTGTTTGTTCTAAGGCCTATGTGCATTAAGAAATCCTCTCATAAAAAAAGCCGTTTGGAATGTTTCCTCATTCGTCTAATCATTGAATCCAGTGGTATCGTTCCGGCATGCATGGCAAAATGTCGCAGGTTTCTCGTGATCTCTTACTCGGCTCCTTCACGTTCGAATTTTATTTCCTCCCTTACCTTTCCGGTCCATGCCCCGTGCCTTGTCATGGAGTCGAGAAGCAGAGGAAGAAGGAAGAAACTGGGCGATTCCACTTAGACGCAGTGCAGGACACCGTCGGCGTGGGTGTGGCACTCCTGGGGCGCGCTGGAGGTCGCGGCGGGTGTTGTGGCGGCGGAACCGATGGCAGTGGTCGTGGGAGCGGGCTTTTCCTCCTCCTCCTCCTCCTCCTCGAGCTCGCCGGAGCAGCCGACGCCGGGGGCGGCGATGTCGTAGGCCCAGACGTCGATGGCGAAGTACTGGAGGGCGTTGCTGTCGACGACAGCGTAAGTGGCGTTGTTCTCGGCGAGGGCGAGCGCCTCGGTGTAGTCCTCGGCGTAGTGCTCGACGACGCCCTCGGCGATGAGGGGGACGTGGAGGACGCGGTGGAGGAGGTCGGTGGCCCAGTAGGTGTTGAGCTTGGAGCCGGCGACGGTGTAGCCGAGGCCGCAGACGGAGGAGAGCGGACGGCGGACCTCGAAGGACAGCGGGCAGATGACGGTCTCCTGGGTGGCGTTGGCGCCGCGCCAGTGGCCGGCCCAGCCGTCCTGGGTGGCGCAGTTGCGGTCCGGGTCGTCGCAGCGGAAGGTCATGCCGGCCTTGTCGGCGTTGACGACGCGGTCGTACCAGCCGGCGGGGGTGGCGGTGGGCGCGTCGCCAAAGTACTTGCGGACGTGCTCGGACGAGTTGCCGAAGCGGAGGATGTGGTCGCGTGCGTGGGCCGCGAGCTGCTGGGTCTCGGCGAGGGCGGCCTCGAGCTGGGCGCGGAGCGTCGAGTTGCACGACTGGTGGATGGGGAAGGCCCTTTGCCAGCCCGCGGACCAGTCGTACGGCGGAGCCTGGGACGTCGGGGCGGCGACCGCGGAGGGGACGGAGGCGGGGGCGGTCTCGGGGGCCTGGCGGCGGGCGAGGGGGGTGGCGTCCGCGAGGGCGGAGAGCAGCAGGGCCGCGGTGGCGACGCCGTACATCATCTCGGCTTTTGAGGTGTCGAAGAGGGTGAGGTGATTCCGAGTGAAGCTTGAAGATGAGATGAGCTGCTGCGGGACGGGTCGAGCTTGAGCTGGGGAGAAGTGAGAACTTGGGCTTGAGCTTGAGAATCAATCGTTGATGCTAGGGCGAGCAACGGTCTTTTATAGCTGCGATATGGCCGCATGGAATCACAGTTTTCACTCTTCCCTCTCTTCTCGGTCTCATCTTCCCGGGTTTCCAATGACAGCTCCCCCCACAGGCTCGTCGAGTCGTTGAGCCAAGACTTTGATAGCCATGTCCTGCAGAGAACCTGCGTGGGTTCGATCCTTCGATCATGCCCGTGGGCAGATGAATCCTTTCCACCCATGGAGCCTAGTCGCCCGCGTGTATGTGTTGATCAGGCATGACTTGTTCCGCGCTGCTGCCGCTGACAAAAACTTCCCCGTGCCTCTGCGCTTGTCGGCCAGCCGGCCAGCACTCTTGGCTGCTTCTCCTAGTCGGGTAACGTCTTCATCCCTCCCATTTCCCCTCTTCGCGTGGGCGTACAAGCAAGCTTCTTTGATGTAGGGGAAGAAAAGTTGGTCCTGACATCCCCTCCAGTGGAGCCCTCCGTATCGGTCACGATTGCCTTCTTAGAACACTCTTGACTCTGCGGGTGTTAGCCTGGTGATGCCAAGGCGCGGAGAGCTCAGCCAAGCTCGCGATGACCTTTGTGTCCGCCGAGTCCGTTGGCCAGTTCGATGGCGTAGCGAATAGCGAGGCTCGGCCGCAGACACAGGTCTCCATGGCCAAGAGATCCTAAGTAGTAGCGTCTCGCGGGTTTGGTGAGGTCGGAAGAAGAGGACTTTTTGGCATAGGTTGGAAGCTGGGGGGGGCTGAGCCGGTGAGCCATCCGGGTCCTCGGCCCCCGCTCGACACGGCGTGGGGCACCTTGATGGCCGGACCGGGGTCCGGCACCGGTCCGCCTTTTGTTTCCTTGTTTCTCTCCCATCCAAAGCTCGTTTATGCACCCGCCTTGGACTTTTTGGCCTTCTTCACTCGCTGGGTTGCGTTTCCCCAGCTCGTCGATGGGTTGGGCGGGCTGACTGACTGGACTGGCAAGTGAATTGAGAGTAATACCCCAGACTCTCCTCTCGTTCCGTTTGTTTCCCACATGCACACGCCGCGGCCACACCCCGCCAGGTTAAGACATTCCATGCTCTGCGGGGACCCGAGACGGCTGCTCATTGGGGGCTTTCCAAACGCTTGGTAATACCGTTGTCAAACTGGCCGCGCTCCGGCATGCGCCGATTAGCTCCTTGGGTTCGAGTTTATTGCGTAACCCATGCGCCGAACGCCTGCAGGACCTTGCTTCCGCTGTGGAGGGTTCCGTTGAGCTACAGTTAGTCGTGGTCCGTAAACGTACATCTTGCCGTGTAGATTGCACGGCTTCGGACTGTCTCTGCTTTGCGGCATGTCCACGAGTTCCTTGCGCAGGGTAGGCGACCAGCCTGGACAGAGCGAGGCAGACATCTCGGTCAGCCATGTCCGGGTTGTCCACCAAATCTATTTTGTGATTCGGACACCCGAGGGTTTGATTACCTGCTTCTTCTAGCTTAAGGGACAACTCGACAGATCCGGTGCCTATTACTTTGGCTAACCTATCGGCCAATCTTTCCTTCACGTATTTGTGAGGATCAATGAGGTTTCCGTCCAGCCTCTCGTTGAATTCAATTCCAGAGGCCCAAGGTCAGGTGAGAGGTATTCTTGGATGATCTCACTAGACAGCTCGACTTCCCCTGGTAGCCACAGTTTGGCCACCTTTCCAGTTGCCCCCTTTGCCATGTCCCCGAGGCTCGTCGCCGTACATTTGGAAACGGCCATGGCGGCTGTACCACCCACGTGTTTAGCTTCCTGACCAGGTGCCCTGGCGTGCCTGTACTCCTTCCTTGTCGCGATGAATGTCGCTTTCCGAAGCGGACGTGAAGTCGGTGGCCTTGGAGAGAAACAATAAGATGGTGCCATTAATCCCAAGGGTCTGAGGACGAGTGTTGAATTGCGCTTCGACAGGTCCCGTCTGCGCTCACTGAAATCGTTCGCGAAACAAGCAATGAACCCTCACTGCCGGATGTCCTTCAACGGGAATGGGACCAAGGGGATTCTGACATAGCGGACTCACCCTCACTCGCCAAGACCATCGATGACATGCGCCGGCTGCTGAACAATCCAGCCCATACAAGCGCAATACGGCACGCCACTATCCGGGGCGTAGGAGCAGCACGGGATTTCGAGTCCAGCCATCTGACCAGACACTTTTCCAAAGAATACAGGGCAGTTTCAAAGTCATGGACAAGCCCAACCCTATCTGGAGGTAAAAGGGGCCAAAACAGATTATCTTGCACAGCTTAGATCTGTCCCTCCCCGAAGCGATGCTTCCAGTTGTTTCACAGCAATTGAACCTAACATTTACTCACGATGAACTCACTCGCGAATGCTAATGAAAAAGACATGTTGAGCGAGTAGACATCTCTTTTTATTGTGTATGAAGATTCATTAGTAAAGATCATTACGTCCAACCTCGCGTTTCATCATGCCTCCTTGCTGACCTCTAGCACCGGCATGCGTCTAGCGCCACCGCAAGCGCTGCAATGAGAGTAGAATTGGACGTTGCAAGCAGAAATATGCCGCCCCTCGACGTATTCCTTGGTCAGTTCTTTGCTTGGCCATACGCGATACATTTGTGTCGGTTACGTTACTGCCGTCTGGTAAAGTGTGGACGGATTCCTCCAGTATCCGTGAATTTGCTCAGGCGTACATACATCGCCAGCCCACAAAGTTGTACGTAGCGCCGGCGCAAAAGAACTCGTAGGTCAACCGTTCGCCCTCCCGGGCACGTCATTGACGAAGTGCCCCTGCGCCGTCTTGTTCGCCTTCATCTCCAGCCGCGTCTGCAGCCTCCGCGCCGCCTTGTCCGCCCTGTCCAACTGCTTCTTCTGCGTCAGCAGCACGCTCCGCTGCTCCGCGGGCGGGAGGTGGGCCAGGGTGGCGCGGTCTTTGGCGCCCAGGCGCGCGAGCTGGGTCTCGAAGACGGCGCCGCGCCTCTCCGCGCGGGTGAGGGCCAGCTCGGCGTCCGCGTGCCGCTGCGTTCCGGGGGCAGACGGCGCCGTGAGGCGGAAACTCGCGTCGGCCTCGTCCGCGCGCGGGCCTCCTTCCGGCAGGAGATTGTCGGGACGAGAGCCCCCGGCAGGGCCGAGTTTCGTTCTCTGTCGGGACGGCGCCGGGGCGGAGCGGTGAGCGAGCGTTTTGCCCGACGGGAGACGGACGGGGCCGCTGCCCCCCTCGACGGCGTCGGCGATGGCCTTCTTCGCCTTGTCGTTGTCCTCTCGCGCTCCTCCGCTGTTGCCGTCCCCGGCCTCCGTCGCGTCCTCGTAAAAGTCTCTGAATTCGGAGTCTTGGGCCGTGATGTCGAACTTGCAGTGGCCCTTGCCCAGCATGTGCTGCTGCACGGCGGCGGCGGTCCGGCGCTGCGTGCCGCACTGGAGGCACTCCTGGTACCCGAAGATGATGAGGTGGAGATACCGGAGGAGGGTCTCGAGGTCGACGATCAGCCTCTCCCGGCTGGGGACGAACATGCCGTGCGTCTTGCCCATGTGCACGAGGTTGTCGTCAAACGACCCTGAATGTGCGTTGCAGAATAGGCAGACTTCTGGGGCGAAGGCCTCGTCGTCGTTGTCGTCGTCATCGTCGGGTTCATCGTCGCTGAGATGGGCGTCGGAAAGGGAAGACGAGGAGTCGTCGGCGTCACACTCGGGTGTGGGCCCATCAGCCGGCGCGGCGGTGGCTCCGGAAAGAGCCGCGTGCTGCTCGGCAGTCAGAGGCCCCAGTCCGGCGACGCGGCGCCTGAGGTTCGCGACGTGCCATTGGCTCTTGGAGTGGGCACGTCGAGTCTCGGGGTTGTCGAAGTGGACGGCGCAGGCGCCGCAGGACGTGGCCGAGAGCTTGAAGCGGGAGCTGGTTGACTGCTCCTCCATGGTGGTGGTTGGGTTGTTGTTTGTGTCGGTGGTTGCCGTGGCTGTCGTGGGCAGCATCGAAAAGGCAAGAGTTTTATTATCTTTTTTTTTTGGTATAAACCTTTTGCTCCAGGGCTGGCTTGCAAGGAACATTTCCTCATTCGAAAACGAGAATGCGGACGTTATATACTCTTCTGTCACGCGGTATAAGCTGACATGGGTATGCACGTAAGATGACAGGGAACAAAACTCGAAATCACATAGTGGCGACGACCGGGACCCCCTCAACCCGAAGCGATATTTCGCCTCGCAATCCATAGTTGCAGACCAGGGGCGTGTTGCTTAAAGAAAGAAAATTAATAATAAAAAAAACAGTAGGAAAGATGTCGCCTGGATGTTATCCGTTCGCCCATCCGTCCGCCGAATCCCTCGAATCCCTAACAGGACTCCATACACAGTGAGTCAGAAGGTGGACCCCATTCGGTACCATCTATCGGCTCCGGCACCGTCGTAGAATGGGACTGGGCGGAGAATCATAGATTTGTGCTTTTGAATTACTACCGAGTATCTCTCGTGAGAGGAAAACGGAGAGGGATGTGTGAGTCACACCGGGGGAGGGGGCCGAGACCTTCCTCTTCGGGCAGCATGGGCGATGACCATTGAATGAGCCATCATGATCATTCCCCACAACGGTCCGAGTGACAGGGGAGGGGGGGTGCGCGTCGCTGTCCTGGACTTGGCTTCCGGCCGGGTTTATGATGCCGTCTCCGTGATGAAATACAAGATGCAAAGTGCCAGGACAAACAAAACCACGTCTGTTTATGCTTGCTTGTGACATCAGCTTGTGGTCCGGTGAGGTGCAAGCAAGCACGAAAAGATAGACAGACAGACACACTTATGAACATGGCGAATACGTGGGTTTGAATCATAGGTAAGTTGGTATCGCGAATCACTTTTTGGCCGTGGCTTTCTACAATACATGGCCCGAATCAAACCCGCCGTGCCTCTCATTTATCCGACACCGTCCCAAAAATGCTGAACCCGCAACTCCTCTTCAATTCCATCGTGCTTCTCTAGTAGCTGCGGCCGAACATGACCCACTTCTGGGCCTTGGCCTCGCACTCGGGGTTGAGGCACTTGGTCTCGCCGGCGACGATGCCCTCGGGCTGCTCAAAGGGAATGCAGAGAGACTTCATGCCCATGCTGGGCTGCTTCTTGCCCTCGGGGAGGCTCGCGTTCTCGGGGGGCTCGCTGGTCGTGAGCTCCTTGATGCGGTCCTCGCACTTGCCGCCCAGGCAGAAGGGGATGAGGACAACGTTCTTGGTGTCGAGCGCCGGGATGACCTTGTCCCACTCCGTCAGAACGAGTCGGTGCTCGCGGAACGACTTTTCGGCCTTGTTGTACATGTCGGACTGGATGGTCTCGAGCAGCTCGGGGACCTTGGTGGAGAGCTCGGCGAGGGCGACGGAGCCCTTCTCGCCCGTGTCGCGACGGGCAAAGGCAACCACCTCCTTGGCCGCATCCTTGGGGCCGAACTCGAGTCTGAGGGGGACACCGCGAAGCTCCCACTCGTTGAACTTCCAAGCCGGGGTGTAGCCGTCTCTCAGATCCGACTCGGCACGGACGCCGGCCTTGCGCAGCTCGTTGCGGAGGTCGTCGACCTTGTCCTCCAGCTTCTTCCGGTCCTCAGGGGTCGTCTTGGCCGTGATACCAACGGCGATAAGGACAACCTGGACCTTGGCGATACGGGGAGGGAGGACCAGACCCTTGTCGTCACCGTGGATCATGACCATGACACCAATGACGCGGGTCGACAGACCCCAAGAGTTCTGCCAGACGTGGATCTTCTCGCCCTTCTTGTCGGGGTCCTCGACCGTGATGTCGAACATCTTGGAGAAGTTCTGGCCCAGGCAGTGCGAAGTGGCACCCTGGATACCGCGGCCGTTGGAAGGGATGTAACCCTCGACGGTGGTGGTGTAGTAACCACCGGCGAATTTCTCGTTCTCCGTCTTGGTACCGCGGACGACGGGGACGGCAAGCAGCTGCTCGTAGACGCCGGCGTAGAGCTCGAGAATCTCGAGCACCTCCTTGCCGGCAAGCTCCTCGGTGAGATGCGCCGTGTGGCCCTCCTGCCACAGAAACTCTCTTGTACGGAGGAAAGGAGTGGTCTGCTTGGCCTCCCAGCGGACGACCGAGTTCCACTGGTTCAGGCGGAAGGGCAGGTCGCGATGGCTGCGGATCCACTTGGAGTAGTAAGGGTACATGACGGCCTCGGATGTGGGGCGAACCGCGACGGGGACTTCGAGGTCCTTGTCACCGCTGTGGGAGGGAGGACCATCAGTGCATGTCGAAGTGGGAGGGGGGGGTGTGGGCAATCAATTGCCCAAGGGTTTGAGACTTACGCCTTGGTGACCCAAGCAAGCTCAGGGGCGAAGCCCTCGACGTGGTCCTTCTCCTTCTCGAGCGACTTGGAGGACAAGAACATGGGGAAGCTGGTCTCATCGACACCCATGTCCTCGATTCTCTCGGAGAACCACTTGCGGATGACGGTCCAGATGTACATGGAGGCCGGGCGCAGAATGAAGAAGCCGGAAATCTCGTTGTAGTACTCAACCATCTCAGCCTTGAGGACAACCTCCTGGTACCAGGCAGAAAAGTCCTCGTTCTTCTTGACGGTAATTCCCAAGATATCATCGGTCTTCTTGCCGCCGACGACAGGGAGGGCAGCTTGCTTGGCGGCCTTTGCAGCCTTTTCGGCAGCCATTTTGGCCTGCTTCTCGGCCTTCTTCAAGGCGCTCTTGGACTGCTCGGGAGCGGGAGCGGCAGCGGGGGCCGGGGCGGAGGCGTCGGCCATGTTTGCGGTATTGGACTGCAATTCGCGGAGTCGTCTCGGCAAAGGGGTATCGGGGTGTCGGAGTCTCGACTTATACAACTGACGGCGTGGTGACCAGGTCGGCCTGAGTCACTTTGAGAATTTGGGCAGAGAAGGGCGGTGCGGTGCGGTGCGATCCAGCGGGAAAAAAGTGCCCCGCACTGGAAATGTGAGTCGTGTGTTTAGTGTCGTGTAGCTGTTGGGTGGGCAGCAGCAGTGAGGGGTCAATTGGGCTTCAGCCACACGGACCGCAGAGTGGGGCGCCGGGACTGCTTATCTCTGCTTCAGCCACACACTCACACGCTCACCTCTGACCTGGGAGGAGGCGCGGTTGCAGCTTGCTTTCTGCAACCTGCGCGGTACGTACCGGTACGTGTACGCATCCCCCGATAAGATAAGCCGCATCAGCCACATCCCCGGTTCCTGGAACAACCCCGGCTCCGATAAAAAAAGTTGCGTCGAGGGGGGGGGAACAGAGAGGATGAGGCAGGCACACAGCACAGAAGCTTCTATTGCTGTCCAGGGACACACACACCGTCGACACCCCCCCGAAATCCACCACCTCTCCATCCCGCGATTATACCACAACCGCTGGCAGTGAGGCGCAAAAATGGCTTCCATGTTTGAGCAATCAGGGAGCGGCACGCTTTTCCTCGGCGGCCAGAAGATTTCCGGCGCCGACATCAGAGACCAGAATGGTATGCTTCTCCTGCCACCGCCGATGCGATGCGTCCATCACAGCTTCACCTCGCTGACCAACCCGCAGTTCTCGCGACCCAAGCGATTGCAAATGTCGTCAAGAGCTCCTTCGGTCCTAGCGGCCTCGACAAGATGATGGTGGATGATATTGGTGTACGTTCAGTGAACCCCCCTCCCCTGGACCCCGCTTACCCCCCCGGCATAGGATGTCACGGTCACGAACGACGGCGCTACTATCCTCAGCTTGCTGGACGTCGAGCACCCCGCAGGCAAGATCTTGGTCGACCTGGCCCAACAACAAGATAAGGAGGTCGGTGACGGCACCACATCCGTCGTCCTGATCGCCGCCGAGTTGCTTCGCAGAGGAAACGAGCTCATGAGAAACCGCATACATCCCACTACCATCATTACGGGCTACAGACTCGCCCTCCGCGAGGCCGTCAAGTACATGAACGAGAACATCAGCATCAAGGTCGAGAACCTCGGACGCGAATCCCTCGTCAATATTGCCAAGACCTCCATGTCCAGCAAGATCATCGGCGCCGACTCGGACTTCTTCGCCAACATGGTCGTCGACGCCATGCTTGCCGTCAAGTCGACCAACAACCGCAACGAGACCAAGTACCCTGTCAAGGCCGTCAACATCCTCAAGGCCCACGGCAAGGGCTCGCTCGAGTCTCTCCTCATCAAGGGTTACGCCCTCAACTGCACAGTCGCCTCGCAGGCCATGCCGACGAGAATACAGGATGCCAAGATCGCAGTGTTGGACATGAACCTTCAGAAGGAGCGCATGAAGTTGGGTGTGCAGATCACGGTCGACGACCCCCAGCAACTGGAGCAGATCCGCCAGAGAGAGTCGGGCATGATTCTTGAAAGGGTAGAGATGATCCTCAAGGCCGGCGCCAACGTTATCCTTACCACCAAGGGTATCGACGACATGGTCCTCAAGACGTTTGTGGAGAAGGGCGCCATGGGTGTGCGCAGGTGCAAGAGGGAGGACCTGCGAAGAATCGCCAAGGCGACGGGCGCCACGATGCTCAGCACACTGTCAGACCTCAACGGCGACGAGAAGTTCGACCCGTCCTACCTCGGACACGCCGAGGAGGTTGTCCAGGAGCGTATTTCCGACGACGAGTGCATCTTGGTCAAGGGCACCAAGTCGCACTCTTCGGCGTCCATCATCCTGCGTGGCCCCAACGACTTCACCCTGGACGAGATGGAGCGGTCGATCCACGACTCCCTCAACGCTGTCAAGAGAACGCTTGAGAGCGGCAGCATCGTCCCCGGCGGTGGTTCCGTCGAGACGGCCCTGCACATCTACCTGGAGGAGTTCGCCGGCACTGTCGGCTCGCGCGAGCAGCTGGCCATCGGCGAGTTCGCCCAGTCGCTGCTCGTCATCCCCAAGACCCTGGCCGTCAACGCCGCCAAGGACGCGTCAGAACTCGTCGCCCAGTTGCGTTCCAGACACGCGCTCTCGCAGCGCATCCAGGAGGGCGAGGCGAACGAGGACGAGAAGACGGTGGCGCGCAAGAAGGCGTACAAGAACTACGGTCTGGACCTGGTGCGCGGCAAGGTGATTGACGAGATCAAGGCCGGTGTCCTGGAGCCCACCATCAGCAAGATCAGACAGCTCAAGAGTGCGGTGGAGGCCTGCATCAGCATCATGCGTATCGATACCCTGATCAAGCTGGACCCCGAGCAGAGAGCGGAGGACGACGGACACGGTCACTGAAGAGGTCGTGGCAGCTGCGGCGAGGATTTGTAAAGATTTTGATTAAAAAAAAACACAAGAGCAAAAATGAGCCAAAGTGGGGAGAAATGTTGAAGGTGTAGACGGTTCATAGATTATCATCACTTTGCTAATGATACCTTGTCATGCCACCAACCTCACGGAGTGCGAGGGTGGGTGTCCTATTTTTTCCTTTCCTTGAAGTCATACCATTCAACCATTCATCCATCCATCAATCCATACATCTATATATAGGTATGCATCGAAGAAAAAGAAAGAAAAAAAAGGAGAAAAAAGAAGCAAATAAGGCGTGAGCCGGCGGCTGCTGCTATTCAGCCAAACCAAATCACCTTTGTGTTTCTTTTTCTCTTTTACCCAAAAGACTCTCCAAGCGGATACATGTCTCGGTTTTGTTTCCGAACTCTAGACCTTGCGGGTTGTGACTGTGTATATTCGCGTTTCATTTCAGCACCAGCCAAACTTCTCGTTGAGAACCCACTCGACCTCGCCCTCGCCGTACCACATGAGGCTCGCGATGCTCTCCGTCTCGCGCTCGACGAACTCGTGCGGGATGCCGGCCCTCTCGATGAGGGCGCGGACGCGCGGGTCGGGGTTCCACAGCTCGATGTTGTTGACCCGCCACTCGGCGGCCTCGGCATGGGCGAGGCGCAGCAGGGCCTCGACGGCGTCCTGGACGAAGGCGTCGTCGTCAGCGGCGCCGGCGGCCCTGGAGCCGGCGTTGGCCTCGCTCTCGTCCTCCTCGACGGCCAGACGCAGGATGTGCATCGTGTTGCCCTTCTCGGGCCGCTTGAGCCCGCCGTAGTAGCCGCGGGTCCAGACGGCCCAGACGACTGAGCGGCTAGCAATGAGTATCAGTCGTTCACAGTTGGGGTGCCTATAGCTACGTTGATCCCCATAATGAACGCGGCCACTAAGAGTATCTACATTCATCCGGTTACTCAACTCGTTGAGTGCCGGAAGAGCGCCATCGTAGGTGTTAGCACTGCGTTCCCATGGACTATAAAGACACTCCGTCGCAGGCCGCGAGTGGAGCTGCGCTACCTTGATGGATTGGGTCAGTAATTCCGCTCACGGTTCTTTCAATAGAGTGTAGGCTCACGGCCTAATGCGGCACGCGC